GTGATCAAGAGGTATGACGATCGCGGCGCATGGGTGTTGGCGAGGGCGTCGCCTAGGAGGACCTCGCTGGGGCCGTAGTACGGTGAGGTGTCGAATGCGGTGATCTTGTGGGTCAGGAGCGCGCGCGAGACGATGCTGTTGTAGGGCATGTGCGTGGGATCAGGGTGGTATTGTGTGTTGAAGGTGGCCGTCCCGAGGATAAGCGGCGGCAGCACCGAGGAGAGCGGCGGGCGCGTGGCAGCCATCGGAATGGCGCGGTGGTTTTGAAAAACAGGATAGCCTCAAGCTGATCGCAACGCGAGGGTAGGTCTCGTAGATGGTGGCGGGAAGAGAGTAGGGGGTTGCGTATGCCGTTGTGAGAAATTGCCGGTCGCGAACAGCGTGTTGACGAGGGCCTGTGGTATTAGCTATCCTCTGATTAGTGATTGATAAGAAAAGCTCTACTCACTCAATCGAGCGGTCCATGAATCATCACCATCCACTTCAGGACCGGCAGCCTGCAAGGAACGGGGTCCAGGCCGCATGCGGGAAGCGAATCAAAAGCCGGAGCCATGGCGAATCCGGCACCCTGTGGATGTGCGGTGCGTGGTTTTCGACTTTTCGTGCCTAGGCGCAATTGACGGTCGGCGCGTTGGCGCGCGCACGTGCGTGTCCATGATGCTCACGATAGCTTCAATGACGAATTGACGAGGGACATGGACACTTTTTCCCTGCCAAGGGCTGGAGATCTCACGCAAGGGTCTAATGGGGATTGGAGAGAATGCTGATCGGACGCTTTCGAGTCGATCGTGCGATTCAGCCGCCCGGGCGGGCGACACGTGACTCTGTGTGCCTTCATGAAGTGAGTAAGCAGGTTGAGCTCCTCACAGACAGCGCGAGAGATGAAAGCACATCACAGGCTGCACTGAAATCAAATCAACACATACCGCTCAGGTGTTTTTAATTAATGTAAATCAGGTCTCTGGAAAGTCTGAACTACAACTGATTAGCTGTCTGCAGGTTTCCACTTCAGTCCCTGTGAACATTGCTGGGTGTTTTTACATCTAACTTGCGTCAAGGTTTTTGTCACATGTATTTCTTTCGTGACACTATTGGCAATAAGCAAACATTATTGGGACGCTGCTTCCCCATGCATGATTAAACAGTTTAAAGCGGAATCACTCTGCGTAACGCTAAGTACACTCTTGTGATGTGGAATAGTACAGTTGCGTGACAGAATCGTGGTACAAGGGATTCGTAGGGTAGGTCAATTTGCTCGAGCAAGGCCCGAGACACCAACCATGCGTCGTTAAGACTCCCGACTTTGGACATACTCGAGAAAGCATGGCTAAGCGATTAAGTAATATTTTCAATTTTCGTACTAAACCGTCGAACCAACCAATGCCTTGGACAACCACTAGGAATAGATGACTTCAACCGGAGCGCCAGCCCGGCGGGCGTCTGCGACAACTTCAAAGTCAGACAGGCCCAAGACGGCAAGAAGCACTCCAGATCTTCGCTCTGACCCATCTCATTACTTCGGACGTACTGAGGGCACATGTCAATCAGCATACATGCAAGTGTGCATAGCAGGTGCACTCATGTTTCCACACGAGCCAGCTGTGCTCATGAAGACGCCAGTCACTGGTCACGTTTGATGCCTCATCGAACACTCGCTCTCCCTGGTGTGAGTCTGAAAGTCGCGCTGCCACGGCTTTCAAGAACAGCATCATCTTTCAAACGCCACTTGACGCCAAACCTATGCTGGATTACCGTGCGTCGAGAATCTCGCTCGACCCGAGCCAACCATCCTCATCAGCAAAGATACCGCTCTGCAAGTGCTGGTCGGAAAGAGAAAGACTAGATAATGTCGGTATCGTCACACTTTGGATATTGGGAGGATAGAACGAAGCGAGTTCAGCGACAACCCGCTTGCGTCTTGGGTGATGCATCGATTGACGATGCGACAGGGTCGATTGGACGCGTTCGAGCTTTGCACGTCTGATCGCCCTACGCAGAGGGCCGCTCGTCACAGACGTCTGCGTCGCGGCCATGACGGATGTATTTTTCCTGGACGCTCGTCAAGAAGTTTGGCAACTTCAACTTCACCAGGCAAAACTTGTCGACAAGCCTGCCCCCGTGGAATTCAGTTTTCGTGCGCGGGGCTCGTGGACAGCCACGATGACGTCGAGTTCACCGTGCCGAGGACGACGGCGTTTGGCATCGGTAGCAGAAGGTGGCCGCGAGCTCACATTGTCGACAAAACGAGCTTCAATGCCTCACTGTGGATTCTCGACTCGTCCGCGAAGGACAATGACAGAAGCCCAGATCTGAGGCGCGACACGATGTGCAGAAAGTGTTCTGACGGAATGACCTGTGGAAGTTGCGCGCTTTTCGAGAACGCGGAGAGGAGTGTGGGGGATAACAAAGACGGAGGCGGCCGTCGAAGTGTGGGCGAGTGAGTCAGTGAAGGTCATGGCAATGCCGCCAGCGGAGGTTTGTCCAATTGCGTCCGTGTGTAGGACCGTAGGTACTGCTAATAGTAGCTCGTGAAGAATCTTCACCAAGTGGATGATGATGTCGTTTCGGTGCCTACCTGATGCTGAGCGCGCGCATTCCGGTGCCAAAGAAAGAGTCAGTCAAAGACGTCAATTTTCGTTGGCCATGTCCAACACAAGCGCGCCGAGACTTCGACCCACGAAGGGAATGGGGTCTCAGAAATATTTGACCGAGAAGAAAAGAAAAACGTGGAGCCCCGGTACCGAAGAAGGAGTCTATTTAATCAACCAACGACCAAGATTCTAGTAAAGCAGGGAGTGGAAACTTCCGCTGGGCGAGTTCCACATGACAGCTATTGGGTCATTCCCCACGAGCTCGGAGCGTGGCGTCGGTTCCATTGCTGTGAAGCAGCAGAAAAGGGCCGGGTGGTGAACATGGAGAAGCTGGAGGAGGGGAGAAGTCTGATCGTTTGATGGGGGGATAGTTTGGAGAATTAACGGGTCGCGTGCATGTGGTTTGGACCGGGGGGAGGGGGGAACGGTGGAGAGAGGCCGGGGCAGCGCCGATCTTGGCCGCCGAGCTATCAGCCAAGTCTCGAGTTGGGACTAGTCTGACTAATAGGAGGCGAGCGTCGAGTCGAGTCTCGAGAAGCGTGGCTTGTTGAGGATGCCGGAAGCCGATGACGATGATACTCAATAGGTCTCGCTATAAATTTAGCGTAGTGAGTGGTCGCGTGTAACGGGTATATGCTCAGCCTGGTTGGGTTGGACTGGAGTGGAAATTTCCCTCGAGCAAAGATGGTTGTAGATTGTAAAGCTGCAATGTAGATCAATATCGAGTGTGTATCAGATTTCAACAGCGCCAGGGCCCAGGGGCAGCGTTCTGCGAATTCAACATGAGGCTACGGATACGTATGACTAGATGGAATGTTGTGAGATTTCGAAAGGGTAGGGTAGGCAGAATACCACGACGGATGAACAGTCACAAGCGGTCCGGAGTCCGGACCGACCACATGGTGAAAACTCGGTGCCAAGAGCAACAGGGAAGCATGCCAACAGCTGCATGGCTCGGCCACTCGCTTCTTGTTCTTGCTGGCAGTCCTACCTTTCAAGCGCTGGGCTGCGCGCTGCAGGACACCTGGCGCTGCTCGAAAAGTACGGCCGAGGGTTAGACCGCGTCGAGGAGGGGCCCCATTACCTAGAATTTTAGAAACACGGGGCTTTTACGGGGTCGGCCCTGGTACGTAGTGGTGCTGCGCGGTACGTACCTATCCGTACGTGTACGTAGTGATGTGGTGTGCCCCGTGCTTTGCCTTACGTACAGTACAGCGTTCTTGACTAACGTGATCATTAGTGCAAAAGTGAAAAACGAAGCCAGATCCTAGCCTGAAAGGTCATCTAGACTAGACTAGCACGCCACGCAAAATCCCATCGGACGGTGCCTGGAAACCTATCGGGGGAGGCGATGGGCGGATGAGTCCAGGACAGTCCAGGACGGCCCAGTCCAATACGAAGGCCCAAGGACGAATGTCGCGTGCCGTACGCGTGACCAACGGATTCTCTGTCTGGTCTGGTCTGGTCTGGTTCTGCCGGCGCTTCTCGGCGCTTTTCTGTTCCTGTGAGGAGCAAAGGTGGAGACCCCAAAGATGGCATTTCGCGGGTGCCCCATTTGGAGAATTAAGCAGTGCCGTGGGTACTCCACGCAAAAATTGAATGGGTCTGTTTACTCAGCATCGCTGTTCACGGCCAATGTACATGACTACAGCCACGACCAAGAACGACAGTTCGGTGCGATCCGCGCTCGGGCTCATCTTGCACGTGGAATAGTCACGAGACGAGAAGCCACGCGCAAGCGCGGCTAGCAGAGCTGCCCAGCTCCCCGCGATTGTATCAAGCATTCTCTAGTATCAGACCTCATCATCAACACGTATGTACTTACATGTCCTCAGCATACTCACCATGGGGGTCACTAGCCATGCGCCGCGCCCGCCGGCTGGCCGAATATTCGGTGGTACTGAGACTGTGAAAGGAGATCGGGCTTGTTTAGGACTGGGGTCCTCCAGTGCCCATGGGCGCTCATGGATGCCCATGGGACGGAGTGGACCCTCTGCCCCGAAAGGGGGGGAGGGACTCGACTAGGGGCGGACGCAACGGGGTCCAGTCCTCGCGATTCCCGTCCCATTGCAGCACGCAGGCGGCTCACACTGACAGCAGCTAATTTCTCTCCGCGTTTGCTACCACATCCAGTCAACCCGTAACGGATCAAGCGGCTCCATTTCCATGCCCACTGCGATGCAACAATGCGCGAGACGCCTCGATTGCACCGAGCCCCAGTCCGACGCCGTGGCACCCGCCTGGGTCTGAAGAGAAGCGTGAAAGTCGTTCGCTCCTTCCTCCCTATAAGATCCTGTCCCCCCTCCTTCCCCAAGATTGTCTCTCCCTTCCCCGTGTCTCAAGCTTAAAGTCATCGACATTCCGGCCCCCTGATCTTCGACAAGACTTCCACAGAGACAGTTCTTCACCATGGCCACCAACAACAACAAGGAGGGCGCTGGCATCGTCCAGGAGGAGCATCACCAGGGCTCCCTCAACCTCGCCGCCACCGACGATATCAACGGCGTCGAGGCCCCCGTCACCTGGCAGGCCTACCTCATGTGCGCCTTTGCCTCGTTCGGTGGTATCTTCTTCGGCTACGACTCTGGTTACATCAACGGTGTCAACGGCGCCAAGATCTTCATCGAGGCCGTCGAGGGCCCCGGCGCCACGGAGCTGAGCTACAGCAACCTGACTCTCATTACCTCTATTCTCTCCGTTGGTACCTTCTTCGGTGCCGTCATCGCCGGTGATGTTGCCGAGTGGATTGGTCGCAAGTGGACTGTCATCCTCGGCTGCGTCATCTACATGGTCGGTGTGGTTATCCAGATGATTACTAGTGCCGAGCATGCCCTTGGCCCCATTGTCGCTGGTCGTCTCATTGCCGGTCTTGGTGTCGGTTTCGAGTCTGCCATTGTCATCCTGTACATGTCTGAGATTGTGAGTCCTACTCCACACGAGCCTAAGAAACAAAGCTAACCTCGATCAGTGCCCCCGCAAGGTCCGCGGTGCTCTCGTGGCCGGTTACCAGTTCTGCATCACCATCGGTATCATGTTGGCCTCGATTGTCGTCTACGGCGCCCAGGACCGCACCGACACTGGCTCGTACCGCATTCCCATTGCCATTCAATTCCCCTGGGCCCTCATCCTCGGCGGAGGTCTCATGTTCCTCCCCGACTCCCCTCGTTACTTTGTCAAGAAGGGCATGCTGGCTAAGGCCAAGAACGCGCTCGCTCGCGTCCGCGGTCAGCCCGAGGATTCCATCTACGTCCAGAGCGAGCTTTCGGAGATTATCGCCAACGAGGAGTACGAGCGTGCTCTGATCCCCTCGACCACCTGGTTCGGCTCCTGGGCCAACTGCTTCAAGGGCAGCGTCTTCTCCCCCAACTCCAACCTGCGCCGCACCGTCCTCGGTACCTCCCTCCAGATGATGCAGCAGTGGACCGGTGTCAACTTCATCTTCTACTACTCGACTCCCTTCCTCAAGTCGACGGGCGCCATTGAGGATACCTTCCTCATCTCCATGATCTTCACCATTGTGAACGTCTGCTCCACTCCCCTGTCCTTCTGGACCGTCGAGCGCTTCGGTCGCCGCACCATCCTCATTCTCGGTGCCTTTGGTATGCTTGTCTGCCAGTTTCTCGTCGCCATCATCGGTGTCACCGTTGGCTTCAACAAGACCCACCCTTCGCCCGATGACCCGGATGTGTCCATCGCCAACAACATCCCTGCCGTCAACGCCCAGATCGCCTTTATTGCCATCTTCATCTTCTTCTTCGCCTCCACCTGGGGCCCTGGTGCCTGGATCGTCATCGGCGAGATCTTCCCTCTGCCCATCCGCTCCCGTGGTGTGGCCCTGTCCACCGCCTCCAACTGGCTCTGGAACACCATCATCGCCATCATCACCCCGTACATGGTCCACGAGGACAAGGGCAACATGAAGTCGTCCGTCTTCTTTGTCTGGGGCGGTCTCTGCACGGCTGCCTTTGTCTACTCCTACTTCCTCATCCCCGAGACCAAGGGCCTCACCCTCGAGCAGGTCGACAAGATGATGGAGGAGACCACCCCCCGCACCTCGGCCAAGTGGAAGCCCACCACCACCTTTGCTTCCCAGGTCGGCACCAAGGAGGGCTACCTCGACCCCAACGTCGTTGGCGACGTCGAGCGCCGCGGCTCTGCCGTCTAAATCTAGTCCACTCTGTCCCTGACAGATGGATGGATCCACCCTACCATATACTCTATTTAAATACCCGGTGTTCGATCTTCCTGCCAAAGGCGGAATTCGCATATAGTAATCGCTTGAGTAGCTGAATGCAAGTTTATATTTTTCACATTTTCCCTGCCCCACATTTCTCGCCGTGATGCCCTCGTGCTGTTTGATTGTTGACCCACTGGTAAGTAGCGGCCCACGATATGTGGATCCCATCTTATCAGATCATCTGATTAAAATGCGCATCTCCGCTTGCCTCTCAGCCTCACTCTGATTTTGTGCCTGATTTATCCCTCGTGTTTTCATTTCACTCATCGCCCGCCATGCGTCGCCCAGCACCTTTGATGCTGGCGCTTCTCTTCAGCGCTACAGAAACAAGCGCCCAACCGCCAGACGAGACAGCCTGCGTGTCGGCGTGTCGTAGTTCATTCCAGAGAGTGGCCTTTGTCGACGGCGACCCGCATGCTTCGTTCTATGGCAAGTCCTGCCGATCACGACTCAACACTCAGTCGCTATACATCTGCCTGGACTTGTATTGTGGCACGTACAGTGTGGACACACTGAACGCCACGTGCGTGGAAGAATATGGCGAGGGCCTGTTGCCGCACAGCATCGTGGATGGGATGGGCGAGGACGACATTGCGACGGTGAGGAGGTTCAATGAGACGACTTTTGCCTTTGGGACGAAAGTGGATGAGTTGCTCCTCGTGGACGATGGTTCTTTCAAGAGGTGGCTGGACACAATCGTGGGTGGACGGTGTCCGCGACCCCTTCATGCTGTTTTCGAGGTACTGACGTGGTAGAGCAGGAGTCGTTAAATCATGCGCACTACTATCATTCGGCGTATGGCTGGGCTATGGGGTACTTCTGGATCGTCGTCGTGGCCATTGCCATGGTGAGCCGGATCACGGACGTCTGTGAAGCAAGACGAGGCGTCTTCCCGAGGCAGGGATCGATGAGGAGATGGCTGAGGCGTAACGTCCAAGCACCCGCCACCCTAGGCCGGCGATGTGCGCAGGACTACGGCGGATGGGCGACGGTGCCTCCGCGGATCCAGTCGCTGACCATTGGTGCATTCGTCCTGCTGAACGTGTGGTGCAGTGTGCACGGGTACAAGATTGTCCCGCACAACATTTAGTAGGTCTCCCCCCACCCTTTTAGCGGAGGACCTGACCTGACTATCTGGTGGCAGTTGGCCGACTGTCAGCGGACAGGTGCTGCGCTACGTCTCGGACCGCACGGGCATCATCTCCTTTGCCAATTTCCCCCTGCTGTGGCTCTTTGGCATGCGGAACAATGTCGTCCTCTGGCTGACGGGGTGGGACTTTGGCACAAGCAACAACTTCCATCGGTGGGTGGCGCGCGTGGCCACTGTCCAGGCTGTTGTGCACAGTGCAGGCTACACGGCGAAGATATTGCAGGGTGAGTGACGTCTTTCGTTTAGGAGAGGCACTGTTGTGGCTGACGGCTTGATAGATGGAGGATGGACGTACTTTGCGTCGTGGTGGACACAGCTGTTCTGGTGCGCAGGGGAGATGGTAGGTTCTGTCCAACATGGCATGCAAGTGACCGCACTGACGATAACTCTCAAGGCTACGGTTGCCATGTGTGCCATCCTCGGTCTCTCTTTCTACTGGTTTCGTCGTCAAAACTATGAGCGCTTCCTCGTGTTGCACGTTGGCCTCTCCATTCTGGTCCTCATCACCATGCTGGTGCACGTCTCGATATTCAACGGTGAGTATGATGCCTTGTTCTGGGTCCCCGTCGGTATTTGGGTTCTCGACCGCGTCCTTCGTCTGGCACGGTTTCTCCTATTCAGCTACACGTTCTATACCCAGGCGGATGTCTGTTACAACGACGCTGCGGATATGGCTAGGATAGAGGTGCCACTTGAGAAGAGCTGGTATGGCGTCCGACCAGGGACGTATTACTACCTGTCCGTGCTGGACGATGCCTGCTTCTGGGAAAGTCATCCCTTCACGGTGGCAAGCGTGACGCTAGCAGAGGATGTGAAACGCCCGGGGTTGCTGGAGACGGGGGAGTCGTCCCCTTTGCTGAGCAGTGTTTCCGATGACGACGGCTTCGCTTCTGGGGAGAAGGATGTCAGGGGAGACTTTATCACTTTTCTGGTCCGTCCGTACGACTCGTTCACAGGCAGGTTGAAGAGACGGGCGGAGATGGCGAGTCCCAAGAACGTGAAGCTACAGGTAGCCGTGGACGGACCGTATGGTGGCACTCTACCCCTTGAGAAGTTTGACGAGGTCGTGTTTGTCGTGGGAGGAAGCGGCATCGTCGTGCCCATCTCGTACCTGAAAGTGCTCGTCGCCTCCTTGGAAGGGAGGCGAGCGAGCAAGGTCGCGATTCACTGGGCCGTTCGACAAGCTGGGTTTGCCACCGAGTTGTTGCAACGCGATCTAATGGCGGCCGTCACGAGCTCCAAAATCGCACTGAGTATCTACCACACGGGCAGCGCCAGTGTCCCACGACTCGATACAGGGGCTGTCACATGGTACAATGCGCGGATCAACGCGGCGAGGACTGCCGAGGAGGCACTGGCTGCCGGTGAGGGAAGCGTTGCGGTTGTGGCATGTGGGCCTGCGCGGATGGCGGATGCGGCGAGGCAGGCGACTGTCGAGGGCATGGGGCGGAGTGATAGACGGATAGAGTACTTTGAGGAGAGTTTCCAGTGGTAAAATAGAGTATATGGTTACCATATGATCCTGCCAAATTGTCCCAAAGCGATGATGCTCGAATCATTGCAAAATGAGTACATACAAGCTCATCCTTTTCTTTCTTACTGGTTCGCTCCCACATTGACAATGACCTTGCCGCGAGGCGAGTCCTTCTTCACGTACTCCATCGCACTCTTGGCCTCCTCGAACGAGAACCGCTTGTCAACGATGAGCTTCAGCTTGCCATCGCTCAGCCACGCGGTGAGCTGCTCCAAGTCAGGCTGGCTGTTCTTGGTCATGAACACCCGGAAACTGCCCTTCGCGCCCCCCATGAAAGCAGGCGCCAGCGTGGCGTAGAGTAGGCTTGTGACGGTCGAGAAGCTCAAGTTCCCGCCGACAAAGAAGTAGGGGGCATGGGGCTTGAGATAGTCGTTGCTCGCGGAGAAAAGGTTCGACGGATTGTTGCCGACATTGTCCACGATGAGATCAAACTTGAGTCCGGCGCCCTGCAGCTTCTCCACCACCGAGCTCGTCTTGTAGTCAATGACCACATCAGCTCCGAGCTCCTTGCACAAGTCCATCTTACCGGTCGAGCAGGTGGTGGTCACGTGGCAGCCCAGGATCTTGCCTATCTGGACGCACATTGTGCCTACACCGCCTGAGCCGCTGTTGATAAAGATCTTTGATCCAGCCGATACATACGGTGCGATGGTCTGGTATGCTGTGAGTCCAGCCGTGGGCAGACCTGCTGGGTCCCGAATTCTGGGAGCGTATTCTGCAACCACGGACCGGTCGACAACCACGTATTCTGACAATCCACCTGGAGACTCCAAAGGAGACGCTCTCCCCAGCACAGAACTACCGACTTTGATATCGTCCACTTGGCTGCCGACAGCTGCAACGACGCCTCCGAAGTCCATGCCGGCTGTTTTAGGGTAGGCCAGTACCACTCGTGCGACTTGGCCCATTTCGTTGAGCTTGTAGTCGGCAGGATTCAACCCACATTCCGAGACCTTGACGAGGAGCTCCTGTGGCTTGAGGGAGGATGCCGCGGGCTTCGGCACATTGGCGTCAAGGGTGAGCGTGTGCTCGAGCTGGCCCGGGCGGCCAAAGCGCCAAGCACGCATGGTGGTGGTGTTGATGTCTGACTGGGACATGCTGACGTGCGTCTTGATTCGTGAAGAATGCCGATCAGGCACAGACTAGGAATGATGGGTATGATGGAAGGGGTGAGATTCAAGAATGAATCATGGCTGTTGTACGCTCTGTAGATTATTTCTAGCTGCTCGATGGAGTGAGGAGAAATCCATGATGACATTCTTACCTATGGGCATGCCGAGTAACTTTTGTACCTGCATGTCATGATGCATAACAGCATAAATCATTACAGTGAAAGATAACCACTTCATGAGGCTCACAGAGGCCATGCATAATCGATGGGTAGAATGCCTCCGTTCAGATGAATATTGAATAATCGTCGGCGATTGCGTGCGGCAGAATCACAGATCAGCAACTGTTCCGTTCCTGCTGCTGCAACACCACAGCGGCCTGAGGCATCAGCCACCGTGCCAAAGTGGCCCTTGATCTCGCCCCGTCACATTTCACCGCAGCACTTTCACTTGCCATCAACCTCACTCGACTGCCAAACACCCGGCTGCTAGTCCAACCGAACGCCATGCATGCTTTCTGGCCCTGGCCAGCACATTCCTCGACGGCAGGCGACCGGTATTTGCTAATCGACCGCCGGTGAGACAGCGAGCGTCATCTGGTCAACCCCAGGGTGAAACGATAGCGACGACCCTTTCTTCACCGGGGCCGCCATGCCGGAGAAATTGTCTGGGAATGTGAAATGTCGGCCGGCACTTTGAGAAGGGGGATTTCAGCTAGTACGGGGAATCCGTCGCCCTACGAGATCAGCAGTTATGCCAACCAAGTCGGATCATGAGAATTCCTCAGCAATGAACGTGGAATTGGCATTCGCAGCATCATGTCCTGTTGTGCTTGATGATCGAGATTTTGGACAACCGCCTGACACTTGTACGCGGCGACTTTGGGTATAAAGTGTTGGCAGTGGTCGCATTCGAAGCTTCATATCATCCCACTTACTCAAGCCATCTTCTCTTATCAGTGTCGAGCTCTCAACGACACAGTCTCACACAGAATCGTGCTTCCCAAATCAAACTCTCTGAACTCATACAACATGCAGATCGGCATCTATACCATCCTCGTGGCCTGCCTCGCCGGCACCGGATTCGCCGCCCCTCTCGACGCCCGTCAGACTGAGGACCTCGCTAACGATGTGAGCGATGTTGCCGGCATGGCTACAGACATGGCCAGTGGTGCTGTCGACGGCGCCGTTGGAACAGCCACCGGTGTCGTTGAGGGAGCTACCGGTGCCCTGAGCGGCTTGGGCGACCCTGTCAAGGGAGCTACTGGTGCCCTGGGTGGCTTGGGTGACACTGTCGGCGGAGCTACTGGTCCCTTGAGCGGCCTGGGCGATACCGTCCGCGGAGCAACCGATACCCTAGGCGGGCTCACAGGTTCCTCAGGAAGCACAGGCGGTCTGGGCGGTCTCCTTGGAGGACTTACTGGCCGCGATGAAATGGGCGATGGCGGCGCCGATGGTGATACCGACGATATGGATCAAGGCGGTATGGAGGACGCTGAGGATACGGCTGGATCCGCTGGCGACGCCGCCAGTGGTGCCCTCATGGGCGCCACAGGCGCTGCTGGCTCTCTCACCTCGGGCCTAGGGGGTTTGGGTGGCGCCTCGGATGCTCTGTCGGGCCTCACTGGCTCTGTCGGAGGGTTGACAAACGGCGCCGGCAGCTCAGGCGGCTCCGACCTTCTCGGCGGCCTGCTTGGCGGTCTCCTTGGCCAGAAGATGGCCGAGATGGAGCAAATGAACAACGAGAAGCGACAACTCGACGCCGTGTCGGGCCTGGCTGGCGGCCTTACGGGCGGCAGTGGCAGCCCTCTCGATACTCTCTCTGGATTGCCAGTCCTCGGCCCTCTGCTTAGTAGCCTCCTTGGCCAGAAACTGGCCGAGATGGAGCAAATGAACAACGAGAAGCGACAACTCGACGCCGTGTCGGGCCTGGCTGGCGGCCTTACGGGCGGCAGTGGCAGCCCTCTCGATACACTCTCTGGATTGCCAGGCCTCGGCCCTCTGCTCAGTAGCCTCCTTGGTCAGAAGCTGACCGAGATGGAGCAAATGAACAACGAGAAGCGACAACTCGACGCCGTGTCGGGCCTGGCTGGCGGCCTTACGGGCGGCAGTGGCAGCCCTCTCGATACACTCTCTGGATTGCCAGGCCTCGGCCCTCTGCTCAGTAGCCTCCTTGGTCAGAAGCTGACCGAGATGGAGCAAATGAACAACGAGAAGCGACAACTCGACGCCGTGTCGGGCCTGGCTGGCGGCCTTACGGGCGGCAGTGGCAGCCCTCTCGATACACTCTCTGGATTGCCAGGCCTCGGCCCTCTGCTCAGTAGCCTCCTTGGTCAGAAGCTGACCGAGATGGAGCAAATGAACAACGAGAAGCGACAACTCGCCGCCGTGTCGGGCCTGGCTGGCGGCCTCACGGGAGGCGACAGCAAGGGCCTTCTTGGTCTTGGACTCCTTGGCATTCTTCGCAGGGCTGCGGAGAACGAGCAGATGCAGAACTAGAAGCGTCAACTTGATGGCGACCTTGGCCCCTTTTTGAAGGCCAGTTTGTTGTCTACGTCGATAGGTTTCCTTCGGTCCTCGGGGATAGGAGAAATTATCTGTTCATTATCAGTAGGCTTAGTTGGTCGCAAAACTACAGACTCAATTTCACACGATTGTGACAAACCGGCTCCTAAACGTACCGTGGTCGTCATGATCCATAGTCCGCCTAGTCTCTTCCCCAGGATGGTGACAAGCCCCAGGATCGTACGTCTTGGCCAAAACACTAATGGTAAGCGGCTGGGCGTTGCCACAAGAAGAATATTAGGTAGAATTGTCACCGAAACTCTCGTAGTCCTCTTGATGCCGACCGTGTGAGGTCCATGACAAAGTCTAGACGAGCCGACAATCCCAAGCAGCACAAATGCCTCGGGTGCCTGCAATACTGTCTCCCAGGCGTCGAAATCCGGTTCTATACACGTAGAAGTTATCCGGCCACTTGGCCATACCTGATAAGGTAGCCAATACTGTGACGACTGACTGCGGTAGTGTTTCGTAAACCTGTACCATCATTCGCTGGACTCACAAGGGACTTGTCTGGCATAAGGTAAGGTACTCGTGCCGCGCCCCACCTCCCCCCAAGAGGTGGGGCGCGGCACGAGTAGTCAAGGTAGTTCGCGCCCGATCGTGTTTGACTCCAATAGCGGATTCTTAATGGCGTCACAGCACGTGTCACCATGTTCTTATTGATGGCTTCATCTAGGCAATAGTCGGCTTCACACGTGAATTGGAGGTTTACGAGTGATCGAGTGACAGCAGAGAGGCTTTCGAATTCATGGGGTTCTGCCTCTTGGCTCGCCTTGATCGCTTGGCTTCCTTGGATAGACAAGCACAGCAAGCATCAAAGTTCGCTTGAAGTTGGCTGCGAGCACGAGTCGTGAGCCGTGCGTTGCCAGCTGCGTACTCCGCTCCGTAGACCTGACTACATGTAGAAGTCTAGAACTGGAAGTCAAGCCATATCCAAAGACCGCGGATGGTCGGATGGGATCTCCAGACTCAAGAGTCCAGAGTCCAGGGTCGCTGCAGGGGCTCGCTGATCGCAGGGGTCACCTGTTTGATCAGCATTCTGTTGATAAAGCAGCAGGCTTTGGTGCGGTGGAAGCATGCCGCACTGTGCAGCTATGCAAGGAGCCCCCACAAACGCGCTGACGAATCCGGCTGTTCCGCTCACTAAAACCGCTGACTGGAGCTGGTCAGCACAGTGCAGGGCAAGCGACGCCAGCCGCTGTGAGTGGGCCGGTATTTTGGGGGTCGCCGTCACCTGCTGAGGCAATAATTGGGGGCGGTATGGGATGGCTACGGTAATTTAAGGTGGCGCTGAGCATCATCAGAGCCACCAGCCCGTAGCGCCAGTTAGCCGACAGCAAACACTTCCGTGATGCGCACTATCAAGAACAACCTCCTGTTGGGGCGCACATCTCCCCTCGAAAATTCCAATTCCGGTCGGAATTCGGACTTTGATGTGATAATCAAAGCTGGGCCTAATCCATCCAACGCAGCTTGTTGGCCTCCGGCCACTGGCTGTGGCTGGCTGTCTGGCTGGTTCAGTCTCGCTCTGGCCAGCTTTGAACCTTGCGACAGAATCTAGCTCCAAGCCTTCGCTGACCTGCTCTCCCACGCACCTTTGTATTTCTCCCTTCTCGCTCTTTTGCATGTTCAACTTCACACATGCCATCCACATTCACGACAATGCTGTGAACAAAATGGATCTCAGTCGTTAATCCCCTGCCGGCCTCGCGTAGGTTTCCGACAAACCCCCACGCCATCGTCCCCTTGGTCGTGTGAACAGTGATCGTCCTCGAGGCTGGAATAGACAACTCATCCCCCACATTCATCTATTTGCGCGGCTGTCCAACCGTCACTCAAACCTATCGCGGCTCCAAGTCTCCGCTACGAACGAAATGCGACGTACCAGCACGGTTGAGCCCTCGTGGTCGCGTGCCTCGTCGCTGGATACCATGACGCGCGAGCTCATCGACGCCGAGGAAGGCTGTCGACACAGGGACTGCTCAAACTCGTCCAGCTCTTGCTCAATTTCGAGTGGCGACAACGGCAGTGATTGGATCGAGAAGAGGACTTATGCTATCGATTCGTCCTCTGAATCGCTCATGAATTTTGGCGTCGTCGCGCCTGGTCTGTACCGCTCTGGGTACCCGAGCTCCCAGCACTTTCCTTCCATGAGGAAACTTCGCCTGAAAACTATTGTGTACGCTATCCCTGTGGCACCGCTACGGACCCCGCTGACCAGTTGTCCCAGTACTTTGGTAGTGCACGAGGAGCCGGATGACGCATTGAAGAGTTTCGTCAGCGAAGCCAACATCAAGCAGGTCTTCTTTGCCATCAAGGGCACCAAAAAGGAGGCCATTCCGGATGCTGTCATGTCGGACATTCTTGGCGTTGTGCTGGAACCGAGCAACTACCCACTCCTGGTTCACTGCAACAAGGGGAAACACCGCACCGGCTGCGTCGTCGCGGCGGCGCGCAAGGCAAACGGGTGGCACAGCAGCAGAGCTCTGGCCGAGTACCGTTCTTTTGCGGAGCCAAAGGTGCGCGACGCCGATGTCGACTTCATCACCAACTTTGACCACGTCGCCATGGGGATTGCTGTCCCAACACCCTCTATCTTCGACTCATCACCATATCTGATGGGAAGCCGCACACCACTTTCTGACATTTTCACCTCCTTGTCGAATTGGAAGTGGGGGAAACCTTCAACACTGAGGAGATCACCGCAGGCCAATGGATGGTATGTGGCCATACTAGGTTCGGCATCCATCTGCGCATTGATCATGTGGCTTCTGCGTGCTCGTTAGAGCCACGCCCGCATATCGATGGAGGGCTTGTATACAAACATCTTCTATGTCAAATGGTCATGGGCATCAAGGGTCGGAATAAAGAGGCGGGTCAAGTGCTGACGCCGCTTTGAATTGGCGTTTCTGGGGAGCAGGTGGCGGATGAGCCACTTTGAGACTGGTTCGCATCTCATCACTGCTTAATTTTACGGCGTTTGGGAGCTACTAGCGACGCTTAGCAATAGAGTACAATTTTTTACAAGGCATCTGTCTTGAGAACCCCATCTCAATGCCAAAGCTGAATACAACGAGATGATATGATCAAACTCATTCGCCTCACACAATGTTTCTACAGTACATGTTATAACAGCGCTCCCTCCGTCATTCCTCAATGCCCCAACGATTGCGCTCCTTCCTCTCCCTCTCGTCCTTCTCAAAATCGCCCGTCAACCACACCAATCCACCCGCCGCCGCGTTGACAAGGCCCAATGCCACGGCAAGACCCCTGACTCCGCCCCTGACGCTGAACCGCCCTCGCAGGCCCTGCCTCCTCCGCATCGCGGTGAGGGCGTACAGCCCGCTCCATGCCGCCGTGAGACCACCGGCCGCCGTCGGGTAGCCGGCAAGGTTGAAGTACGTTGCTGCGAACAGAGGGGCGGGAAACAGCAGAAGAGCGAGAGGCTGACGAGGGCGCATGTGGAGGCCTATGACGAGAGTCGCCAGGACAGATGGAGGCACGGCGGATGCTACGATGCACGGTCAGCTTCGGATCATGTGCAATGTGAGAGAAAGTTCTCTCGCGTGAGGGTAGACGTACAGCCCCAGCCCTTGAGACGAGCCACGGCAGACTTCGTCTTGGGGTCATTGGCGATCTCATCCACGACTTCTGTTCCCTTGTCCGCCATTTTGAGATGGCCAGGCAATTTACGAGGCCGCTTGTTTGAATTAACGATTATCAGAGTTTCCGTGATCGCATGAGCTTGACCCCTGCGATGACGTTGAGCACTCTTGATCTCGGACGCGCTAGTAACCTGCTCCAGTACCTTAGTCATCAATCTTATCACGTGATTCCGGTTGGGTAGCCGATCTTCCGAGATCCGGGATGACTAACTTTGACTCCGACCGAGTCACTCGCCGTCAACCATCTGCGTAACATTGACCTCCTTGCACAGCCGCGCGGGGGATGCAACATTGTCATCCAATATCAATGAGCCGGTACAACGGGACTGGGGTATTGTCAGGCTTTTCTCAAGGCGCCCTGACTTCTGCCCTACGTTAGTCCCGCAGCCATGCATCGAGGCGCCGTCCCCGACTTCCCGGTACATGTATTCCTTCCATCTTCCATCGATCGTTGACGGGACGTTCGCACAGCCTCCCCCATACATGGACCCTCCTTCCCTCCTCGACCACGCTCCATTTACCTGGGCGTTGACTTCACGATGACTCGGAGATCACAGGCCCATGAGATGCCTCTCCATTGAAGCTGGTGATTGGATTGCGCTGCAATTTATTGTACGGAGATACACTACCACTCCAATCGCCGCCGAGTCTCCCAAGTCTAGGTGCAAAAACCAACAACCATCCATGCCAACAAGGGGAATCATATGCCAAGAATTCAAAAGGTCATGACTTCGTGAACGGATATGGCATTGTGAGCAGCAAGTCTCTCCTCCGTGCCTGGTCAGAGAGGCAAAAGCGATCCTCGAATCACTCCACAGTCACACTGCTCCGCCACCACCGCCCCAATATTGGTGTCCGTGGTACCCTTGCGGGTAGTAGGACTGGTGCTTCCGGGAGTAGTAAATCTCCTCGTCGAGCTCTTCGCCTGCCACGCCGAGACCTGATGTGTGGTATGCCAAGGTCGGCTGTGCTTCAGGGTCACTGAAAGGCGTCTGTTGATGATATTGCGCATGGTACTGTTGGTGATGGGCAGACATGGAGACATCCACGGCGCTGCTCGGGTAACCGAGGTGAGATGCCCCTGACGTTGTTGGCGCAACAACGTCATCGTCGAGATTGTTCATATCAAAGGGTTCACCGGTCCAGAATGAGTCATCGAGCTGATCCAGCATGCTCGGCTCCTGCCCTCGCGAAGAAGAAGGCGTGCCGTAGATGGCGCCCTGACCTTGGCCTCCGTACCCTGTTTGCTGCTGCGGAGAGAGATGACGGCTGCGGCTTCCCGAGCCTCTTTTGGTGGATGTCGAACCAGAGCCGGACGGGGTCTGGCTATTGGCAGGGCTGGTGGTCTCTGCTGAGCGGTGATGACTCTTTTTGCCTCGGTGCGAACCTCGACTGTTGCTTCGGGAATAATCACAGGCAAGTTGGTTCGCGACGCATCGCTCACAGCCCTCCTTCTCACCGCTGCACTTGAGCTGTCCAAGGTTAGCCAGACGGCGCGAGATGATGATGGGAACCAGCAAGGGCTTTGCATTGACCTCCTTGCGGCCGTTTATACCTTCTTCTCGTGGCATCGGTTGCATGCCTGGTGCTGACTAGAGCGCGCTGTGACAGGGTCAAAGGTTCGACGGAGGTCCTGTACCTCGTCCGTTTCGGGATCGTATTTCCATGTGCCAAACATGATCTGGGGAAAAAAAAAGAACAGCTTTTAGCAAGTTGGATGAAGTGCATGCCGAGCCAACAGACCAAACGAACAATCTCGCGATCGCGGTAGACCATTTTATATAAGCCATGTCACGACACAACCAACATACAGCCAGGACTAATCTAGGAAACTAGGCAACAAACACCCCTGCAGCCCTGCCTGGCGAGCGCCCCGCATAAACGCCAGCCGCTCGCTAATGAGGCCACGGTCACCCGTCAACATCCATCACCAAGTCGATGTTCGTGGTGCACACCGCAAACTTGGTTCGATCATTTCGGGTGTTCTCGCTATACATGTATCTGGCATGATCGCGGTCGAGGGCCTTTTGTGGCCCCCACAGCGCACGCTGCAGGGCGAAGCTGGCGGTGCTGCCACCTTCTGGGCGCACAGACATGGGCGGCACGACGGTGATGGGACGTCTGGGAAAGGAGCATGGCGAAAACTGAACTCATTGTCTTCAGGCCCATAGGCCTGTTTTTAGTTTGGAAAAGAGTGGAAACATGTCACAATTCTTTCTGTCGACCCGAAAAACTGACAGGCCAGTGAATCTAGCCACCCTATACACGAACTCCTTTTTCTTAATGATGCGTTTCATCCATGGCTACCGCAGATCACATGCAAAACAAATGGTATTGTCAACCTCACGAACGTATCAACAAACCTTGGTCAGATAGGGAGCGAGGATCTCCAGGAGAGTGGCGGCCCAGGCAGAATGGTGGCAAGTTCTAGCCAACGTATCACGAAATATTGACCAATCAGAGTCGGACCTCTCTCCTATTTGGGACACCCGATGTCATGCGCACCAAAGCGACCAAACCCCAAATTGGTCCCGAGGTCAAAGGACAGTAGTACAAGATGTCCAGCAAAATGTAGTTAGGTATTATTGGCTGCTGGTTGTTCCAGAGCATTTAGAGTTCCCCAGGATTGGCCCTATTCACAGAGGTGATCGCCATACACTGCCTCTCCGTCTCAGACAGCCCTTTGGCACGTCTACGACTCGTGGATGAGGAAAGCCTGCCTCATGAATAGTAAATCTAGTCTCCAGCTTTAGCTGCCCAGAATTTTTCACGCCAGGGAGTGGAAGATACGATCGAGATTCGTCTCTCAGCCTCGTTGTTGACCCTGAAGGCTGCTTCTGTCTACACCCACAGACAGGTGTAGACCGGCTGGACGTTTCGTGTGGCGAACTGCGTAGCGAAGTACGTTTCTCATTTGCTATGGTTTGCCTTAGACCTGGTACTGGATAGACTATAAACCTCGAAAGGACGTGTTGACAACATTCCATGCATTGTAAGGAACGAAAAACTCCCGCAGAGTATAAGCTCCGCCACAGACAGCCTGTCCGGTAGGCCGCCATTTCCCTTCTATCCGTGTCTGCGTGATGGCAGCGGCGCGAAACGCACTCGTTTCTGCTCGCGAAGAACCACCTCGAGATAATGGGCAAAGTCCCTCAACTCAGACATTGGAATGCACTCCGTCAGACTCTCCTTTTGGCCGTCATCCCAGTGCACGATGACCTTGTACCGTTTCGGGTCACTGATCAGATCGGCCAGTATCTGGCGCACTGTCAGGTTGGGCGACAGCCCTAATCGCCAGTAGCTTCCATGACGGTGTCGGACGGCGCCATGTGTGTCATTCACCACTGCAATCGACGCAGATGGGATTGCCCAGAGTGGCTCAGCTAGCCTGTCATGCTTGTCTGCTGCATAATTAGGCTCGGCTGGCGAGTACAAAATATCTTCATCACGCGTCGATCTCTTCCGGGAATGGCGCTTCGATGGCACATAGTATCGAGAGCGCGTATCGTACATGTTCCTGACTGACTCGATTCTTGAAATCGTCTCATTGTGCGACGCTCGTCGCGCTCCTGCGTACGAGTGCGGGCAGCATGTGCATTGGCAGTCCTCGGGATCTCGACTCCCAGGATCCTTCATGATATACGCGCCGTACGTGGGCAGATAGTCATAGTCCCGATCTTCGTACTTGGGCTTTGCGCGAGGTGGGAGTGGCACGCAGCACTTGAACGCGCGACGACGGGAGCCACGAGCAGGATCTGCGTCGGCGAACCCACTCGAGTAGCGACGAGAGGAGATGAATTCGTGTGGCATGTCGTGTGTCTAAAAATTCGAGTCAAGCATGCTGGACTCGAATGCTTTTCGATGTTGAGGTGTACTTAAGTATCACTACGTGCCCGGGGGACTCGAGCCAGTATTCCGACACATGGCTGTTTGTATTGAGTGAACCGACGAACAACGAAGAACAACAAGAGGAAAGCCACTCGTCTGTTGTTCGAAGCCGAACAGAGGGCATATGGATTTAGTTTGGGCACGGTAAGTCTTGTTCTGCACACTTCATGTTCATTGTTCGCTTTGATGGAAGCAAGAGCGACAAGGGATGGAGTCGGGCCGTGCTGGAGCGACAGTACCGCGCTGCGACAATTAGTGAAGCGGTTTACGCGATGACAAGTTGCAAATCGACACGCCTTCCTGACGCTCATTGCGGTCGAGAGCTGGTCATCTCGTAGGCGATATTGACTGAGTTTCATACCTGGTAAGTTTTAGGGATGTGACTGGCGCAGTGACGACCGCTCGGAACAATATTTACCCCCGCCGCTTAGCACCCTTGATTCCTCCCTGGTGGGGGCGAATTGGGGCTCAGTTGGGGGGCAACTCTGGAGTTCGACGGCCTTCCGCGAACAGAGGCCAGATTTTCCGCTTCTCCACGACTGTCATTAACCCTCTCCCACATTGCCGGCCGTCAAACTATACGACAGACCCCATCTTAGCAATCGTGCTCGTACCGCTCTCTTGTGCCTCGTTGAACTCGTCAAAATGGCCGGACTCAGCCCCCAGATGTACGTCTTGTCGCTCGCTCGCTCGCGCGGAGCACCCCCCTCTGGCGCGCTCTCTTGACCCGGAAGGACAAAGGTCATGAGCAAGAGCAAAGTGCTAACAGTGGGCCAGCACCAACCTGATCATCATGCTCGGCATGATGCAGGTGTCAAAGAAGATCCCCTTTGACGACCCGCAGGTTCTCACCATGGTCCGCGGCGCCTACCTCGCCAGCAATCTCATCATTGCCTTGATCTACATCTACGTCCAGCTGCAGGTCAACAAGAAGAATGGTGCGGTCAATGACACAACCTTGTGGTGCGCGCGCGCGGTGACTGACAGCCGGACAGACAAAACCACTCTCAAGTACGTGGAGCCCGCTCCCGTCGGCTCCTCCGAGGAGGGCAAGCTCGTCACGACGACTGTGCAGGCCTACGACAGCGCCCAGCTCAAGACGGCCTTCCGCGGCCAGCTCGTGGGCATGGCCATGATGTCGTTCATGCATCTGTACCTCAAGTACACCAACCCGCTGCTGATGCAGAGCATCATCCCCCTCAAGAGCGCCCTCGAGAACAACCTTGTCAAGATCCACGTGTACGGACAGCCGGCGTCGGGCGACCTCAAGAGGCCCTTCAAGGCGGCCGGTGGCTTCATGGGCGCGATGCAGGGTGGTGGCGCGCAGAGCGACAAGAAGGCCGTCGAGGCTGCCGAGAGGGCTGGCCGCGGTGGCATCAAGGACGAGTAGGCGGGTAGAGTCGGGAATTGGCTACCTCTTTGCTCGGATATATACGTCCACGTAGATGGAGCTCGAGGCGATGCTGATGTAGAAGTTTTATAGTGAAGTCCTTGAATACAGGCACCGCGACGCAAAATCTCCCATTTGACATTACTGTTTGAAAATAGAAGAAATAGACACCTTCGATTCAGGCTTCCCAAGGAGCGGCGTGCGCAGCCAGGCCCTGGAAATTCAGGGTCCTGTGGCGCGATTGGTGACATCAGCATTCCAGGCTGAGTCACAGTCTTTTCACGATCGCCCCTCCAGAAGTTGAACCGACAAAGATCTGTCATCCACGGACAAGGTCTGTGGAAGCCTGTCATTAGTACGAGGCCCTCATTTGCGCGACCGTACCAACTGTCCGAAAGCATTCGCTTGAACATGGCACGACCAACAACGCCGCCGCCGTCCAAGGCAGCGACTCAGTCTGCAGGCTCACCACCAACCCCAGAAGTCACGAGGCGCATAGTACGTCGCGCGTTGCTCGCAAGAGAAAAAGAGAGACTCACAGCATGCAGGAAGAGAACCGTCTCCGTGCCAAAGCGATCCGCGACCAACGCGAAGCGCATCAACGAGCCACCAACACCGAGCCAACCATCACCAAGTCAGCGTCAGGGTTCGTGCCGACAGAGAGCGTCCACATTACGAAGCCAGTCAGCAGTGGCACCAAACGATCGTACGGCGAACCATCGCGCGAGAACTCGACAGCCGCGGGCACGAATCGCGATGGACGCAACAAGGGTGACGAGGACGCGCTACGTCCGGCCAGAAAGTTCACCAAGTTTGTAGACTACAACATGTCCTCCATGACAGACACCAAGGGTGGCTTCCTGAGCACGGAAGACGATCCGCATAACTACGCGCTGGGAGGCGGCAAGAAGGACGACGAGCAGCGACCGAAGGATATGACGATCCAAGAATGGGAGAAGCAACAGCTAATCAAGAATCTACAACGAAACAAGACGGGCCCGTACGAGCCGGGACTCAGTGTGCTGGACGATCCCAATCAGAGGAAGCGATGCCGAGACTGCAACTCGTTCGAGATTGATTTTGTCTGGCAGGAAGTGTTTCACCTCAGCGTCTGCCATCGATGCAAGGAAAAATACCCTGAAAAGTACAGTCTTTTGACAAAGACAGAGTGCAAGGAGGATTACCTTTTGACAGATCGTAAGTGCACGTCTCGTCGACCCAGGATGGCCATCTGACTCCGAACAGCGGAATTGCGCGACCCAGAACTACTACCGCATCTGTCGAAACCGAATCCCCACAAGTCACACTGGCACGACATGATGCTGTTCCTCCGCTGTCAAGTGGAAGAGTACGCGCTGAACACGAAATGGGGATCTGCCGAAGCCCTAGACGCCGAGTTTGCGCGGCGCGAGACACAGAAACGGACCCGCAAAGAGAGCAAGTTCAAGGAGAAGCTGATTGAGCTCAAGAGGAAGACGAGGACAGACGCATTTCGACGGCAGGCGGGGAGTCTGGAGAAGACGGGCGCCAAGGGGTTTGGCGATCGGATAGGCGGGGGCCGACACGTTCATGACTGGGGGCGAACGGTCTTGAACGCGGATGGCATGACAGTCAAGACATGCGCGGACTGCGGGATGGAAGTCGAGGAGCTGGAATTGTGAGGGCGGGTTTTGTCCCTAAACCACGATACCATCTTCAAGCCGTTTCTGCGTCGCAAAGCTCATGGGACGTGACTTTCGCCGACACTTACCCTATGCGGACCGAACCCGGAGGAGAACCGGCCGGACCTCAGACCACTGACGCGGGGCCCCTCACACATGGACCAATGGACCTCCACCCTCCAGACCGTGCCTACAGCTTCCACTACTTACGGCATGACCTCGCCTTCGTTTCCCCACATGCTATGTGCCGGCGTCCAGTTTCAAGGCCCGGCGTCGGAGGTTCGCTGGCAGCTGGCCCGTCCCCGAGATGATGCTCCTCACGATTCTCGAGCAGGCCGTCTGCTCTATCCTGTCCCATCACATACCAACCACAGCCCAGGAAACACCTCCATCCAACAGATTGACTCACCAACATGGCGCCTCAGAGGGAGCTGATACCGACGCAGTGGACGGCAGCTGCCAACGCAGAGGATGCTTCACCATCCGTGACCCTGGCCAGTCACCACAAGGACTTGCCATTCACCTTCTCGTTTGAAACTGTCCGCAGCAATGTTTTCCGGACGACCTTTACATCGCCAGAACACCCACTTTCACCTCATCCCAGCATCCCACGACCAGAGACCTCCCTCGACGGGAATGGTCCCCAGGTTACTTCTGGCCTCCAGACCAAGAGCATCGCGACGGGCGACTTTGAGGCGAAGATTGACTGGCAGTCCTCGTCCACCCCTGTCGTCTCCGTGTCGCTCCCGGGCCAGGAGAAGCCTCTGCACACCGACATCCCCCACCGTTCATACACCGTCGACGGCCAGGGCATCGCCCATTACACGCGGTACAACAGAGGCACGCTTCATGTGGGCCTGGGCGAAAAGGCCGCGCCCATGAACCTGTCGGGCCGCAAGTTCGAGTTGAACTGCACCGACAGCTTTGGCTACGACGTCTACCGAACGGATCCCATGTACAAGAACATCCCTCTGCTGATCAACGCCACGCCGCAAGGCTGCGTGGCCATGTTCTCCACCACCCACTCGAGAGGCAGCTACAGTGTTGGCTCTGAGATGGATGGCATGTGGGGCTTTTACAAATCCTACAGGCAGGACTATGGCGGCTTGGAGGAGTATGTCATTGTCGGCAAGACCCTCGCGGAGATTGTCACCACGTACGCTGAGCTGGCTGGGTTTCCCTTGCTGGTGCCGCGATGGGCTTTTGGATATCTCTCTGGGGGCATGAAGTACTCCATGCTCGACGACCCGCCCGCCTCCCAGGCTCTTCTCGAGGTTGCACGCAAGCTCAAGGAGCACGACATCCCATGCTCCGCGCACCAGCTGTCGTCTGGGTACACCATTGCCGAACACCACCCCAAGACGCGCAACGTGTTCACCTGGAATCACCACCGGTTTCCCGATCCCAAGGGGTTCTTGGAGGAGTACCATCGGCTGGGCATTCGCATCATTGCCAACATCAAGCCGTATGTACTGGCAAGCCATCCGGAGTACAAGAAGCTGCAGGAGGCCGGCGCCTTGTTCAAGGACCCCCACACTGGCGAGCCAGCGACGACGCGCCTTTGGAGCGCAGGGGGCGGCGAAAGCGGCGAGGGCAGTCACATTGACTTCACCTCTGAATATGGCTTCAAGTGGTGGTACGACGGTGTTCGCGAGCTTTGCCGGGTCGGCATTGACTGCATGTGGAACGACAACAATGAGTACACCGTGACCCACGACGACTGGGAATGCGCACTGAACGACCCGTCTCTCCACGTGCCGGACGGCGCTGAAAAGCGCCCGCAAGTCGGTTTCTGGGGCCGCTTCGTCCACACCGAACTCCATGGCAAAGCATCGCACGATGCCATGCGGGACCATGCGCCGGACAGGAGGCCCTTTGTCCTGACCCGCGCGGCTACGGCTGGCACAATGCGATACGCGGCTAGCACGTGGAGTGGCGACAACATCACCAGCTGGGCTGGTATGAAGGGCGCCAACGCTCTGTCGCTCAATGCCGGCATGGCCCTGATGCAATGCTACGGTCACGACATTGGTGGCTTCGAAGGACCGCAGCCGTCGCCCGAGCTGCTCCTCCGCTGGATCCAGCTGGGCTGCCACTCGCCGCGCTTTGCCATCAACTGCTTCAAGACGGGGAGTGACAACAAGGTTGGCGATGTCATCGAGCCGTGGATGTACCCCTCCATCACCCACCTCGTCCGCAAGGCTATCAAGCGCCGGTACGCCATGATTCCGTACCTGTACTCGCTCATGTTAAAGAGCCACAAGACGGCCATCCCGCCACAACGCTGGACCGGCTGGGGATATGAGGCGGACCCGGAGATCTGGACTCCGGAGATTATGGACGGCGAGAAGCAGTACTGGCTTGGCGATGCACTGCTCGTGGGCGGCGTGTACGAGGCCGGGGAGAGCAAGGCGAGGGTCTATCTGCCCAAGGCGTCGGAAGAGGACAGGTGGGGGTTCCTCAATCTCAACGCGCCGTACGACCACCTCGCCGCCGGACAGTGGGCGACCATCGATGCAGAGTGGCATGGCGCGGGGATCCCGCTGCTCGCCAAGGTCGGCAGCGCCATCCCGACGGGGAGGAGTGTGCAGGTCCTGTCGCCGGGTGAGACGGAGAATGTGGCCAGCCTGCCCGTGGACGACTACCGTGCTGTGGAGATCTTCCCGCCGCCCAAGTCGTCCGAGGGCAAAGCGTGGTCGAACACGTGGTATGAGGATGACGGCGTGGCGGCGGTGGAAAAGGTCAAGATTTCGGCGTACACTATCGGCTACAGCTCCACGGATGACGAGGTCGAGGTCAAGTTTGACAGGGACGAGTCGTCTGGGTTCGTGGCTCCTTGGAAGACGCTGGTGGTTGTGCTGCCCTCGGGCGATGATCGCATAGTTCGTTCAGGGGCTGCGAAGGTGACGGATCTCGGTCGTGACGGGCAAGGCAGAAGGATGTTTGAGCTGTCGTAGGCTTGCTTGCAGTTGTCAAGGTGTCTTTGATGTGATTATCTATCTAGTGAATTGTCCAGTGGATTATTGACCTTTATGTGTTTCTCTCAGCAGCATTATTTGCCCGACACAAAGCTCCATCGCACATCCTCCCAGCCCTCTCTTCTCGTGATTTTCATGCCGATCCCTCGCCATTCGAGACAGGCTTCGACAACGCACTCGCCATCCCACACTGCTCTGCCACAGGGGCCTTGAACGTGGCCCAGTCGCCATCCAGGGGACTGGCGTCGAAGCCCATGAGGAGCGAGATCATGAAGCCCAGGTTCTCGGCAAATGCAAAGTTCCTACCGGGACACAGGTGCTTCCCGCCTCCGAACGGAATATACGACGCCCGCTTGGCTTTCGTCGTGGCGCTACTGAGGTTCTTTGCAATGTCCATGAAGCGGGCCGGGTGAAACACGTTAGCATCATCACCCCAGACGTCGGTCATGCCGTGCAGGGGCTCGGAGGGCATTTGCACGTTGACGCCCTCCTCGAGGAGGTATGTTCTCCCCTTGCCATCCGAGATGGTCGTGTCCGCCATGACGCGGCGCTGCCCGATAGCCTTGTTCGAGAGGCGGATGGTCTCGTGATAGCACGAGGGAGTGGGTCCGTACAATCGACATAGGATAGTGTATTTCTCCTTATTATCGGGCAGTCGGTTAACATCTAGGAGACTCCCTTAACGGATAGTTCGCTACGCTATAGCTTGAGGGAGTGCGCGTCGGGTGCAATTTCGTGGCGTAGCTCAGCAGCTTCTCAGGGAAGGTCGCTGAGAACAGGAGCACTTGGATCTCTGGAGGGAGCATGGTGCGGACACGCATTCCCTTGACTCCTCAAGGGAGTGGGCGTTGGGTACGAATTTCTTGGCGTAGTTTGAGGATTGAGTATTGACTTAAGGTAACAAATAAATGAAGGGAACTATAACTCTCAAGAGATGATAATTAGTGGTTTATTATATAATATAAGCGTTATACGGCGTTATACGGCTGACCGTAATTATCGTGTGAACTTCAAGTGAACTTTAAGGAACACCCGCACACGGATATCACCAAGTTTAAAAGTAAGAGACATTACTATAGAACTATCTGTACAGACTATCCGTGTGGAACGTTTTGTGAGAGTTGAAAGGTAAGTATTCCTCGGGCTAAGTCGCTTCTCTCGAAGAAGCGGCAAGTGTTAGACAATCTAATTGCCTAATCCAGTCCTTGGAACTTTCCGAGCCTTCTTCTCTACTCTTCGAATTCCACCCACTCTACCACCACCACATTCACCATGAGCACTCAGTCTCGCCAACCTCGGGCCCCGACACAGCCTCCTTTTACCCCGGATTCAGTCGCACAGTTCCCATATAGCATCAGCGTTGAGTATACCGACACATGTGGTAAGTGAAGAGGCGTCTGGTCCCAACTTATGAGCCGGAGCTAACCAGATTCGAAGACCTCAGCTCCTCCCCTGTGCCAAGACACCTTACACGACATCCAGGACCTGTGGAGGGCCCATTTCGGTTACATGAAGCTGAGGCTGGGAGTTGGAAGTTGGAAGTTGGATAAGCCAGCGCGACAACTTCGAATCGAAAAAAGGAAGCGCATTTCCGACACATCTGCGCCCGGAGCCAGGGCCCAGAACACGAGCTCGAGGCCGAGCTCTTACATCAGGCTGTGTCCAGACCATCATCATCGAGCGAGCCGACGGACTCGGCAGAGCTGATCCAGCATCATATGAGGTAAATGGGGGTCCCCTACGACTTGCCAAGGAGGCTTACCGGGCAAAAGACAACGAGGCAGATAAATTGGCCGAGCTTGGGGTGGAAAAGCGGGGAAGTCTCCTCAACGCAAAAGGTAAGTCAGCTAGATTGTGAAGATGTCGTCTCTCTAACCAAAGCCCAGCTCTGGTCCGACTCTCCCGTCTGTCTGGGATACTCTCCCGCTTTCATTTGAGAACCGGAGTCCATGGGCCGTAGATGTCAGGGATCGACTGGACGTCTTTCTCGCCATGTCGGCGCCGTGGGACGTCGTCAAGCCGGCCGTTGACAATGTCTCTTCCGTCGAAACCCCAAAAAGACGAGGACGCCAGCCCAGGTTTCGAAGAATGGCTACTTGGTGACATGCCCACTGGCTGCGTGGTGACGTGCCGCTTGTGCAGCATTATTGAACCTCCCCTGAGCCACGCTACTCTATAGACACTACGGTGGGAACCAGTCAGTGTCGAGCACGAGGATACCATCGATGTTGAGTATTGGCACGGGAAACTGGCGTGCTCTTGGAGGGGGTGTGGCAAAGTCTTCCTCCGAGTCAACGACCTATCAAGGCATATACGGATCCACTGGCCAGTTTTCTCGAAAGACGCGGGACCGGGCGACGAGAAGAAGGTCAGGTTTTCGTCTTAAAACGGTCAAAGACGCCGACCATTGTCATGCCACAGACAGGTGGTTACAACCTGCGGAACCATTCTGTAGATGCTATTGAAGCGGTATTTTTTGCTACGCCCAGCTCAGAAGGCGTGCGAGAAGCCACCGGCGGGTGTGACGAAAGAGACAATATGATTAGTAGTTTATTATACAATACACGCGTCACAATAAGTCTAAACTAGAGGATTGAGTATTGACTCACGGGAATATGTGAATATTAATAACGCAAAAGCAAACTACAGCTCTTTATATCAACAGACAATATATTGAGTGGTTTGTTACGCAATACACCGTGTCATGCTGCTATCGCGAGGCTGACCGTAACTGGCGTGTGAAAGTTTAAGAAACACCACAAATCTTGAAGACAAAGACCCCCAGCACACCACCGTCTTTGCGACCCCGCAGATAGATCCTAAAACGGGGACTATCCGTCCGGAACCAGGAATAGCCTCTCCTCTCGTCCAAGCTTTTGTTGGCAATATTTTGGGTACAAAACTTTGCCATCCTTTAGCGGAACAGACTACACGCAGAGGCATGGCCAAGGCGCATAGAATATAGTGCAATTTCATTGACAGCCCGAGGAAATTAACGAGACGATAAAATTAGCAGATAAACATCATCGGAAAGCCACTTTCCGACTAGTAATACATACAATATCTGCCTTATGTGGTGGTGCGGTTTTTCGTGTTCGTGAAGCCTTCATGAGCAGCAGGCAGCCCCTACCTGCCCGGAAAGGCAAGTAAGATCAGAGTCAAGCATAGAGAAAGTGGAAGAATTTCACTTCTAGGCAAATTATGGCTATCCGAACTCCAAGGAGAATTTGAAAAGTGCAAGCAGAGCGTTGTGTGTCCCACCCCCCTTTTGTACTCAAGACCTTCAACTCATCCGACGCTACCACACCCTTGACCCCCTCGCTTTTCCGTTTCTTCCTCGAGCTGCGGCGTAGGTATATCCTAAATAAGAACAGGTTAAACGTTTGACGCTTGTACGCCACGTTCACGCGGCTGTGGTTGGCTATGAAGCCAGTGCCACCGCTCCGAAACTCGGCTGTCCTTCTGGATTCACTAATAGTCGAGTCTAATGAACGCTCACAAGTCAATAATCGGATGAATGTTGTCCAGTGGGTCCAACGCGTGACCGGCGACGCTGAGCCCTGCCTCACCTGTTTGTTATCATCCCACCAGTTGCAAATTTCTTGTTTCCTTTTCTTTTCTCTTCTCCTTCATGCTCCCATCTACTTGTACCGCGCTGCCAGTCACTCTCCGTAGTGGCATTTTACCACCCCAAGACCGCCGTCCACACCTCTACTCGAGGCTCTACACTTCTTCTCCCTGGCGTGGTGAGTTTGCGAGGTCATTCTCCTCGGACCGTGTCAATTTCCCTAGGGAAGTTGGCATTTTTGGGCAACTAATTCAATAGTTGTTCTTCGGTCCTTGGAACCTTTCTACAGCAGCTCACGCACTCTTCCGCCTTCATGTCTCAACCATCTCAACAGAGTAGTGGCAAGACCATAAAGAAGCCGGATGCTCCCAAGACCGGCCCCGAAGCCAAGGCTGCTCAGGATATCGCCCCTGCCCCCAAGACTGACAAGCAGCTGTTGGCTTATAAATACTACTGCCTTGTGCACGTTGGGTCCTAGAATGGTCCGATCATCGGCGGTGGCAACCTCGGGAAGCCTTGCCCCAGCGGCATCACGGCCGAATTTGTCTATTACGCCAACCCAGCTCATTCGCATTGGCGCGGATTTACGTTGACACTGCCTCGTGGCGCCAGCAACGTCGAGGATGGCTTCGGCACCTTTCGCAGCTGTACGTCCATTTGATGTGTGCTCTTCATTCGTTCTTTGACCAACCATGTCCACAGTCGACCCCCAGCAGCGAAAGGCGTCGGTCTCTCAAGAGCTCAGCTTGCATGTCCGCTTGCCCATGCACAAGACCAAGGCCCAAGCATGGGAGTGGCCTCCAGAGGATCGCGAGGAATACCGACCTGGTCCTTGGCTCCGAATCCACCTACAGGTCGATGAGGACGCCGAAGTCGAGGTCGATGACTGGGGCATGCCTTACGAGAATAAAGGGCACCCCTGTGGCGACTGGATCAACGGCGCGGCATCGGTGGGCGGTATACGCCTGATCGACTTCTTCAAGGGACGGGATTTCTTCTTCTCCGTCCGGGGCCCGAAGACCCCCCATATCTACCTCGAAAAGTTCAATCTGTCCACCAAGCTCGCCAAAGGTCAAGAGCTTCCGTACGGCGATGATCACGCTTGGAATCCCCGACTCTACCGTGGTCCGATGAGCGAGGATATCAGGGGCGATCAGTTTGAGCTTTGCATGCGCTTCGACGATACGAATGCGCTCTTAGCGACCATTTCCCAGTCCGTTGTTCAGGACCAGTTCTGGGTTGCTGAAGAGGCCATGAAGATCTTCAAGACCAAGCTTCCGGCCTACTTCCTCCCAAAGGGCAAAGAAGAGCCCGAATGCTCCAGTTTCTTCATGATCGTCAAACTGAACAAATCATTCCGTATCACCTTTGCTGATGCTTGGACGCGCCTTCAAAAGAGCGACGGCACGAACCGCGTTTGGACGAGCTTTTTCGAAGATCAGTCAGATCTGGACTGGGTTTGTCTCGGGGTCGATCACAAGAAGTGGGGAGAAGAAGCTTCTGCGCTCGATACTGGAGCTGAACTTCGGGTCATCGAAAGACCAGACAGGTTCCCGGTGCTCAAGAACCATGGCCTGGATGAGTTCGACCTGGTGCTCAACTACGGGATGCCCTTGGAGAGCCTGGATCCGTTGATGGTTCGGAGGGTGTTCTCCTCCCGTCAGCAAGCCCTGGACGCCCTGGCCGCCGATAGGTCGTCTTGGAACACGGTCACGTTGGCCCTCGACCCCCAACTCGCAGATACACAGTCTCTGGTGGAGTCTGTCTGGGACATGGGCAATTGCTCTAAGCGAACATGTGCCAGGCCTTCCTTCCGCCTGGATCCTGACGCCGCCTATCTCTCCCAGTCCCGGGTGCTTGAGTTGTGGTCCGGTCGAGGCTTCTGGCGAACCCAGCTCGAGGCAAGTAATTCTCGCAAGCGGAAGCGCGATAGCGTACCTCCAATTTCAAAGGAGCAGGAATGGACCCTGCCCACGACGAACCTGCTGCCTAAGGACAGTCTCTACTGGGAGGCTCTGAAGACCGACGTGGATCGCGACGACGTGCGACAGTTCGAACGCCACATGGCCCGAGCACCGTTGGGGGTCGTGCTCATTTCTGCGGTGTGTTCCATATGAACACCTTGTTCATCCTGAAAATGACTAACGTTTGTGTTAGAGTGCAGGCTACGGCAAGACGACCCGCGCTGCCGTGGCGGCCCTATGCTTGGTCGATCGGTTCAAGAAGGTCTACGCCAGCGGTCCGACGCACATCGCTGTCAACCACTTCCTCGAGCAAACGGACAGGCTCGATGCCAAGGCCGTCGAATACTACAGGAACAGTGATGGGGACGACCAAGGACGCGTGCGCCGCCTAATTGTTCGTGCCCGACGACTAGACGACGAGGTGACTGCCACCCGACGGCTCCTCGAGAAGCCTGGTTTGACCGAGTCTGAATTGTTCCCGTGGCAGGTTGGCCGCAACGATCGCTGGCAGCTCCAGAACTCGGTGGCGTACTGGCTGCTGAAGATCTTTGGATCTCCGGCCGTGGCAGCGCTGGATGATCGCGACCCGGAGGCCGTGGTCGCCCTACACAAAGACATTTTTTCCATCCATGGCGGGCAACGCTTGATCGACGCCGTAAAAGCTGGCGATTGGGACACCGTGGACAAGGCTGCCTCACCAGATGTACTGGACGGTCTCACGCGTCAATTGCTGGAGGATGCTGACATGATCTTCTCGACGCCTGCGATGAGTAGGCATGGCCCTTGTCTGGAATGGAAGAAGCACCATGCTGCGGCTTTTGCCGTCGACGAGGCAGCGAACATGAAGCGGGCTGACATGATGCGGCTTTGGGGCAACTGCCTCCTGCCAATAATGATGTCAGGCGACGGTAAGCTTGACCCTACGAATAATGTTTTTGCGTGCGTCTTGGTCCCTAAAATTTTCATCTAGACGAGCAGCTCGAGCCGGCGGTGATGACCGAGTACAACAAGGACGGCAAGGGGCGCTACCTCAACCGGCATTTCCAGGACGGCAAGATGTCGGCCATGCAGTGGCTCAAAGCCCACAACTGGCCCGTCTATGTCCTGGTCAAGCAGTTCCGTATGGCGCGTGGTATGATGGACGCTATTGGAGATATCATATACCCGGAGGTCAAGCTCGTCTACGCGCCCTCGTGCGATATCACAAATGCCGTCCATCGACCCGGCGTCTTGTTAGACGAGTTCCTGCGCGAGAAGTTCCCCTCGATAGCGCCCGCACCGACCGACAGGCTCTATCCGGCTTTTATGCATTGCCCCGAGACATTCACGTACCTGAACCCGGTGACGCATGGCAAGTCGAACTACCAGCAATGCGAACGGGCGCTCAACTTCTGGTGCGAGTTCTCGGAGTGGGTCGAGGCCAAGGGCGACGTTCTGGATCATCGTCAGATTGTCACCATCTGCCCATACAAAGCCAATCTCGAGGTGATCCAGAGCTTGCGTCGAAAGTACAAGTACGCTCGCCTGGACAAGATGCCACCCGCTGCGACTGTCGACTCGTTTCAGTGCAAGGAAGGCGGTCTCGTCTGCCTGATCCTTGGCACCACGCGTGCCGTTGGCGCTGGTTTCACGTCAAACCGTAACCGGCTCAACGTGGCCTGTACGCGCCACAGATCCGGTCTGGTCGTCTTTGGCGACATTCACGTCATGGGAGCCGTAGATGGCGTCGAGGACCAGCCGGACGCAGGCAGGCCCAAGGGCAAGGGCAAAAAGGCCAACAACAAGGTGGTGACGGCGGACGGCAAGAAGGTGCTGCAGTACACGGCAGCGGGGGTCAAGGCCTCCAATCTTAAAGGTCCTTTGAAAGACTTGTTGAAGTGGTTTGGGGAGAAGAAGCGTGTGGGCGTCATCCGGGGCGAGGAGAAGACGGGGTAGTAATAGAATTGGTGCGCCTGAGAAAGAGATTTTGAGACCAATCTACCGTTGTCCCTGCTCCGTGTTTTTCCTAGTAACACTGCCAGGCCCGGGCCTCGGAAGCCTTGTCTTGGAAGCTCCTCCTCCTTGGGAATACCCTCGAGCAATTCGTGGCTACAACTCTTTATTGGGTTGTCGTAGTTGATAACCACAGAGACACTGGACATGTCGATACCACGGGCTAGGACGTCTGTGTTGAATTCAGGATAACAATACCACGAGAACGCTGTGTTATTGAGCCAAATTGACTATTTGATAGATGCATAAGGATCAAAGTTCAAAGTTCTAGAGGGCACGAAAAATGAACTTATAGCGAGATTGATGCCCGAGGCTGCTGTTTGAGGGATAATTCCCCCCATACAAGGCTGCGTGCGGCCTGTCAGGCCGTCAAGGTGGGTATTGAGTTTGACAGTTCATGATAATGAATAACAGATCAGAAGAGCAAGAAGATCAATATTCTCTATCTGAAGATGCTGATGCCAAGGGAAGAAAGGAGGAAGAGCGCGATAGCGCGAAGATGCCAAGCAAGGCAAACCTGCCTGACAAACAAAAATTTGTAGGAATCAGACAAGAATCTTGTTCTCGCCGCTGCGGAATTTGGCGAGAAGCTCGTCACGCTGGGCGCCTTCAAAGGCGACATGAAGAGCCGAGACCTTGTAGCCATCGCCCATCGGCGGTCACGCGCTGTTCGATGATATTTGCGCTCTCGCGAGTCTATTTCTAGTCAGTTACTACTCCTAAATCAGGCTTCACATAAACTCACCTTAACGAAGATGACAGACTGGCTCATCGTTATAAGAGTCCAGACCGTACATTCGGTACAGAATAGTTCACTTCTCCTTGTTGTTTGGGCAGTTAATGGACGTCTAGGCAATCCCCTTGACTTTCAGTTCGCTGCGCTGTAGTTCGAGAGAATGGGCGTCGGGTGCGAGGTCCGAAAAGAGGAGCACCTAGATATCGGGAGGAAGTATGGCGGACACGCATGCATAGGTTACCAAGATCCTGCTAAGATATTTTCAATGCTTACTAGATCTTGGGTTTTAGATACACCGAGTGCGCAGAGGAGCTGTCTCGCGAGAGCATCAGGGACGGTATCAACGTTTCTGAGAACCGTCAGCAGGACGGACAGAAAACTGCTATCAGGCAGCATGGCAAACGGCACGACAACACAGAGTATGAGGCTCGATGGAGAAGAAGAGGAGGAAAAGGGGACAGTCGGACCCAAAACAGAGGAATTCTTTTACTACCCCTCTTCTTTTCATTCGAATGGGAAGGGGCCATGTTGCAGTTCCGCCATAGGAATGAGGGTGGTCATGTTGGCAGCACCGCTCCTTCCTTCCCAGACCTTGCCGTGCTGTGGTGCACAGTCTCAGCCCCCATCACAATTCGACACCAAGATGTCTAGGCATTCCCCTGGTAAAAAAGGGTTCACAGAGATCCAAGAATTGTATACACAATGTCGTCGGGTCAATTGGTACGTGGAGAAGTTGTTCACATATATGGCTGACATGACCATGTATGGCGCGTCTGAACGGCATTGATACATTGAAATACGTGGGTAAGCGTTTGGAACTCTATGGGCTCAAGATACAGAGATAGATATTACAAACCTCTTTAATGCTTGGAACATGAGTTCTTTTTCTTCGTTCATGAAGAAAAAGAACTCTGGGTCCTGAGATTCCTGGCAAAGTTTGCGGTCTTGCGGGAACGACACGCAATGTCTTGACGACGTCGAAGTCGAGCTTGACAGGTCCTCAGGTTCTAACCAGCAATTGAGGCAGGGAGCTAGGAACTCTAAACATGGGAACATTATTGAACAAGTAAAAGACATTACTATAGAAAAACTATCTGTACAAACTGCCCCCTTGGCTAAACTCCAAACTCTCATCATCACAGCTGTATCACGCATCAACCTCCAGTCATTGGAGGCTGTATCACGCTTCAATCTCCAGTAACCGAAACATTATCCGCATCCATTATTTTTTTTTTCCAATCAAAGCTTCATAAGCGGACCCAAGACCCAGTCCTGCGAGCACCTTGTTCAAACCTTCAACACGTTAGTCCGAGATACACAGAAAAGGGATCAAAGGGATCAAGAAGTTACATACCCAAGCCACCAAGGAGGCCATCGACGAGGTTACCTAAACCGAGGCCTGATAAAAGCCGGCCCACGATACCGAGAACGCCGGTTAGGAGCAGTCCAACTGCGGCGATGATCTGGCCAAGGGGTTCAGTCACTGTGTGTGATTAGCAAAGTCCATCTCCACAACGAACTTTAAAACTTACAGAGACCCCACAGCGGGTTAAGCTCCTTCTTCGCCTTGGGAAGAGATTCGAGCTTTCTCTTGGCGCCGTCGACGGTCTGGGTAACATCGCCGGTGAGTGTCTTGAGAACCTCGGCGAGGTGGTGCTCCTCAGGGGAAGCCTCCTTGGTGCCAGACTTTTGCTTGGCCTGGCGCTGGATACGACCGTCCGGGTCCATACCACGGACGATGCCATTGGTCTCCTGGAGGATCTTACCACCTTCCTCAATAAGGGGCCTAACCTCCTTGACGAGCTGCTCCTGGTCAATTTCCTCAGGCTTCTTGTTGTCAACAACAGCCATCTTGTCCTTGATCATGGTCAGAATGGGCTGGATCTTCTCGAGAGACTGCTCAATGGCGCCGCTGAGCTGGCCGGCGAGCTGGCGGTCGTTCTCTGCCTTCTGCTCCTCCGCCTCGGTCTTCTCGCGCGCCTTTCGCTCCTCCTCTGTCTCCTCGGGCTCAGGCTCCTCCTCCTGGGGAATGTCCTCGAGCAGGGCGACGTGGCCAACAGTCTGGCCCTTTGTGTTGATAATGTCGCCGTCAGCGTCAATCTCCTTGCCAATGACGGACGACAGGTCGCCAGAAACGAGCTTGCCAATGGTTTCGCCCTCGTTGTTGACGACGTTGCCCTCGCGATTCACCTTGAGACCCTCCATTGGACCCTTGGACTTCTCCTCGGGCTCCTCCTCAGGGGGGCTCCAGCGCTCCGCCTTGCCGAGCGTGTTGCCGTTCTTGTCGACAATCTCGCCGTCCTGGTCGACTGAGCGGCCAAAGAGCGTGTTACCATCACCAGAGGTGAGGCGTCCGACAATGTCACCAGCGGGCGTGACAATGGTACCATCCTTGGCGACGGTCAAACCCTCAAGTTCAGCAAAGGGACCTTCTTTGGAGCCCTCGCGCTCGCCCTCAGACACAACTTCGGCCTGGCCCAGGACATCACCTGACTCGGACAGGATCTGGCCCTGCTTGTTGCACATACGTCCGACCATGGACGAGGCATTGCCCTCGACGACCTTACCGAAGATGACGCCGGATCCGTCGACGACGTTGCCGGCCTTGTTGACACGCTTGCCAGCGAGGACAGAGCGGTCTGCCTCAGGCTCCTCCTCAGCCTCGGGCTCGTCCCAGGGCTCAGCCTTGCCGACAGTGTTGCCGTTACGATCGAGCACGTCACCATCTTCATCGACCTTGCTACCCTTGAGCTTCTTGGCGTCACCATCGATCAGAGTACCGACACGCTTGCCGTCCGCAGTGACACTACCGTCTGCCTCGACAACGGCATCGGGGAAGTTCTCAAAGGGGGCGTACGACTTGCTGGCAGCCTGCCTCTCCGAGTCGGAGACGGGCTCGGCCTGGCCAACGACCTTGCCGCTGTCGTTCCAGATCTGACCGTTGGCGTCGGAGCGGTGGCCCTGGAGCTCCTTGGCGTTGCCGTCCTTGAGCGTGCCCACGACCTCGCCCTGCTTGTTGACGAGCTTGCCGAGCTTGTTGACTGTGCAGCCGTCGAGGAACGACCAGTCGGGCACCTCCTCCTCGGGAGCCTCCTCAGGCTCCGGCTCGTCCCAGGGCTCGGCCTTGCCGACGGTGTTGCCGTTGCGGTCGAGAATGTCACCGTCTTCGTCAACCTTGGAGCCCTTAAGCTTTTTCGCGTCGCCGTCAATCACGGTGCCGATACGCTTGCCGTCCGAGGTAACACTGCCGTCGCCCTCGACAACCGCGTCGGGGAAATTCTGGAAGGGCGCGTCCATCCTCTCCTGGTCGTCCTCGCCCACAGGCTGTGCCTTGCCAACAACCTTGCCCGAGTCTATATGTGTTAGATGTGTTTGTCAAGTACAGAAGAAACAAACATACCGTTCCAGATCTGGCCTTGGCCATCACACTTGAGGCCTTGCAGCTTCTTGACATCACCCTCGACGAGCTTGCCAACAACCTTGCCGTCCTGGTTGGTCAGGTTGCCAGCCTTGTTGACGACGGCACCATCGAGCATGGAGCAGTCAGGAGCCTCCTCTTCGGCGGCAGGCTCCTCCTCAGGCTCGTCCCAAGACTCAGCCTTGCCGACCTTGTTGCCCTGGCTGTCGAGGACGTCACCATCTTCATCGACCTTGCTGCCCTTGAGCTTTTTAGCGTCACCCTCGACGAGCGTGCCGACGCGAGTGTCGTTGTCCTCGCTCTGCACAACGCTACCATCACTCCGGACGATGGCGTCGGGGAAGTTCTTGAAAGGGGCGTCCTCCTTTGGCTCGTCGTCTTGCGGGAGAGGCTCCGCCTTGCCGACGACCTTGCCAGAGTCTATGTATATATTAGATGTGTTTGTCAAGTGCAGAAGGGGAAACAACGTACCATTCCAGATCTGGCCCTGCTCGTCGCTCTTGCAGCCCTGAATCTTCTTGACATCACCCTCGACGAGCTTGCCCACGGTCTTGCCGTCGATTACGAGGTTGCCGCCCTTGTTGACGGTGGCGTTCTCCAGGACGGAGAAGTCGAGCGCCTGGCTGGCACCTTCTTCAGCCTCGTCCACTTTGTCCTGTGCATCCTCTGTGGCGTTGTCGAGCTTCTTCTCAGGATCCTCAGCTCCCTCTTGGGCCTTTTCGGTCGTCTCATCCACTTGACCCTGTGTGTCCTCTGTGGTGTTGTCAAACTTCTTCTCAGGATCCTCAGCTCCCTCTTGGGCCTTTTCGGTCGTCTCATCCACTTGGCCCTGTGTGTCCTGTGTAGTGTTGTCTGCATTGCCCTGGACGTCGTCCGTGGCCTCCTTACCCTTGGACCCCAACGAGCCGAGCGAGTTGTAGGCACCCTTAGCGGTCTTGCCGAACCAACCGCTCGACGACTTGCTGTCGCCTCCCTCGGTGGTGTACTCGCCCGCGCTCTCTGTGGTGTCGTCTACCTTGTCGGTGGCGTCGTCTGCCGCCTTTTCTGCCGAGGTTTGTGTTTTGTCTGTGGTGTCTTTTGCCTTGGCCTCATCGTCGCCAAGGGTGGCCTTGCCGAGCACATCGCCTGCCTCGGAGACAATGTTGCCGGCCTCGTTCACGGTGTTGCCGGCGAGCTCCTTGGGGTCACTCGAGTCGGCAATCTTGCCAATGCTCTTGCCGGACTCGTCCACAATCTCGCCGGACTCATTCACGGTACCGGTCACGGAGCGAGGCACATTGTCGGCCTGCTCTTTGGCGGCGTCTGCTGGTCCTTGTTAGTCTACACCATCCAAGCACGAGACAAGGTACGTACTTGGGTTGCTCTTCTCCGCGCTGGGGGTATCTTTTTTCCATCCGCCGGGGACGGATAGTGGGTTGGTGGGCATGTTGTAGTATTGTTTCTTTCGCTGTGGTAACTGCACTGAACTTCTCAGGGCAGCAAACTTGCGCTTCATAGTCTAGCTCGAGGCCCGTCGACGCAGCACCCTCGCCCTCTTATACCAACCATGTGCTCTGCGTCTGGCGGATCCAGGAACAGGTCTGTCTGGCCAGCAAACCTGCTTGTGCGAAACGCTGCCAACGTCACGTCTGTTATCCGTCCACTCCAAGGGTAGCTGGCTGACAGCGACGTACACTCAAGCCACACGTCATGTCCATGGTTCGTATGACATCGTTCGACCGCCACTCAGGCATCTGTGGCTGCGTGTGTTTGGAGGCGTGCGTGAATGCGTGGTGTGTGGGTCGTGGTTCATATCAAGGGTCGTCTCCATCGAGCCGACGACCGGGTTCCCCATGCAACCAGGACACAGTTGGCCTAGATTTCCTTGGCCACGGGACGACGATCACGCATCGCATGGGCCACAGCATCGAGATGGCATGCGTGCGTGGTTTGTCAAAGGCGATTCTGGGGACCCTCTCTAAGGAATTACATCAAGGTGCGGCGGGCGGGTGGGTAGCCAAAGCAGGTTTTTCGTCTACATCCATGCCGAAAAGTCCATCCTCTGCATGGAACCCGCGCCCTCTCGGTCGTGTACGTAGTGCACTGCGAATTCTGGACTAGATGGCCATGCGGCGTTATGGGTTTGAAGTTTCATTGATTATCCTAGTCATCATGGTTCGCAAGTGACATTGGAGCTCGCCTGCTCATCCCCACGGCCCTGCTCCTTGCTTCTACTTCTTCCTCTGCTTCTGCTTTTGCTTTTGCTTCTGCTTCTGCTTCTGCTTTCTTCGCCCCTCTGGCTGGTTTCCTGCTTCTGCTGTTGCTGCTGCTCCTGGTTGAATATGGTGGGGATCTTGAGTATAATCTGGATGCCATCAAACGTCGACTTGACGTCGAGATAAATCTCAGAGGGTCGTGGCGCCGACGCAGGCTGTGGCGCACTGCAGCCGCACGGCTTCTTCTTCTCTGCCTCTGGCTGCTTCTCCTGCTCCTGAGGCTTCTCCTCGTCCGCCTTCTTGGGCGGCGGCTCATTCAGTTTCCCAATGATGCTGCCGTCTGCCGAATAAATGTTGCCCATATCGTCGACGCGCAGCCCCCCGTCGAGCTCCTTGAGGGGCGGCTGGTCGTGGTTCTCCGAGACGTGGCCCACGACCTCGCCCTCTGCGTCGAGGACATCACCGTTGGCGGAGACGGGGCGTCCCACCATGGAGGGCAGGTCGCCCTCGACGCGTCCCTTGACGGTGCCGTCCCAGTCGAGGACGTTGCCAAACTCATCGACGTACTTGCCCTCGAGGCCCTCTGCCAGGCCCGCCGTCTCACGACGCTGGGCGCGCCGCTGCTCGGATTGTGAGGGCGCCTGCGGTGAGGAACCGTCGCCCAGGGCGATGCGCGGTATGGGCTCAATGTGCGCGGGTGCGCGCGGCTCAGCGTCCGCGCTCGTCGGCGTGAAGGACGTGCCCGCCCGGTATGGCACGTCAAACGTGTGCGTAGTGTGCGTGGGCGTGGGCGTGGGCGGGGACGGACCAGGAGAGCCCTGCTGCTCAGGCTCAGGCTCAGGCTCAGGCATTGCGGACAGTAGTGGACTGCAGTGGAAGGGAGCAGCAGCAGAAGAGCGCACGGGGGGGGATCCTGATGCAGTGATCGGGAGCCGCTGGCAGTGCACATTCCAGTGCGGTCGCATCTCGCGATCCATCAGGGCACGTTGGGGCCACGCCGCCACAGTCTGACGCGCCCCTCTTCCCAAGTTGGCCAAGAGGCCAAGCCGGATCGTCATGGCGAGGGTGGGATCGGCAAAAGCTTGACCGACCCTGGCCAAGGACGAAGCAGGCGTTGGGGGGGGGGGGGGGGCGGCGGCTCAGAAACTTGGCCAGGTGAGACGGTGGCGTGGCCCACAGGGATCTGGACTGGGATATAGTCAATAGCCGCAGGCGAATTCCTCTGGCGTCTGTCTGTCTGTCAGTCTTCGCGAACTGGCGCTACGAAGCTTAGCAGATGCGGGCTATTACGCTAGGCAGCGGCTTGGCTAGATGATGGTGTGGTCGTTGACACATTGTATCGGAAGCTAAGAACATTTCATTGGAACGTGGCCATGGCGTCTAAATTTAGTGCTCTATAATGGAATGAAATTATTCGATTGCTGGACATGGGATGTGTCGATCAGTGTCATAGTGATGAGTCTCGCTCATCAGTCCGTGTCCATCCGAACCAAATGATTTGCGCTCCCGCCCGTAGACAGATATGCATCGCTCGTACCAATTGATTAAATACACGAAACGGCCATCGCAGACAGAGACAGCCGTTGTTAACGCCAACCGCGCAGAGACCAGACAGTAAAAGGCACACCACAACTAGTTCTCGCTAGTTCCTGACAAAACGTGAGGATTAGCCACATGGCCCTGAACAAGGAACAAAGTATATATGGACAAGAAACAGGACAGAGGGCACGACGGAATAGATGGACGCAAAAAAAACGTCTATCCCGTGCTGGAGGTTTCCACGTAAGAATGGGCGCTGGTACATCGTGAGGAGGGAGTGCAGGGTAGGACAATACGTACAGCAGAGCGAGCTCGAGGTCGCCGTGGATTCGAGCCTTGAGCTGGATCTCAATGTCGAGGTTGAGGTCGAGACGCAGACGGAGCGTATCGCTTTTGCCGCCACCGCCCGACTCGCCGCCTTGCTCCTTCTGGCCGCCCCCCAGGACGCCGCCGCCAACTGAGCCCAGCGTGTTGGACACGGTACTCATAGCGCCCTCGGCTGTGCCGCCCACGTCGCCCACGCCGGGGATCTGGTCGAGCGCCTGGCTGGACGACTTGCTCTTCTTGCTCTTCTTCTTGGTCTTCTTCTCGCGCCGGGGGGGAGGTGCCGCGCCCTCCTCGCCCGAGGCGGTGCTGGCTGTGTCCTCGACGTACTTTTCCTTTGTCGGGGCCATTGTGCTGGGAGAGGTGTTGATTGATTAGGTTGAGAGACCACTGGTTACAGACTCGAGTATGGAGCACGAAGGCGGTATGATCATGAACGGAGGGCAGAAGACCCTTGTGATATAACAGACAGACGCACGACTTCCATATTCCCCTGCCATCGAGATGAGAACCGGTTTCAACAATGAGGTCATCTGTCAGATACGCCATACGCCATGACTGACTGACAGCCTGACAGACAGGACCGGTAAAGTAAAAAGACGATCCCTGTGCAGGGATGCTGTCCGAGGTGGGTTTCCACCCGCCCCTCCACACCAGCTGCGCGTGGAAATGGCGCGGACGCCGCAGCTGCCAAGTTCTGCGCACTTGGAATCAAGCTTCTGCTGAATCCGGGGACGTGTCTTGGACGTCTTGGGACTTGGGAGCCTCAGCTCACCCCTTGACATAGCGACTCTCGACGCCCTGCTGCATCATCCGTCGCCTTAGGCGCAGCGGCAAGCCAGCACCCTCGCCCTCGGGGTCCCAGTAGACGCTCCACCGCCCGTCCTCGCCCTTTCTCGCCCTGAAGCTGGCCGGGTCCTGCTGCAGCGTCAAAAAGTGCTCGTCGGCGCTCCAGCCCCAGGGCCCAATGACGTGACCCTCTGTCGCCTTCTTGCCCCCGAACCGCACCGCCCCCGTGGACCCGTCGACAAAGATCCAGTTGAGCATGGGCGGGTCGTCGCATATCGTGCTGACCAGGCCCTGGTGCTGCTCGGGGCCGGGATACTTGAAGTAGTACCCGCAGAACTTGTGCCCGGGCACGGGCTGGTCTGGGAAGTCGAGGTAGAGCTGGCGGGTGTGTGAGCATTGGGTGCGTGAGTGTGAGCACAGACAGTTGAGCTTACCTGGCCGTCCACCAGCACGCAGAACGCGGCCTCGCGCAGCTCGCCCTCCACTGGTAGCATCGCTGTGAGCATAAACTTGAGCTGCTGCTTGCACGACTCCTGCTGTCGCTGCTGCGCGCTGACGGCCTGGGCCACGCCCGTCACTGTCGGGATGGCCGCGATGGCGAGCAGACCAATGACCATAGTTGACGCGTCTGGTCGGTATGCACTTTGTCTCGCTTCTCGATTCGAGAAGATGATATGACGTTCCCGTACGTATATACATAGCAAGACAGCTCTCTGTACGTAGCTTCTAGACTAGTCACCTAGTGAGTCTAGTCTAGGCTAACAGAGGATCCACGCACACAATAATTACACCGTAGACACGCAAGATGGGACCCTCCTCCATTCCAACCCCTGCCCGCCCCATACACTGGCGTCATAGGACGTCTGCCACCCCTGCCCTCCTTTGCTTCAACATCCAGCCTGTAGGTTTCCAAGTTTCGACAGCTGTGGCAGTAGAAGCTGTTGCGTCACTTGGCGTGGGCTCCGCGGGCTGGGACGCGAAACCCTGCTTGGGGAGACCGCTTATCAACGTCTCGTGCGGCTCAGCTACGGAATGTCCATAGTCCACACTCTCTCATCGACCTTCCCCTCCCCCACGGATAGACACAGCCTCTTGCAGATAGACACAGACAAAAAGCAGCGACAATGAGCACCGTAGGCTGCCCACCGTCTGCGCGCGAAGCAGCTGAGCTAATAGACGACAGGCCACCAAAGACAACGACACCAAGTCCAAGAAGGACTTGAGTGACAAGATGAACGCGCCGCCGAAGCAAGAAGAGCAGGAGGAGCCGAGTCAAAGCCCAGAGCAGAGCAACGGCACCGCGCAAGAAGACAAGCCAGAGCAGCCGTCGTCGCAAGACCAGGACGACAAGGCCAAGCCCGACACGGACAAGGCCACCGACGGGGACAAGCCGGAGGACGCCAAGAAGGCAGACCAAGCCGACGACAAGGTCAAGCAAGAACCCAAGGACGAGGACTCGAGCGCCGAGTTTGAGGACGCCGTCGACGACTCGTCTGCACGTGACGATGACGACTCCTCAGAGGAAGAGACTGATGACTCAGAGGAAGACGAGAGCGAGAGCGAGGAGGAGGAGGAGGAGCCCACCACGCCAAAGGGCCAGCTCACGCGCCGCAAGAAGCAGTGGGAGGAACAGCGCCAGCTGCAGCAGAAGCAGAAGCAGCAGGCGCAGCAGCAAGGTGGTGGCGGCGGCGGCGGTGGGAAGAGCGAGTCCCTCAAGCTGAGGCTGGACCTCAATCTGGAGATTGAGATTGAGCTGAAGGCGCGGATCCACGGTGACCTTGAGCTTTCTTTACTGTAGGTGGGTCCCTATCGTATGTATTCTGGACAGGCATCGTGTTGACGCTGACAGTGATGGATGAGCAGCGAGGGATAGCGGGCGTTTGTTTTGTTGCTAGCTGGCGTTGGGACTTCTTGTCTTGTCATGAGCATTCATCTTGAGCGTGCATCTTGCTCGAGTGTCTGGTGGGAACAGATCTTATCACTCCTTCACTACTGTATGACGGTCGTTGGCAGTCTATGCATTAATCCATTGACATTACACATATTGATAGTCTCTGCAATTATCCGTCTGCCGTGGTACAGAGTACATAACCTCACGTCCCGTCAATGCTTGGCCATCTGCTTCTTGGCCAGGACGGCCTTCAACGGATTCCTGCCGTTGAAGCGCAAAAAGGTGGCGGCAAAGATGACAAAGTAATTAAACGCAATGAAACCACAAAAGATACCAAAGTCGCGCCACTTGTTCGAGTAGTAGACGCTGAAGCTGCGTCCAAACTCGTCCCCCGTCGCGAACTGGCAGTAGTTGCAGACGCCCCCGGCGCCCGTCTCGACGTAGCCGCCGGCCTGCTGGATAAAGGGCAGGATGTACTCGTCGCACGAAGTGCCCGGCGGGGGCGTGAACTGGGCAAACTCGGCGGCCGTGCAGCGGACGGGCAGGTCGTGGATGGCGACGCCCAGCAAACCCTCGAGCAGGTAGTGGAAGGGGGAGAGCCAGTACATCCAGCTGCGCCAGAACGTGGGCAGCTGCTGCGGGGGCACGACGACGCCGCAAAAGGAGACAACGAAGAGGAAGAAGATGGGGACGAGGAGCGAGGCGAGCAGCGCGTTGGGTGCAAAGGAGGCAATGGCCTGGCCAAAGGACACGTAGTACAGCTCAAAGAGGAGGACGAGGAGGAAGGCGAAGCCCGAGGCAAAGGCGGACACGTCGAGGCCAAAGATGCCCCACCACCAGCAGTTGAAGTCTGTTCTTATTAGCATCGTACGAGAAGGTCCAGATAGGACAGAGAAACTCACAGACACCCCCCGCGACAATGGCGTACGGGATCTCGACCACGACGGCCGCCGTCGTCCACGCGAACCACGAGTAGATCTTGGCATTGTTCTCGCGCGACTCAAAGATGTTGCGCGCATTCAGAAAGACGGGCTGCAGCTGCTGGATGAGCGGCGGCGAGATGGTGAGGGTCATGAAGACGGAGAAGAGCCTGTTCTGGTAGTCGGTGCTGGAGAAGCCAATCTGGAAAAACGTGAAGCAGTTGAAGAGCCCCGTGAGGATGTGCAGCATGAACTTGCCGATAATGTAGTTGGGCGTGCGCCAGTACGCGACAAAGGACCGCTGCACCACGAGCCAGGTCTGCGTCGACAGGGGCGCGGCGTACTCGCGGTCGTCGCGCAGCGAGGCCGACGGCTCGACGTGGCTTCGCTTCTCGATCATGTCGGCAATCTCGCGGCTGCGCTCCTCGTGGGCCTTGGACCGCGCCCAGACATCACCCCAGTCCTGGCCCCGGTAGTCGGGGTCACCCGCGCCGATGGCGTCGAGCATGTACTCGGCTGGGTTCGCGTCGGGGGGACACTTGTGGGCGCCGTTGGCCTCAAAGTACTCAATGAGGTGCTGGCTGTCGTGGCCCAGGGGCCCGTGGTAGACGACGCGTCCGCCACTCTTGAGGAGCAGCAGCTCGTCAAAGTGCTCAAAGAGGACGGCCGAGGGCTGGTGGATGGTGCAGAGGACGGCCTGGCCCGCATCGGCGAGCTTGCGCAGGAAGCGCACAATGTTAAAGGCCGCGCCCGAGTCGAGGCCGGACGTCGGCTCGTCGAGGAAGAAGAGCAGCTCCGGCTTGGACGCGAGCTCGACGCCAATCGTCAGACGCTTGCGCTGCTCCTGGTCCAGCCCGGAGCCAATGGTGCCAATCGTCGCACCCGCAATGTCGTGTAGCTCGAGCAGGTCGATAATGGTCTCGCAGTAGTCTAGCTTCTCCTGGCGCGGCGTCTCTCTGGGCTGGCGTAGGAGGGCGGAGAATTGGAGGGCCTCGCGCACTGTCGCCGTCGGCTCGTGGACGTCCATCTGCTCGGCAAAGCCCGTCGCCCGCTGGAAGGACACGGGGAGCGGGCGGCCGTCGACGAGAAAGTCGCCCGCGACGGTGCCGAAGCTGATGCGCTGCGCGAGCGTGTTGAGCAGCGTCGTCTTGCCCGCGCCCGACGCGCCCATGAGCGCCGTCAGCTTGCCGGGACGCACGTAGCCCTGGACGTCCTGCAGCAGCTTGCGCTCGCCCTTTTCGTAGGGGATCGTGTAGTTGACGTTCTGAAAGGTGAAGACGGTCTCGTTCTTGGCGACCTGGTTGGTTGTGTCCAGGTTCTGCTGCTGCTCCTCGTGACCCTCGTCGGCCATGGCGGGCGTGACGTGGGCAGTCGGCCCCGCCTCCTCATCCGAGGACCCCTTCTCGTCGCGGCCGCCCGTCTCAATGGCCTTTTCCAGCGTCTTGGGCACCTGGCCGCGCTTAAAGACGGTGATGGCGCCGCCGCCCGCGTTGGGCTTCATGCACTCCATGCCGACGGTGGTGAGGAGGACAAAGGCGAAGAAGAACGCCCAGAGGAAGCCAAAGTTGCGCCACAGGTGCGAGCGACTGTACTCAAAGGCCGCGTCAATGTAGGCCGCGCCCGAGACGGTGGTCTCCCCGGGGACGCTGCCCTTGAGGGCGCACGACTGGTACTGGGGCTCGGCACCGGGAACCTGGGGCACGAGGTAGGGCGGGACGCACTCAATCTGCAGAAAGGCAAACTCGTTGGCCATGAGGCACTCGAAGCCGTACTGGATCCAGTTGATCCAGCGCAGCCAGCTGAACCAGACGGGCATGGACGAGGGCGGGATCAGGTAGCCCGTGTAGACGACGAGGATCTGGATGGAGAGGCCGGTGAAGCGGGTGGCGGTGTCGAGGGTCTTGCACCAGGCCGAGATGGCGCGGAAGAAGGCGTAGGTGGTCATGGTGACGAGCCAAAGAATAAGAGTGGCGATGAAGAACTGCGAGGCCGTCCGGGCCAGGTTGGCCATGAAGTAGATGATGAGGTTGAAGAGGACGACCTGGATGAAGATGAGGGGCACGTCGACGACGGTCTGCGCAATGGCGTACGCCGCCGGCCGGTAAAAGGAGAAGGACTTGTGCTTGAGCAGAATGGGCTTGGACTCGAACGCGGCCGTCTGCTCGGCGAGGGCGAGCAGCGCGTTGAAGAGGAGGAGGAAGAAGAGCGTGCCGCCGCGTGGAAAGGCACCCGCCGCCGTCGGCTGCAAATTATAAAAGAGGGAGCCGACAATGAGACCCTGGAAGACGAGACCACCCCATTTGCCAAAGAGCGAGGCCCGGTCGCCCGTCATGACGAGAAACTGCCGCTTCGTGCAGGCCATGACCTGCTGGTGGAAGGGCAGCGTGTAGTTCTTCTCGGCCGACTTTTTGGACGCGTTACGCTCCCGCTGCGACTGCTGGCGCTGCAGCTGCTGCGTCTCAAAGTCCTCGATATCCCGCAGGTTGTTCTGGTAGGCCTCGCTGCGACGGTACGCGGCCGCAAACTCGTCGGCGGTGCGTGGGATCCTGTCCTCCCAGCCCTCGCGGACGCTGCGCTCGTGCTGGTCCGAGACGGACGTGAGAAAGTCGGGCGTCGTCCAGCGCTCGGGACACGCAAAGCCCAGGTCCTGAAAGTACTTTTTGGCGCCCTCCGAGGGTCCAAAGTAGAGGCACTTGCCCTCGTCGATGAGCAGCACCTTGTCGGCCAGGTTGTAGAGCGACTCGCCCGCCTGGTAGAGCGAGACGGCCGTCGTCACGTCCGCCATGTTGGTCATGGCGCGGATGCTGCGGACGTACTCGAGCGCCGTCGACGCGTCGAGGCCCTTGCTCGAGTTGTCCCAGCCCTGCACCGACGCCCGCGTGATCATGGCCTCGGCAATGGACACGCGCTTGCGCTCGCCTCCCGATACGCCCCGAATGAACTCGTTGCCCACGCGCGTCCCGAGCGTGTGCTCGATCCAGAAGAGCTTGGTCACCACGCGCAGGAACTCGCGCACATAGTCCTGCCGCGTCTCGCCCTCGAGTCGAGACTCCTTGCCGGGCGTCCGCGTCTGCAGCGCAAACGCCAGTGTCCGCTTCACCGTCAGCGTCGCGTAGTGCAGGTCGTCCTCTGGGTTGTAGATGACCTCGCCGCGAAAGTGCTTGGCCATGTCCTCCGCGCTGGTGCCCCCGTACGTCACGTCACCCTCGACGCCCTCGTAGCCTGCGCGCTGATTGCAGAATGTCTTGAGGAACGTCGAGCAGCCCGATCCGGGTCGGCCCAGCACCAGCAGCAGCTCGCCCGGTCGGACGCAGCCGTCAAACTGGCTCAGCAGCTCGCGCACGGGGGGTTTGGCCAGTGCCGCCTTGGGGCCCTTTGTGAGAAGGTTCTTGAGGGCGCGCGGCAGCCCGAGGAAGACGTCGCCCACCGTCGGCTGCAGCGACGCGCCCAGACCGACGCCCTTGACGGTCAGGTTGCGGAACACGACGCCCGCGTGCCGCGTGTTCTCCTCCTCGCTCTGCTCCTGGCGCGCGTTGCCAAACATGCGCGACATGAGCCGGTTGATCTCCTGCGACTGGTCTTCCTGATCGTCATCGTCCTTGCTGGTGGCGTGCGTGTTGGACGTCCGACGGCGCGACAGGATGCGAAAGAGGTCATCTTCCGTGTGGCCGGTCGGGCGCTTCTCCAGCGGTGGCTTGCTGGTCGTCTCGTTGGGCGTGGTGCTCGCCGAGCTGGTCGTGGTTGTCTCCTCGTGGTTCATGTTGTCGCTGACATGGTGTTGCTTCGGGAGCGTGCTGGTGGGCGAGGGCTCAGCAGCAGCAGCCTCAGCTCCAGCGGCGGGCGCCCTCCCACCTGTCAAGATGGGGGCCCCGACAGCTGCGTGAAGTCCTCCTGTTCCTGGCGTTGGCGTCTGCGCGCCGTCTGTGTGCATGGTGCTGGGCGTCTCCGGGAAGCCGCCCGGCACATCTGTGTCCTTGGGCGTGGGTACGTCCATCTTGGTGGTGGAGGCGGCAGCAGCAGCGACGACGGGAACATGGAAGAGAAAAATAGAATCAAAATAACGTGTGGGTTGGCGCCGATTGTATATAGTACGTGTCAGTCCATTTTCTTCTGCCACGTCGGGTTCGCGTGCAAAGTCCGTCGCGCTCGCTGTCTCCAGGAAGGCCGAGCACGAGTCTATGACGCGAACGGGCGAACGGGCACCAGTGCCCGGTGGGTAAGACAGGCGCTAGAGCACTCGCTGATCTACCAAAATTAGTAGATCGATAAACTATACGATTCGTAATTTTAAGCTCATCCGTATCTGGCCACGCTGGAGGCTGTAGCGTGAGTCCTGAGTCGTGAAGCGAGCATCAAGCCGCGATCCAGCGACGCCAGGGACCGACACTATGGCCATCATCAATATCGTTAGACTCTTGAGAGTTTTCCTTACTTACGGCTTACATCGATGCCCGCGGGCCTGCCGCGCGATTCGTGCCCAGCCGGGGTCGGCCATCTGCGCAGCTGGTACTGACTCCCGACGCTGATCTGATGATGACATCATTCATATTCACCATATTCGACGTGTAGATGATGATGTGAAATTGATGTTTGTTGTTTGCGGTCGTGCTCGGACGTCTTGGCATTTCCATGTCTCGAATCACCGACAAACCGACCCGTACCATGTATCCGGATCCCACCTCCAATCGTCTCAGAGCCAGACACGGCACGGCTGCGCCCACGACGTCTCACAGCCGAAGTGAGACTTTCAAATGTGAGGTGCACACAAACCAGACCCCCTGACTCAAGTCGAATGACTAATCTCGAATTTCAAACAGCCTAACCTAGAGCTCAGGGGATGCAGTGGTGGAGGACAGACTGAGAGCATCACCTGCTGTCACCGAACAGTCAGTACCGCCCAGCCGAGCTCTTGGGTGAGGTCCACTACTGGTCATGTGAGCATCACGCCGTAGAACCGGATGATGATCCTCGACGATCTTTGCAATAGGGAGACTGATGCTCCGTACAGAGATGAGTGAGGGATTCTCGAATGGACGCGGCCTATGCGGGCAATGAACGTCTGGGGTAGGTTGGACTTGCTGGGGCGTCGTGTCCACGAGCGTGAACTGATTCGCGCCATTGAAAATGATGGTGGCACGGAGCGCATCCGTCTCCGAAGATGACATGATCCGTCCAATCCGGTCCGGTCCGGTCCGGCGAGAAGACGACGTCGCTGAAGCGCTTAGGTATGGAGTAGGTATTTGGACATTTAGCTCTGGGTTGGTTGGTTCTCGAGACAGGCAGTTGCTGAGCTATCCGTATCCGTAGTACCGAGTCCCATCGCGAATGAACATGAATCGAGACAAAGATCTGCGTCAAGCTCATTGGCTCCGTAGACATCCCTGCCATCATCCCCACCTCCTCTGACTAGCGCTCGGGAGTTCCCTTGCCTTGCCTTGCCTTGGGCTGGTGCAGCGTGCTACAAGCACGCACCATGTACAACGGCCTCGACCTCAACATCTGGCCCCCCTCTGGCCTCGGACACGATGACTTTGATTGTACAATATGACAGCTTTCGAGATAGGATGCGCCAGCGATGGCGTCGGCGTCGTCGTGCGACTCGAGAGCAGTCGGACAAGGACAGCGCTCAAGCCGAGCCACAACCAAGCCAGTCTGCTTTAACCGAGTGCGCCCGCCTGGCACCTGTGCTTGCTTCAGCTTGCTAATTGAACTGTGCAAAAAAAAGAACAGCTTCTCTACCGGGATCCCAAGAGTCCACCGGCGAGCCGACGCCTTCAAGGTCCTACCAAGCTACGGCGACCGCTCTGAGGCCAGCCACCCAGGGCCAGGTCAACAATCACATTGCGTTTCTATCAAACCAGGCGCTTCTCCCCGTACATGAACCCGCGCATCAAGACGCCGACGTGAACCCCTCTGGCAGTGGTTCTGGCGTGGTTGACCATTCAGACCTGTGGAGCGCAGCATATCGCGAGGCAATAGCCCGTCTTGGAGAAGACATTGACGTTGGCATTCTCCAGGGCAAAAAAGTCGCCCAGTTGTTCGAGCAGCTGGAGGAGGCTGATAAAGAGGCCACTCAAGAGTCCATCTTTCTGCGAGGCGTGGAATACCTGCGGTCCATCCAAGTACCGCTCGAAAAATTCAAGTTGGCGTTGGATCTGGCGAGCCCACTGACGAGTATCGAACCGACGGCTTCCACCGTCTTTGGTGTGGTCCGAAGCGTCTCGGCGGTGAGTTTGTTTCAAGTTGACAGATCATGGCTGGCTCTTGCACTCACCATGTACATACACTCTCCGGTCACATCTACTAACTCTCTTTTGCCCAGATCGCCATCAGCATGGCAAGTGCCGATTTGGATTTTGCGAAGCAGATTGGCGACATGCTGGAGCAGATTTCCTACATTGATGATTGCGATACACTTGGTCAAAAATCTCACAAGCAAGACATTCACGAGGTAAGCATTGGGCAAGTCGAGCGGGGAACCCATTATTCTGACGATTCCTAGGCCCTGGTGTCGGTGTATCAAAGCCTCCTTGAATTCTACAGAGTGGCCTTTGAGATTTTGACTCGGAGAGGCGCCAGCCTGATGGTCAAAATGGTCCTCGAGACGGACCATTTACCAAATCTTGTGCAGGAGTTCTTGAGCCAGGCTGATGTCCTCCGCAAACTTATACAAAAGGCGACATGGGAGATCGTGGAAGACATCAAGTCAATGCTCTACGATCGAGAGAGTAAGTCACCAGTCTACGCAAAGCACCGCAGTGTATGTTAACTCTGCGCCAGTTGCCAGATGGCTGGGGAGCCAAGGGATGAGCCGGCAAACCCAGCATCATGCGTCTCTGCGGAGTGGTCGAGCGGACGGGGCCTGCGATTTCCTGTTGGAGAATACTGACTTCCAAACATGGTACCAAGCATCCAACTCTCGGAAACTCATCATTCTTGGGGACGTGGGCCACGGCAAATCCGTCTGCATGTCATTCCTTGTCGATACACTGCGGCAACGCAACGAGCATCAGCTTCCCAACCCCAAGGTCTGCTACTACTATTGCCGGGACGATGAATCGGGCCGGCTGACGTCTATTCTCTCGACGCTGATTTTGTCCCTCCTGGAGCAGCTCTCTGGACTTAAAAAGCCATTCTTTGAACGATACAAGAAGACGCAAGCTTCTGACGGCGGCAACCCCGCTGCAGATGCTCTCCAACTCGAGGAATTCTTGAAATGGATAGTCGAGACTGTCGACCGACCGTTATTCATAGTCATCGATGGCCTGGACGAATGCGACTACGAATCTCGAATGCAACTCATGAGGATACTGGGCGACCTCTCGCACAGGAGCTCCATGCTCAAGATTCTGCTGTCGTCGCGACCCGCAACAGAGTGCCTCGCCCAGTTCGCCCACTTGCCCAGCATCCAGCTCGGCCTGGATGTGCGGCGTGATGCCATCATCGTGGAACACATGGTGACGAGAAGATTATCCTACCTATCGACCGAGGTCAAGGCACTTGTCATCGAGACCTTATCCTCCTTGGCGCAAGGGAGTGCCATTTGGGTCAAGATGGTGGTTGACCTGATTCAGCTCCGCCGAATCACAGCTCTGGAATCGATGCGACGTTTATTGGTGGCCAATTCGTTGCCAACAGAACTGGCAGCCCTGTACGGCGACATCTTCTTGCGATGCACAACCGATGACCCCGAGAACAAGAAGCTCGCGGGTATCGCCTTGACACTCCTTGCCGCCTCCCGCAGGACCCTTCGGTTGGAGGAGCTTGCCTGGGCTGCCACGTTTGGTCTTTGGCGACATGAGCTTCGCACAGTGGCCGCTGTCGCGCCCCTCGTGGATTCTGAGAGGATATTGAGCCTGATCCATCCATTTATCAGTCACACCGATGTCAAGGGTGTGAAAAAGGGTCAAGTACGACTCGTGCACCAGTCGGTCAAAGAGTTCATCCTTGGCGGTGGAGAGTACTTCGCCGACAAGCACATCAAGGCCCCAGAGGCCTTCGCATTGGACCTGTGCATCGAATATCTACTTCTGGAGGAGATCGGCCATGTACATCTGTTTTCGCAAGAACAGTTGGCAATCGAAGCGTTACCGCAAGACGCCGCCCTGTTTGAAGTCGAAAGCGACGACGCGGCCTCGTTTCAGGGTGATCTTCACTGCACATGGGACGCCTGGGAAAAGGACATGATCACCTACGATCCAGTCGACCGTGGGCTGGGCGGGTTCTTCGCCTACGCAGCATGCCACTGGGTCGACCATCTCGGCAGCATCACCACTGGACCCTTCCCTGCACTCGCAGACGTGGAGAAGCTGTGTGAGGCCGGGTCGATTCGGCTGAGCAACTGGATCGAGCAGAACAGTCGTCCTGGTTGCACAATGAAGCAGAGATTCGAGTTTGACAGTACCTTGTACGACCCCCTCAGTATCTTTTCGGTGTATGGCTCGGAGACCATTCTGCGCCAGATGCTGGGCAGCCCGGACTTGACAAGCGAAATGTTCCTTCCTCAGTCCAGGGCAAAAGCAGTTGACCAAGTTCTCCAGTGGGGCGACTTGTCGCGGCTCAGCATCATTGCCTGGGAGGGCAAAGGTAGCGACTGCCTCTCGGCCCTCGACTTGTTCCATCGCATCATGTCACGATGGTTGCTTCCTCGCACGAACCACCCCAACTGGGACCGGGCATTCGACCTTGTCGATTTCGTGTTGGACGACTTGGTCGAGGAGGAATCTGGCAATGAGCTCTTGTGTATGGCTGCGAGGATGGGCTGTATGCCCATTGTTCGCCGGCTGATGGACGGGGCGCAGGGTAACGAGAAGCTCCGGAACGAGCTGCTGCGTCCGGCGCAACGGACGCAATCATCTTGGGGCTCCCCATCGCACCAATCCGTTGGCGAGGCTGTCTTGGCGAATCATCTCCCCGTGGTGGAATACTTGCTCAACCAAGAGGGCATTGAAACCCATCTTGATCACCTCAATTCACGCGGGGAGAACGTGCTGCACCTAGCAGCAACACACTGCAATCCAGCCGTGTACGCGTTCCTTCTTCCGCGCCTGCAAGGACGTCTACATCAGAAAGACAACGGCGGCGATACAGCGCTGGTCATGATTGTCAAAAGCCCTTGCTTGCCCGAGAAGCGTCTCGAGACCGCGGCGCTGTTCCTGGCGCAGTGCGGTGACGAGGAGGAAACCATCCAGGACATGCGACAAGCGTTCCGCATAGCCGGGGAAATGGGCGATACACGAATGTGCAAATTTCTGGGAGAGACGAAGCTGTAGTAGGTTTGGCTAGGGCGTATTCATGGTATCGATTCAGCAGACGTATTGGGCGACACGACAATCATGAATCATCAATAAATTAATCGCTGTTATGCTACATCATGACACGTTCAACGGATCTTGAGCAGGGCCTTGCCGTAGTTCTTGCCCTCAAACAGCTCGACAAAGCCCTCGGCGGCCTTGTCGATGCCGTCGGTGACGTGGAGCTTGGCCTGGATGGAGCCGTCGGCGAACCAGGCCTGCATCTTCTCCTGGTGGTCCTTGGCGTAGTCAGGGCCGAAGCCAGGCTTGCCGACGAGGAAGCCCTGCATGGTGGCGCCGGTGCGGATGAGGTGCATCAGGCCGCGGACGCCGGTCTGCTTTTCGCGGGGGGTGTTGTAGTCCTCGATCTGGCTGGGTTAGTATTGTCAGGTCCTTGGGAGGTGGAAGTGGGGAAGAATAAACTCACCATTCCGCACACGGGAATGCGGCCGTTCTCGTTAATGTTCTCGAGGGCGGCCTCGAGGTGGCTGCCACCGACGTTCTCAAAGTAAATGTCGATGCCGTTGGGGGCGAGCCTCTTGAGGGCGTCAAAGGGCGACTCCTTCTTGTAGTTAAAGCCGCCGTCGTAGCCGAGCTGCTTGATGAACTCGAGCTTCTCGTCCGAGCCGACGGAGCCGATGACGGTCAGGCCCTCGCGCTTGGCGATCTGGCCGACGACCTGGCCGACCGCACCGGCGGCGGAGCTGACAAAGATGGTCTCGCCCTTTTGGGGCTTGCCGATCTTGTGCAGGCCGGACCAGGCCGTGAGGCCGGGCATGCCCAGGGGTCCAAGGAAGAGGCCGAGGTCGAGATTGTGCGGGTTGTGCACCTTGCGTACGCTGGCGGCCTTGGGGTCCTCGATGCGCGCGTACTCAGCAATGGGCACGAACGCAATGACCAGGTCGCCCTCGGCAAAGTCGGCGCAGTCGGTCTTGATGACCTTGCCCACGACCGAGTTGGGCATGGGCCCGTCAATCTCAAAGGCAGGGGCGTACGACTTGACGCTCGGGTCGCGCATGCGGCCGCGCATGTACGGGTCGAAAGAGGCGTACTGGTTCTCCAGCACGAGACCGCCCTTGGGCGCTGTGTCAATGTCGGTCTGGCGCGCCTCAACGGTCAGATGCTCGCCCGGCACAGGCAGGCCGGTGGGGAGTTTCTTGTAGATCAGGGTCTTGTTGGGAGCCATTGTGTGCTGTGGTGGTGGTATCGTTGAGGGTGCTTTGGAGGCCAGGGTCTGGCAGCTCGAGGCCACCCTTATATGAAAGGACGGCTCCGAAAGTCCGGAGCTGTGCTGTCAGTGGTCCCGATCCGTCGACAGCATGAATTGACTTTCTCAGAGCTTCCGCCATGACATCAAACGCTGCCTCGGCTACGGCGTCCCGGCGCCCGGGGCCCAGGCGTCCCACTTGCCGTCGTGCCAGTGGCGACGGCATGACCTCATGCAGGCTAGAGAGACGATTGATTTAACTTTGACGTGCTCGGGCCTGGTCTGGGAAGGGGGGTAGATGTGTCGATTGGCTTTGACGTCGAGGCTCAGCGACCGTACATGTAGACCATCCAGGTTCGGTTGCTTGGTTGTCCGTGGATCAGTCAAAAACAAAAGACGCATAGACGCTGGCTGCAGTACAAGTTTGCTATGCTTAGCCCCGCGCCACGGTCGCGGCCGTTGATTGACTTTGACTGAGACGCCAGCTCGTTCGCACGCAATGCTATCCGTACACGACGGGGGCCTCGGGAGCGTCGCAGACTGTTCCGTTTGTAAGCATCTCGGCAGATTCTTCAGGGAATCCAGAAGAACCATTATTATGAAAAGCAGCTGGAGCACCGCAGCTTGGCAGAGAGGGACCACGGCGCAATCATGGAGCCGAGGACCCTCACCACCCTCCGAAAGTCCGGCAGCTGCAGCCGGCGCTATTCTACATCTGTCCAGCAGCGACCAGGTCAAAGGAGACGACGGTGAGCATGATCCGCCTCTGTCATCCTGGCCGACGAAACGGATGCGCCTCCGTGTTCAGAACCCATTCGTCCAAGCTCAAGGTATCGGGCGTCGAGAAGAGGAGGTAGAAATACTTGAGCGTCTCGGCCATCCAGAAACTCTGCAGTTGGTCAGCAACACCCCCAGCGCATCATCCCGCCAAGACGTACATCCATCGTGTCCAACTTCTCCGTGACTTTGTCCTTCATGACATTTGCGATCCCCGAGTAGGCCAGCTCGGTCTCCGTGGATCCGACCATACCCAGGAACATCTCCCACGCGAGATCGCGCAGGTCCTCGTGGCCTGTCATGCGGTAGAGCAGAAAAATGCTCTCAACAGCCTCTGGCCGTAACAGATACCGAGGGTCCTTGATCTGCCGCCAACCCTTGGGCGTCGCCCGGTCGGTGCGATGCCTCCATCTCTCTTCATCCCATTCACAGACCTCCAGAGACGGGCAGCCGAAGAAACCAAACATCTCGGGCATCACACCAGAGGGAAATTGCGAATAAGCCCATCCGCAACCCCGAGCGAGACGCTCGCCCAGCTCAAGGTCGCCCTTCTCCTCAAATAACTTGCCGCCCAGGCCAAACATGCCTCCGGCAAAACATGTCAGATGCTGGCTTTGGTAATCACGCGTGACCCCGGGGCTGAACTCGTGTGTCTGGGCATTGCCAAGGAACAAGATGTCCTCGTTGTCCGGCAGCATAGGTCGGAACAGCAGGGTTTGCTGGATTTGTTTGCTGGCCAGAGTGTACATCACCTGGAATTTCTCGTCTACTCCACCGAGAAGAGCGTGCATCTTGGGCAGGTACTCGTACAGCGAGTCGGCACCAGCCCCGATGCTGTAGAAACGACTGCTACTCGCGAGCTCGTTCCGAAAGTCCATCTCGACAGGCCACAGACCAGGCAGAGACGTGTCACGCTGTATCCTCGCGAGGAACCGTGTCACGCGATCCGCGGCGGAGAAATACTTTGCGTCGCCTGTCAGTTGCGACAGCCTCGTGAACTCGAGACACATGGAGGCTGGCGCTGCAGGGGCGTCGTTTTCGCCGGCACGTTGCGTGCCGTCCAACGCCTCCTCAAAGTTGAACCAGAACCCGGGCAGGCCGTTGGGGGTATCGAACGCCATATAGAGCATGTCGCCAAGTTCTACGGCTTTCCCCAACAAGTCTGCACGTCCGCTAAGGTCGTGCGCCGACAGCAGCCCGCCCAGGTGCCGGATGTTAATCTCAAAGAGATTGATGGCACTTGCCGTCGTGTTCCGAAAATTAATGTCCAAAATGAACTCGGCAGCGCTGTCGAATTCGTCCTTCATGCCCATGATCCAGAGCGTATCGAGCGCGTCGACCATGGTCGCGGCCCACCCTCCATACGTTTCTTTGCCGCCACCAGACGCAGGGTTGAGCTCGTCCTGGCCCCAGGCCTCGTCCTTGTAAGCATTCCAACTCCGCTCAAAGACTCTTTGTACTTGGTCGCGACGTGGATCGGTTGCGGAGGGATGCTGGAACGATGCCATGGACGCTTGGACAGGGGGTATTGGTCGTCGAGGGTGACCGGTAGGGAGGGGCTTGATGGTTTCTGGAGGGTAGTACTGTCGCGCCTGACTCCAATCGACAGGGGCAATGTGTTGACGGCGGGTCACGTTGCCAGGGAAGTTGTACCAGAGGAGGAGCACGGCGAGGGCTGCGCCTGTGATGACAGTCCAGCGTGGTCGTTGTCGCGAAGGCGCCATGGTTCGGAGTACCAATTGATTGGCGATGGCTCATGGCAGTCGTGAGAAGAGTCTGGAGGACGTCGAGCTGTGCGCTCGAACGACCGCGCACGGGTTGTGGGAGTGGAACACGGGACGCGGTATCCCTGGCATGGTGATGATGATCCCTACCTTGCCTGTCTTATCAGCAAAGGGGCGGCGGACGGGGACGTGAGGCACCTGTGTGTTCGGCGCCCGCGGCCCTGTGGCGCATAAACACCCACGTATGTATCCGTAGTGAAGCTATTTGAAATCGCCAGAGGATCTGGCGTCTGGACCCTGAGGCTCCGGGGGATGCTTGGCATTGCACTTCTTGGCCTGGACCCTGGAGGCACTTGATCTTGGCTTGTCTCACCGTGGGGCCCCCAATCCGCGCTTCACGCGTATTTGCAGGAAGAGGTATATGCAATTATCGGGTATGCAACTATTGCCGTGTTTCGTGGATTCTCGCGAGACCACCATCTCCAGGCATGAGTCTTAACTCACTATCTAAGGTACTTGGCACTACCAGACGCCTGCCAGGTGCGGCCACCTTCGGTCCTGAGCCTTAGTGCTTGAGAAACCTGGTGATAGTTCAACCTTGACAAACCTCAACATTTCAAAAGATTCATCATGGTGGGAGCGATATTAGTGAGCGGCCCGTCCTCGATCCTAACATCACCGAGGAGAAGCTGGAGCTTCTCCACGGCCAGATGGCCAACATCCTGCTGCAGCTATCCTCCCTGAAGGATGTCCTTTGATTGCGAACGTGGACGACATTATCAAACGTATCAGTGCACCAGTGGGGATTCCACCATCGCCATCTCACAGCTACACCTCCGCACACGAGTGGTACAGCTCGCTCGCGGACGTGCACATGGCCCAGCTGGCGCTTCAGCACAACGATGCCGTAGAGGACGAGGACGTGTGGGTTGTTGGTGTGATTGGCTGAGAGTTTGCTTACGCCGCGCCGGCACAGAGTAGTTTTGACCCGCCGTGGTAAGAAGAAGCAAAGAAGACAGAAATTGATGTCGCCGAAAGGGTCAAGGACATCTCGCTAGACGATACGAGGGAGACGGATCGGCCGCTGTCTCAACCTATGCGGGAGAGTTGGGAGAAGCAGGCGTGGCTGCTCAACTACGCGGCTAGGGAGAGCTGGGCCTTTGATAATATCTGGTGCAAGTTCTTGGACGAGATATATCTCGGGTCGAACGAGGATCAGGACTATAAAATCCTCCTTGCGCTGCATTCGGAACCGCAGAGAAAGGGCAGTAAGATCGTTCTGTGGGGGAGAAGCAGAATGCGGCAGACCGTCTGACAGAGAGGTTCTTGTGTCCTGAGGCCAGAATTGCCTAAAATAAAATGAGGCACGTGGTGATCATGCCCCCCCCCCCCTAATTGTGTATCATGCGTTGACCGAGCAACTCGAGGTCCACCAAAAACGAACGATTCAGTCCCGTTCCTTTTCCGAAATTCATGCGCTCAATGCCACGCGGAGTCGTGGACTTATAGTAGTGTGTCCCACATACAGGCCTCATCCTGGCACACATCTCGCCCGCCTCACGATATTACATGTCCTCCCCAGCAGCTTCCGACGCAAGCTCTCTGCGCATCACGACAGAGGGCCCGCATCGGCGGGTTCTTCTCGCCGTAGCTCTTCTTTCTCAGCCCGCGGGACGTGCGTCATGCCCAAGGCCGAGAACAAGGAAATTGGGACGACACGTCGTCTTGCATTGATCGCTTCTCCCAAGAGATGCAGGCCAGACCATGTTCTGCGAGTGGTGTTCACGGTGGCGTTGGCATGAGAACGGCCTCGTGATGGTTAGTCCTTACCCTTTCTTCTCGGCAGGGCGGAGCGTTGGTTGTTTCATCATTGATGTTTGTACCCGTCATTGCGCGCCGGGTCATTCGATTGGGATGTCACTTGCCGTGGAAACGGGAGGGCCTGCTGGTGATGCCTGGGAGAGGCAGCTGTATGTACATATAGCTGTGAGCCCTCCTATCTAGCGCCCATAATAAAGGATATAAAGCGATCAGCTCAGCCTAGCCTGCAGTCGCTGTCCATATTCCGCAAAAACACCATACTGAGTAACGATCAACCTCTTCCTCAGATTCACCATGGCCTTTCAACCACCGTTCAGCTCCTCGCCCATAGACGAGGTCCCTCCTAGGGCCGAGGACATGCACCCATCAGACCACCACAAATCGTCCGACTCGGACACACCCGTGGCGCCCATCCCTCTGCGGCCGTCCACCTCCTCGCGACCAGCGTCCCGCATGGCGACAGTGACTCCCAGCAAGACCCCCATAGTCAACAACCGCGCCTCGGTCGAGATGGACACCCAGGCGCCAGCAGGCGGAGGCTCAGCCTCCCGGTCCCAAAAGTCAGCCCGCTTCCGTGGCGACGGCGACTATGAGCACCCTGGCTACTGGTACGATGGGCCGCCTACCGCTCGCGACTACGAGCGTTACTGGCGGGGCGAGTACTTGCCCTACCCTGATCGATATACCTCCAATCCCCGACGATCGTATCGACCTCCCCCGCCCTCGTGGCACAGGTACCAGAACTCCAAACGCATGGCGTACGCGGGGGACTCGGACGACGACATGCCACCATACGACGAGCGCCGAGTCTCGCGCGACATGATGGACGCCCGTCGTCGTGCAACGGGTGATGAGGAAGCGGCACTGCCCAATCCCGCGTCCCGTCCGCTCCTGGAGAACATGCAGCCCGGCCACAGAGGCTCCTGGATGGCGAGCAACATGATGATGAGCGGCCGGCCCGACCTGGCCTGGGAGAACATGACGCGTCGCGAAAAGGCCGAGGTGATGCGCCTCCCGCTGACCGAGTGGATGAACAGCTCCGTCAAGAACCACTTTGTCGCCTCCCTGGGCGAGGTCGTCGGGACCACCATGTTCCTCTTCTTCGCCTTTGCCGGCACGCAGGTGGCCAACATTGGCTCCAACTCGGACGGCGAGAACACGACGACGGGCGAGGCCACGGGGTTCAACGTCGCCACGCTGCTGTACATCTCCCTCAGCTTTGGCTTCTCGCTCATGGTCAACGTGTGGATCTTCTTCCGCATCTCGGGGGGGCTCTTCAACCCGGCCGTCACGCTCGGCATGATCCTCGTCCGCGCCATCAGCATCGCGCGGGGTGTCTGCCTGCTCGTGTCGCAGATGTCGGGCGCCATACTCGCCTCGGCCATTGTGCGCTACCTCTTCCCCGAGTCGTTCAACGTGCGGACCACGCTGGGCGGCGGCGCGTCGCTCGTGCAGGGCGTTTTTATCGAGGCCATCCTGACGGCCGAGCTGGTCTTTACCATCTTCATGCTGGCCAAGGAGAAGCACAAGGCGACGTTTATCGCGCCCGTGGGGATCGGGCTGGCCCTGTTCATCTCAGAGCTGGTCGGTGTGCAGTTCACGGGGGGGTCCTTGAATCCCGCGAGAAGTTTCGGGCCGTGTGTCGTGACCGGTCAATTCGATCCTGAGCACTGGATATACTGTACGTGTCGTCTCCTAGTCAGCGCGTTGTGGGATCGTCTTGCTAACCGTTTGGGAATAGGGGTTGGGCCGTTTGTGGGTTCCATTCTGGCCGTGCTCTTTTACAGATTCATCAAGACACTTGAGTATGAGGTGAGTCAATGCACCTTTTTTTTTTTTTTTTTTTGGTCAAACGCCCGAGATAGACTGACGCGAAGCAGATGGCCAACCCGGGTGCGGATGGCGACGATGCGAATGACCCGACCAAGAACCCGGAGAAGATGGCGGAGATTCAGGAGCCCAGGGCACCTTCGTTCCGCAGCTGATAATGGGGTGATCAATCTGCGACTTGCTGTGGGGGACGGAGTACTCAAGAATACGATGAGAAAATGACAGATAGGACTGTATGTATCACGACCAAGACAGCGCGAATGGCAGAACAAGGCAAACGGGCCAGTCGAACTTGCGTCGCTTCGACAGTGTGCGTGACATGAGTGCTATTCCGTTCTCATTCAAGCTACCGGCTATCAGAGAGGACGCCGGTTTGCTTGGCCAGAGCGAGCATCTGTTGGGCAACGTCATCTACGTCTTTGGGCATTATGGGCAAGCGATGGCCGCCATCCCACTCGATGCTCCGCGCCGTACCGTCCTTGCAGTAGGCGTCCGCCATCTTGCGGTGCATGTCCACGGACGGGTCCTGGAGCCCGTGGACGTGCAGGGTCGGTATGCTCAGGGCGTGCTCGCCCTCATTGTTGGGCGCCCAGTCGGAGAACTCGGTGCTCATCTGCCCAATGTCCGCCGTGTACGCCACGTGCGGCATCTTGCCCTCGGGGTCCAGCACCACGATGGGTGCTCTGCCGGCCATGATGACGCCAAACTTGAACGGACCCTCGCCGCCAGGCACCTTCTCCTGGGCCCAGAGCACGCTCGCGGCAATCTTGGCGCCCTGCGAGAAGCCCAGGATGGCAACCCACTCCCCGCGTCCCTCGTCCTCGCGCATCGCCTTGCTGAGTTCATTCAGCACCTTGTTGGCTGCGTCCTCGTCCTGCTGCTGGTCGCCATCCCATCGGAGCCAGCGGTAGAAGGGGCCATGGTCTCCAAAGTACGGCACAATGGCAGGGTGGGGCTTGCTGAGAAAGGGCGCGTTCACAAAGACAAAGCGGAACGTGTTCTCGAGGCGCTTGATGATGCCGCGACACTGCAGCATGAAGATGTCTGCGCTCGTGCCGCCGCCATGAAGGCACAGTATGCGTGGCAGGGCGAGCGAGGCGTCGGACTTTGTGATCTGCGTCATGGCGCGCGTTTCTGTCGCGCAGCGCAGGACTCGGTGAGGAGTGTGTCAGAGGCCGATGGGGTGGGTGATCGGCGTGCCCAGATCAGCAGTTGACGCGTAACGATGAGTAGGGCCAGGAGGTGCGCGAAATACAGAACGGTAACAAACGGTGCGTCAATGGGCGCAAGGGGCGGCTTATCTTTCACGAGGAGCTGGAGCTGGCTGGGGAATGAATCATCTTTCAAGTTCGGAGGAATCTCAGTGTAACACTCCTGCTTATCGATATGCGATAAGAAAACTGACCACCTTCGGTGCGTTTTGGGCGACGCCCTTTTGATATTGAGGGCATTTTGGACACCCTCGCAAGCCAAAGAACCTCATAGGCTCACGAGGTCATACGGATACCCCGCCCTTATTCATGTCGCTGATACAGATCCCACTGGTTCCCATACAGATCCTTCAAGACAGACACAGCTCCGTAGCTCTCTCTCCTTGACGGGCGGCCTGGCCCATTCGACACCAGACTCTGTGAAGCGAGCATGGTCGCGCTCAAAGGCATCTGTCTCCAGAAACAAAAACACCCTGCCGTCGGTTTGGTTCCCAATGGTTGCTGCTTGTTCCGGCGTCGCCGCCCGGGCAAGTAAAATCCTTGCAGCGTTCGTAGGGGCGCCCGGGGGTCGAATTGTCACCCAGCGCTTCTGCTGGGCTGGAACAGGCCTGTCTGCCACAAGGCTGAAGCCGAGCTTGCCAACGTAGAAGGCCAAGGCTTCGTCTTAGTCGCGGACGACCAGCGATACATGGGCGATGTGCGGCATCGTCCTGGTGAGAGCACGAGATGGAGGTCGATCTCGTACTTCGACATCCAGGCTGTCTTTCATGTTCAGTGACTCTACCTGAACCTGGAGTCCAACAAGTCTACAAGTCAGCGTCGCTCCAGCTTGCGCCTTGCCCAGAGAGGAAATCCAGGGTCTTCAGGCCCCAGGCCCCAGGCGGCAGGCCCAGGGACTCACCACCAGGGACTTGACATGACCTCATCCGTCAGACGACGGAGAATACGCGCGCACGAACACGCAAACGCACGCGCACTGCCGATACAGCTTTGACTGCCGATGCGATCTACACCGCACAGACGGCACAATTCCAGCTCTTTGGTCAGTTCAACAGTTAAGGGTAGCCACTGATGCAGTCGTGCAGCGCCAGGATGCGCAGAGGGATGGGGCAAGCCCTCAGTCAAGCACCATGTCTTCTCAGCTCGTATATATCCCTTCCATCCAGACTCTGCGTCTCGAGCCTGCATGATACCCTCCCCATTCGATTCTCCTCATTTTATTATTCTACCAACATCGTGAATGGGCTGGCCCCGTCACCATGTCTTCTCAATCCAACCTACAAACCTCACCACCACGCGTGGGTGTCGATGGCTTCAGACCATCAGAACCGTCGTGGACTCCTCCATCACCAGCATCATCTTCAGCTATCACATCAAGTTCACGGAGAAAAGGAGCGTGGAGGCCCTCAGGAATGCCACCCCCAGCTATCGCACCGCCGTCACCTCCCACTGATGGTGATGACGATGACATCCCTCGACAGACACCAAGCCCTCCGTCTCCAGTTACACCCCCGCTTGGGAGCAACGAGATTATCCCCATGCGCATGTTCAACGATCCAGATGCGCACCGCGGTCGGCGAAGCCACGACTTGCCAGTCAGACCAGCCGACGAGCCCGCTCAGCCAACTGTTCTCCCCTCGTCCACGCGGTGGGTGACGCCGCACCAAGACGACGAGATCAGACCAGCGACGCCGCGGGAGGCGCCCAGAATCAGAAGACCCGTGTCCGGCCGTCAAGCCCAAAATCGCCCCCGGGCGCAGTCGGCATCCCAGGCATTACAGCCGACCCCCGTGAACCGCGACAGTCTTCCCACATTCGCCCAGTCTCAGGCTGACTACGGTCACCCCGCCAATCCTCTCCATGCTCACCCAGTGCCTGAAGTCAGAACCCATGCGCCTCCAGAGAAGCTGCCCATCGACCAGGTTCTGTATCAGGACCACCTAGATGCGTCATTCGCACCGCCTGCTCCTGTGCCGCCACCACCGCCTCCACCACCGCCTCCAGCTCCAGCGTTAGCAGCCTCGACCACATATCTCCCCGCACCTCAGGCGACAATGTCGAGGTCTTCATCAAGTCTTGATCTGTCCCGTTCGACATCCACTGACAGCCCCTCTCCAGCTGGGTCCCCGGCCAGAGGCAAGTGGTTCGCTAGCCTGGGACAGAAAACATCATCAGGATTCAACAATCTGGCCCAGAAGTTTGGAGGAACCGGCTTCGTCCCCGGTACGCTCGAAAAGGAGTGCGACAAGGCGGCCCTCATCCTCAAGACATTCTGCAAGGAAGGTGTCTACGCAGACCCCGTCAAGGTGACCGACTCGGCAGCCTTGCCGCCAATGGAGGAGGGCCAGCTCACGACAGCCTCGACGCCGAAGAGACCACAAGCCATGATGACCATTCCCACGAGAATCATCAACGAGGCCGTCGGATTGGCCATCTTCACCACCTTCCGCGCCGGCCTCGAGTTCAAGTTCGCGTCTGGGTCGGGAATCCTCGTGGCGCGCCTGCACGACAGATCATGGAGTCCTCCGTCTGCGATCCAGCTCCATTCGTTTGGGGGCGGCTTCGTGGCCGGCATGGACATCTTTGACTCTGTGTGCGTCATCAACACCCAGGAAGCCCTCGCCGACTTTATGACCAAGAGAGTCAGCATTGGCGGCAACGTCGCCGCCGTGGCTGGACCTTGGGGTGTCGGCCGCGCGGTCGACTGGGCTACCAAGGTGGACAACAAGGGCAAAGGCAAGGACGCAGCCTTGGCCGACGACTCGACTACTGCCTTGAATAGCCCTCCCGCCCTCCCGACCCTACAAGTCAATGGTTCTCGCGCCAAGATGGACAAGGAGATTCGTGGGCAGGGCGGGGCTCAACCCAAGAAGTTCCAGCCCATCTTCTCCTATATCAAGTCACGGGGGCTCTATGCAGGTGTGGGGTACGATGGCACAGTCATCCAGGAGCGTAAATCAGCCAACGCGTCGTTCTACGGCAAGGTGGTGACATGCGAAGAGATCCTGCGCGGACAGGTGCCGCCACCGGAGGACAATGCTGCGCTGCAGAAGCTGTGCGACGTGCTCAAGGGTGCCGATGGCGGGCATGGACTAAGCATGTCCATTGATGCCACGATCTCTCCTCTAATTATCGATACAGCAGAGCAACAGCCGAGTATCACGGTATCGGGCGACGGAGCATCGTCGTCGTCGTCAGATGGCCTGTCGGCACCGTTGCCCCCCGCATATCCTGTTGATTCTCTGCACCCAGCTGAGGCGTGCGCACCGGAGAAGTTTGGTCGCCTTTAGAGGAGGGGTGGGGGTGATGGGATTGAGAAAAAGAAAGTGGTCCGAAGGTCCTTAGTTGGTTGCGAGGGAGCGCCAGCCACCAGGGCCAACGGCTAGAGTGTGTCTGCATCATATGACCGTGTTTTTGCATTTACAGGCGTAATTTTGAGAGTTGTGTCGGTTCATCGTGTTCTCGCGCTGGGTCCTTGATTTGATCTCGTTATGTTTGGAGCCAAGGATAGACAACTACGTATAGCCAGCATGCATGCCTGTCCCGAGTTCGTGGGGCGATTGGAACGCGCAGCTGTTACGTATGGGCCTGATACGAATTGCAGGGAGTCGATCTTTCGGTGTCCACCGCAGCGAGCACGTCATCAACCTGGTGCGCGGCGAAAAGAGATCGGCGACGAACACCGGTTTGCGGACCATCTCGCCAGCTGCTGGACCGCGGGCAGCGAGACGTGGACTGGCCGAGTTGTTGGCGAGGGAGCGATGTGGGAGTGGCAGGTAGGCAAGGTCAAGTATTGTATCACGCCTTACCTTAGATTTTGTCCTTGAGCTGTGCTCTACGATCGGTTCGCACGGCAGCAGCTGTACACGCGTCTTCTCCAGGTATATGCGACAGTGTCTCCGATTCTGATAAGAACAAAAGGAGCAACGGGCTGGTTAGTTTGGTTCCTGGTCTGTGAAGTGGCAGTGCAGTCGTCACCACCTCACAACTACAGTACTCTCAGTGCAAAAATAGTAGCGACACGCGGCCGTGATGAGCTCATGAGCAGAAGCCACGACTCTTGTCGATGGACAGCCACTTTGATCACCCAGCACCAGGTCCAATCAATCTTCCAAGGTGCCAAGTCCGGCATTCGGCAGTGGGGAAAAGCTTGTCAGGACTCAGGAGTCTGGACTGGACAGAAAAAGGCTGAAACTGTGAGACATGCAGCGATTGGTGTCCGCGCTAGTGCTGGCCAGGCACATGTGCAGTCCGCACCTGTTTCAGGTTTTCGCTGCTGAAGCCCCTGACGGACGGAGTGAACCGCATCAAATTCGAAGCTGTTGCTCAAATCGCTATTAATTACAGAGTTCTGAACAAACCACAGAGCCGAGACGTGACGTGCTCGTGTCCCGAGGACGAGCTCGACAGCCGTTTGCCTATTAATCAGAACGTCAGAGCCTCACTCGGGGGGATGATTATTCAAACTCAGATGCAGGCTAACCCTTCCAGAATGGAGCTGCATCGCGGCTGTAAATATGAGTGGTTGGCTGGACTCTAGGAGTGCCACAGCGGCTATTGATTACAGGCTTCAATATGAAGCCACGGCCCGAAAAAATGGCATTGACCGCCACGAGCCTGGGAATCGACCACGACATTTTGTAGTGAGTCTACGTAGAAGGAAAAGGATCCGACGATGATGTCGGCGGCTCCATGACGGCGCGGCATGGTGCCTTTTGTTGGTACGAGACTGCCGGCTGCAACTTGTTGGAGTGATCGGCATTGTCTCAGGCGCTTGAACATCCACGGCTTGTTGAACTCCACTGCTTGCCTGAGCTTCAACGCGCGACAGATCCCCGATGTAGAACATTGGGACTTGGCAGTCCTGATCTGGACTCTTGGCTCTTGTGTTAGCAGGACACATGGCTCATGTGGCACTTGGCTTTTGACTGGACCACGATGCGGACGTCTCAGGCAGTCAAATGTCCCCTCCGACAGGTCGGTAGGAATCGAGAAGTTGAGAACTCGGCGCTGTCAATCGGCGCTTGGGCGATGCAAATCACGGAAGTGGAGCGACCGACAGCTCAGGAGTTGTATCCACTGATTGTCGAACTGCGTGGCCCAGTGCCACGGCCACCTCGAGCATGCACTGTCTGGATGTAGCAGCTCAATGCGGAGGGGGCATGAATGACTGGATCTTTGAAGTGCACAGGAGCACCACCTAGTAGATCGCTGTTGGAACAATGTTCACCACTGATGGGGGACTGGTGATGCCAAGTGGCCTGATAATACAATGTACCAACAGTACGTACTCTGTACCTTGAGGAGCAAGACTGGTCGCCATTATGGCTCGTCAATATGGCCCGTCCAGGAGGCAGGCGCCAGGGACTGTGCCTTCTTCGTCAATCGCAGTCGGCGGCCGGGCCACAACCCTACCGGCAGCCCCACCAAAGATTGCAGCAGCTCCAGTCCAGGCCAGCCACTAGCAGTGCACTACGCCGCGGTCGATGCAGCAGTTCGACCCCTGGCTAGGACTGACTGCACTTGCCCCAGTCGGGTAAAGGCCATCGCAATCATCAACTTGGCCCTCTCTGATGTTCTCTTCCAGCTTCCTCCGTCTCTCTCCTTAACACTCATGTCATTCATTCTTTAGCAGACGCTCACCGCGCCCAACACTGGCATTTACTCCCTCTTCTCGCAAGTCTTGGCTATCTCTTCTCTTTCTTTCCGTTTTCTCCTGCCACCCAAACTTCCGATTCGTCTCGTCACCCCCGTCGTACGGGACCCGGCTTCGAGCCTTCGAGGAGCTCGCACAACAATTGATTGTGGTTATCCGGGTATTGCGAGGCAAATCTTGCATCTCCAGACCTCCCAACTCTCGTTGATCTTTTCGCTGGCCTCCAAGAAAACACTTTCGTCGTCCCGCGCTCCTCGTCGTCCTGCTGCGAACGCCTAACTATTGGCCTCTCGACGCTCACCCACACCGAGGCGCTTTGGACCACCCTGGCGGCTGGTCACTGTCTCACTCGGCCCCATCTGACCCCGCTGGCGGCTTTCAAGATGATAATGGGAGCGAAGATACCGGGCACGACTAAGGTTGTCACCATGCGAAACTCGTGCACCAGGGCCCTGATAGCGTCTGTCGCCTTTCTCGTCGTCCTGATTTTCATGCTCCGCAGTGAGCAGTCCATCGATGTTCGATCACAGATTCTGCGACAATCCGGCGTCAAGTCAGCCGGTGCCGTCCCTGAGCAACAACCTCTTGACCAGTCAACACCAATGCCGCCGCCGCAAGATCCAGCATTGTCCGAATTCGAGCCCCAGAGCGACCATGTGCCCAATTGCGACATCGACATGGACCACCTGCGGGAGGTCAAGGAGCGCCACCAGCTTGAGGACAAGTTCCAGTACATGAAGCGATACGTCAAGTTCACGCGCAAGGACGGCCTCGAGCGCAAGTCAATGACCCGCCTTCACGATCAGAACCTCCTTCCCAACAAGTTCAAGACGGTCGAGCTCGGCCAGCACTACGGCCAGCAGGAATGCGCAGAACCTCTACTGGTCGACGTACCTCGCTCGGGCCTTCCCTCGACCGTCAATGCCTCTGACTTTACATTCGGCATTTCCACTACCTACGGCCGGTTCATGGACCCAGAGACAACATCAATCAACGAGTGGATCTTCTGGCTGACGGACAGCCGCGGAAACTCGAACGGTGGCAAGCTGCTGCTCATGCTGCTCGATGCCAGCGACGAGGAGCTACAGGAGGTGGCCAACCTTCTCGGCGACGTGGGTATCGACGTGGACGTCTATCACAGCGACTCATCCGTGGAGATGGCTGTCCGCTACCTCAACCTGGTACCCACGTTGTACACACACCGTGATACGCCCAACAAGAAGTGGCTAGTCACATGCGACGATGACACTTTCTTCCCCAGCATGCACGGCTTGATCGAGGAGCTGGGGAAACACGACCACACGCGGCCCAAGTACATTGGTACCTTGTCGGAGGATGTCGGCGCGCTAGACCGCCACGGCTCCCAGGCCTTTGGAGGCGCCGGTGTCTTCCTCTCCATCCCCATGGCGCAGCGTATCACGGAGCTCTACGCCACTTGCATCTCTCCAGAGAAGATCCTCGAATCTGACTCTGGCTGGGGCCCTCAGGGTGACATTATCCTGCGCAAGTGCATCTACGAGAACACGGACACACGCCTGACGTCCGTTTGGAATCTCTGGCAGCTCGACTTCTACGGCGACCCCAGCGGCTTCTATGAATGGGGCATCAAGCCCCTGTCTCTGCACCACTACCGTGGCGGAGGCTGGCACTCGGCGAAGCCGGGGCAGTTCACCAAGATTGCCCACACGTGTGGAGAGGACTGCTCCCTGCAGCGCTTCCAGACCAGCGACGACTGGGTCATCTCTGGATACTCGATCGCGCACTACCCCGAAGGTATTGACTGGGACTATTACCAACAGGAGGGCACGCTATGGGCTGCACCCGAGAACAAGGGATGGAACCTCGACTTTGTCTTTGGCCCGCAACGACCGAGCCTGCACGGGACGGGCAAGAAGATTGCCTGGGAGCTCAAGGAATCCGAGGTTCGGTCCGATTCGTCCGTGCTGCAGACGTACGTGCGCAAAAAGGACGACGAACGCTGGGTCCAGCAGGACGGGCAACCCATGAGCAACATCGACGGTGTCATTGAGCTTGTCTGGATTCCATCGTGATGGGTTACTTTGCACGAGACTCGTCCATTTACCATGGCCCTTGCTTGGGGTCATCATCGACAGGCACCATAATGGCCTGCAGTGCGAGCGTCACTTCATGTTGATTTCTGGAATATCGGCGTTCCGGTGGTGAAAGGCCTCTCATCGTCTTGCCCAAAAGGACAAGCACGGGGTCACTATGTTGTTATTCGCGCAGCCGACCGCATGGTCGTCGTGCGGGCTTCCGTTGCGAAGTTCTGTCTCGGAGGCGTTCTTTTCATCTTTGTCGTCAGCATTTACGTCGGCTCATGCCATGTAACCAACCAATTGTGGCCTTCGCCATTCCTTTTTTTTTTTTTTTTTTTTTTTTCGTTCTTCGTTAGTATCGAGTACTTGCAACGGCCGGACCTGTTATTGTGTTTCTGTCAGGAAAGTTATCAGCTCACCGACAATAGAAAGGTCGGTAAGCGAGGATTAGCGAGAAGGGTGTGGCGTCGGGCATAACCACTTTTGGACATTTTCTGTATGAAGTATTAGGAGCGAGGCCTCGGCAAACATGAGCGCGTGCCATGTTTACAGGTACATAGAGCGGTATAGAAGCGGTATATACTATACAACATATGTCTTGCCTCTAGAACAGACTTTTGGAAGTGCTGGTGTGCCTGCAGAGATGTCTTAGACTGTCGGGCGGCAGACGGGTGAGACATCGTACTACCTTGAGTCGTTCTGCAATCTTTCTCAAGGTCCAAGGATATAAATATGATAGACGACGCACCCTAAGCTGAGTCAACAGTAACAAGCATGGAAACCGTGGAACTTGAAAGATCTGTTGAAGCTGCCCCGACGTTGAGGTCACGGTACAGGGTAGGTGCCGGCCTGCTTAGTCATGAAGCCGCCCCTCCAACCCCCATCTGACCGTGTTTTGGTGATGACCTCATTTCGTGATGCCACCATCTCGAACTCATCAAGATCAATCAGTCTCCGCCTTCCAAAGCGCAGGCGCGGGCCGCCAAGCCGCCCTGATGACTTCGTAGGAGAGGTCTGGCCCCTTTTGTCAGCTCCCTAGCTAACGGCCGCAGCAACATGCTTTCTTTGCCCTTTCGCAAGGGCACCCACATCTCCCTTGCCTCTGTCATTAGGCAGTACATCAACGAAAAGTACGACCAGCACCCGGACATGTTCAAGCGCGACCTCGAATTCATTGATGATCTCCGACAACAAGCCGTCAACGTCCACGAGCCTCATGCGAGCGGTGTCGCCAAGTTGACGCAGTATGCGGCGCAGCTCGTCTGGATCGGCGGGAAATTCCCCATCGATATTGGTGCCGAGTTCACGTGGTACCCGGCGTTGGGGTATAATATCGACCGACCGCTTGTGCGGAACAATCTCAAGTTCGAGCTCATGAATGCGCTCTTCAACCTTGCGGCGTTGTATGCGCAACTCGCGCTGAACACCCCGCGGGGCAACACGGAAGGACTGAAGACAGCGGCAAACTACTTCTCTCAGGCAGCCGGGGTTATATCACACATCCAGTCAGTGGTGCTCCCCGAGCTCCGCATGTCAGACCCCCCGGAGGACATGGACGCCAACACTCTCGAGTCTCTGAACCAGCTCATGCTCGCGCAGAGTCAAGAGTGCTTCTGGCAGAAGGCTGTCTTGGACGGGTACAGAGATGCTTCGATTGCGAAACTTGCCTCGCGGGTATCGGACTTGTACATCCAGGCGAGCGAGGCAGCTATCAAGAGCGACGCGGTGAGCAGTGCGTGGATACACCACATGTCGGCCAAGCACCACCACTTTGCGGCGGCTGCGCAGTACCGCGCTGCGTGCGACTGTCTGGAGAAGAGCAGATTTGGTGAGGAGGTTGCCCGCTTGACAGACGCCCTAGCCTGTGTGAACGACGGGTTGAGGGAAGCACGCGGCGGTTTTCTTGGCAAGACGGTGGTCGACGATCTGAATGGCTTGAAGAAGAAGGTCGAGGCAGACTTGAAGCGAGCCGAGAAGGACAACGATATGATCTACCTGAGTAACTAGGTGTCCGAACCTTTGGGTGGGAGAAGCACTCACTAACGCGTTGCAGATCCCGTGCCGCCAAAATCAGACCTCAAGATCCTCGAGCGCGCCAACATGGCCATCGCGCGCATTCCGCCCCAGGTAGCCGATCCGTACAAGTTCTTTGGCGACCATGCCGAGTTTGGCCCCGCGCTGTTTTCGCGACTGGTCCCCTTCTCGGTGCACGTAGCCATCTCGATCTACGAGGAGCGGCGCGACCGCATGGTGAACCAAGAGATCATACAGCGACTCGAGAGTCTCACCGAGAAGATCCACACCCTCTTCGAGCAACTTGGTCTCCCGGGATCGCTGCAAGCTGTCGAGAAGCCGATAGGACTGCCTCAGTCGCTGGTGCAGCATGCCGAGGACATTCGGCAGGCAGACGCCGTGGAGCGCGTGCGGCGAAGCTTTGCTGATATTGATAAGCTCAGGTCGGCAGACATGATGATTTTCGAAGAAGGAAAGGCCGCACTAGCCGCCGAGGAAGAGGAAGACCAGCGCCTACGCGCAAAGTACGGCACAGATCGGTGGGCGCGCCCGGACTCGCTCAGCGACGCAAGAGGCTCGGAGCTGAGAAGGGTGGCTGGGGAAATTGAGGGTTATCTCAACAGCAGCATCGGCAGTGATGGTATCGTCAAGGAGAAGTTCGCCGGCATCGAGGGCCTGCTGGGTGTGCTCAGCGGTCCGGATCGTGTGTTGATGGACTTTGTGCCGTCATCGAGACGGCCAGAATCGTCGGACGAAATCAAACTCGCGGTTGGCAAACTACGCAGCGCTTACAGTGACATTCTGCGGCTCGAGAGCAGGAGGCGGAAGAAGGTTGAGACGCTGCGCGACAACGCCCGCCGCGACGACATTAAGCCTGACATGCTCAAGGAGGCGGCCCGTCTGGAGCGCACGTACCCAACTACGGCGCTGGTGCCAGCTCATTTCGAGTACTTTTTCGATCAGCGACTTGACAAGCTCTACGAGCCGGAGATTCAGGCGATCGACAAGGAAGAAGAGGAGCAAGAGAAGGCGCTGAGTGCCGTGGAGCGCGCGAACCGCGAGTTTGAATCGCAAAAGAGGCAGCGCAGCAGCCAGGGCACGAGGGAACGGGAGGCCGCCCTCCAGAAGCTGGAGAATGCCTATGTCAAGTACAAGGAGGTCATCAACAACCTCGAGACGGCGCGCAAGTTCTACAATGATCTCAATAAGATAGTGGGCCAGGGGTTCCGCGACCAAGTCAAGAAGTGGGTTGCCGATCGGCACATGGATGCGAGGGCACTGGAGGAGTGAGTATCTCCTATTGGGTTGCGTGAGGGCACCGACACTGACCATAGTCTAGGGACATTAACATGCCGACGCTGTCCAACCTGGCGATCGGACAGCAGCCGATGCAGAGTCCCCCTGCGGCCGAGTCGCCCTTTTATGCCGCCCAGTCGCCGCCGCCGCAGTCGAATCAGCAAGCCTCTCACATACAATCCTGGGCGTCGCCCCAGGCGGCGCACCCTGCGGCCTCGGGAGCGCATATGCAGCAGCCCAAACCTGTCGCGCCGCAGACGTGGAATCCTGGTATGGGCATGAAGTTTGGACAGGGTGCTCCGGTCCCTTTCCAGTCGGCACAAGGGCAGCAGCAGGGTCAACAGCAGCAGTCACCGCAACCTCCTCCCCAGCAGCAGCAGCAGCATAAGACGTGGAATCCCAGCTCTGGTATACGATTCGGGTAAAGTGCCAGCGAAGTCATGGGTATTATTCAAAAAAGACAAAAGCTATGGAGGTATCTGGAGATAAGTCTATAGAAAGCGTTTGACAAAGGAAAAGATTCTTTCGAAAGGCATTGCATGCCCTCTGCGTTCCGCAACGTAGCCTGCACCACCACCACCACCACGAGTCGTCTTCGACAGCATCACCTCTCTCCGTTCGTCTTGCGCTCCTTGCCAATGGCGTCCGTCTGGGCTGCCATCTTGCCAAACTGCCACTCTGGCAGGGTGATGCCCGTCTGGTCGTGGATGGTTTCCATCAGGGGAGGAAGCATTTGGTACACGCGCCTCGTCGCGTCAGCAGGGTCACCACCACCACCTGCGCCAGGGTGGCCGCCGTCGCCCGTGTTCCACACGCTGATCTTGGGCTGCATGCCCTGGACGGCGGTGCTGTTGGCGTTGGCGAGCTCGACGTAGGTGCCGCGGTCGATCATGAGGTACTTGATGAGGCCGTCGGGTCCACCAAAGGCGCCTGCCAGCTCTCTGTACGCACCGGCCATGGCGGTGAGTCCCTCTGCCTTCTTGATGGTGGCGTAGGCCTCGGCGTCGGAGACGACCTTTTGGGCCTCTGCGTCCTTGGTCTTGACGTAGGCGTCTGCGTCGGCTGCGCGTGTCTCGGCCATGGCGTGCGCCTCGGCGCGTTTCTGGATGGTGTATGCTTCCGCGTCTGCCTGGCGTTGGCCGGCGGCGGCCTCAGCCTTTGCATTCTCCTCGGTCTTGACGGCGTCGGCCCGGGCGGCGGCCTCGATCTGGTAGGCATCCGCGTCGGCCTGCTGCTGAGCCGACTCCCTCTCAATGGTGGCCTTGACGACGGTGCTGGCGCGCAGACGCTCCGTCTCGGCGGCGGCGCGGTGCTGCTCTACAGTCCTGCGCAGCTCCTCGTCCCTGACCTCGAGGGCGCGCGTGGCCTCGGCGTGGGCAATGTTGACCTCCCTGTCGAGGGAGGCCTTCTGGGTCTGGAGCTGAGCCTCGGCCCTTGCGCGCTCGGCGTCGCGCTCTGTCCTCTGGACAGCGGTGCTGGCGCTGATCTTGGCGAGCTCCCGCTCCTGCTCGCCCAGGCGCTGGGCCTCGCCGACGGTGCCCAGGCGCTGGGCGTCGGCCGCGTCGACCCTGGCCTGGTTGATGGCGCCCTCGTGGGCCTTGCGGGAGAGGCTCTCAAAGTAGACGGAGCCGGGAGTGTCGCGGAGCTCCTTGACGTTGGCGTTGTAGATTTTGAGACCAAACTGCTTGAGCTCCTCTTGGATGTTCTTGTAGATCTTCTTCTTGAACTCCTCGCGCTCGGTAAAGATCTCCTCCATGGTCATGCTCGAGACGAGGACGCGCGTCTCGCCCTCGATGATGCCCTTGACAATGGAGTCGACGTGCTCCTGCTGCTCGCCCTGGCCGGGGCCGTCCGCCCGGGCGCGGGACGACTTGGACGCCTTGGAGTCGGCGAGGAGCATGGCGTATTTCAAGAGGGCATCGCCCTTGTCGACGGCGCCGCCTTTGGACTCGGCGCCGCTGCCACCGCGCTGGTTGACGTCCGGTCCGATGGTGAAGACGGTTGGGAGGTTGAAGTTGAGCTTCTCGTGGGTCATGGCCTGCAGGTCTAGGGGATAGTCCCGCGGCTGCACGGAGAAGCGCATGCATCGCTGTAGCGGCCAGACCCAGGCGGCCTTTGTGATGCGCACGGTCCGGATGCCCATGCCGGTGATGGCGAGGTACTCGTCCGGCGCGGAGATGTGGTACGACATGGCGGCGGTTGTCGAGGCTGGACGTATGAGTGTGTCTTGTGTGTTTGTCTGTGGTGTCACAGTCTTACGGGGAGGGGGGACTGAGGATTTGGCTTGTCCAGTCTAGTCTTGGTGAAGATGTCGGAAGATTCAGGGCAGCGGCGGGGGCCCGACATCTCTTTATACTCCGAGACATGTCAACATTTCCTCCAGTTAAACTGGTGTTCATCTGGAGTCAGCTTCAGCGGTCCTGCGCGCCTTGCGCCCAGCCGCCGCCTTGGGCGTGCCGTAGGGCCGGCACTGCCTCGTGAACCGATGTTGAATGTATCTACTTGGTCTGCGTGTAAGCGGACGTGGCGCTAGGATCCCTGGCCAGGGTCTGGCGTGAACACAAGGATTCACCATGCATCACCAAGCGTGGAGTCAAGGGCACACATGTATGCCTGTTGCGACATGACCCGCCAAGGCGACAACCATGATTTTAAGTCACCTGACAGTCTCCCTCGCCGAGAGTTGACACTCGTTCGTTGAATCTAATACGTAGGATTCATTAATCATCCCCGGGGGCATATCAACCATAGAGTCCAGGCGGTGGCGCAGTCCGTCTTCTACAAAAAGGTCTGGGGATCCGGGTCTCCACATTGCGAACATCAACTGCGCCGTGTACGCGCTGTACTACTACAGGGCAGAGCCCAAGATGCCAAGGGCCAAGATCAATGCATACCTTGAGCCGCAGCGCTGCTCGGGCGACTGTGCATGACACTAGCTACTTTAGCGCAATGGTGGGTAGCAGATGCCGAGCAACAAGGAGTCATACCGTATCCGGTAGGGGGATGCTTGGCATGTATGAATGGAGTGAGTCTGCCTCAGCTGATCGCGGAGAATACTGAATCGCGAGTCGCGAGCATGATGGTCATGTGATAGCGAATGCCGTCAGGCCTCAAGCTCAAAGTTCCTTTTCGTTTAGTTTTAGTCCCACAGACTCTGAAATCCGCCTGCTTAAGGTTGACCTCGCCCATCAAGATACCTTGCAGTGGCTCGCTATGCAGGTAGGACGTGCTGCATCTAACCGCGTATGACTATACCCTGTATACAGCTCAGCTACCCGCTTAGGCACAACAGACTATGATCCAATCGACTAGGAACGTTGGTTCTGGTAATTAACATGGCGAACCACAAACGCTCACTGCCACCTAGTAATTGATGCCACCGCTCTGCAGCCAGGTCGCGCACTCCTCGCCGAGCTCCTCGCGCGCCTTGGCCTGGTACCGCTTGTTGTCTTCCTCCGAGAGGACGTTCTTCCAGCGCGAGTTGGTGCCTTTGTTGATAAAACCCTTGGCACCATTCTCCCAGGCCATCTCGGCCAGCGGCGGCGCCGCCATCTCGGCGTGCTCCTTCATCCAGTCAAAGGTGCAGTGCTCGACGGCCGCCTGGAACCTGTCCTCGGGCATGTCCGGGATCTCGAGGAACTTGGCGATGCGGCGCATGCTGCCCTCCAGGTCGGCCTTGAGGTCGTTGAAGTGGACGAGGAGCAGGTTGGGCTGGTGGCGCACCTCCCACCAGCCGCGGATGTGGGCCCAAAAGGGCCCGGCGAGCGTGGTGCCCGTGTCGTCCTCGAGCAGGTCGATGAAGAGGTCGCGCGGGTTCTCGCTGGGCCGCTGTATGGCAGGGCCGTCGTCGTCCACGTTCTCAAAGAGGGCGTAGAAGGCGGGCGTCGCGCTGCGGAAGTGGTGGTGCAAGCTCCAGATCGTGTCGCGCCCGTCGCGGGCGATGAAGAGGTACTTGACCTTGGGGTCCCAGACCATGGCGTCCCGGGGCAGGTGCGTCTTTAGGAAACGTCGGTGCGTCTGCGCCTCGACCATGTCCAGCATGGCAGCTCGGGGCACGATGCGAAAGTCGACCCATGGAGACAGGGGGCCCGCTGCGACGGTCGGATCGCCCTGGTGCAGCAGCTGGGATACAATCTGCTGCGTCCACTATACGGTTTTGCTATCCGTCAGTCTTTGTTGGCCTCGCACATCCCAAGCTTGTTGAGGAAGGGGGTGGGGGGCTCATGGCACGCACCGTCGTGCCCGACTTTGCAAACGTCGAGATGACAATATCGTCGGGCCTCAGCTTGACGTCGTTCCAGACTGTCGAGTCCAGGTGGGCGTTGCGGACCTCGCGAGTCTTGACGGGCACCTTGCCCACGTCGTCTTTTGTGCCGTTCGTCCATGTCATGATTGCGGTCTGGTGTGACTCGGTGCGCGTGCTGTAACAAAGAGCGAGAGAGGTTGGACCACCAGCAAGCGAGGAGATTGTCAGGCTCCCTCGCGGTCCTATATAGTAAAAGTCATGGCGCCAGTCCGCCTCTACGTACACAGTACGCAGTACACTAGGAGGAGTCCAGCGTACCGCCCTCTTGCAATTCAGACTGGCCGCAGGCTCATCATTAAGCTATCTTGGGCAATTGATCTGCGCTGCGTCCCCCGGCGTTCGGTTGGCGTCCGATAGTCCGTCCACGGATGGCCGAACGCCCGTACGCACCTCGGGTGCAATGTCGCTTGCGCGAGGGCGACGAGCCGTCCCGCGAGGTCACCCGAGTGTTCGCCGCTGGCACTTGATCGTTATTCTCCGCACATTGCGTCGCGCTACAAGTGCCGATGTCCAATGGACCGTGGGGGTGGGTGTTCACGGCGTCCCAAACACTTCTGCGCGAACAGGTTCCGTATCTCTTCCGACTTCCTTCACGTCCCCTGAGCTACTGTGTAGTCTGCTGACTCCGCCACGCGGATATTCGGCTATGGCGAGATTGTGCTGGTGCTCGAAACCAAAGTTCAGAATGCATATTCTTAAATGTGACGGGAAGGCGATTGCTGCCCGCCTAGTAGTGCTCGATCTTTGCCTGATGCCACCCGTTTTGCAGGTAGGTAGGCTGTAACCGGTAGGCCGTTCCGCCGTCCTGCATTTCCTACAGCGGCTGGTCTACATACATAGCCACGAGTTATGGGTGCGCTTAATAAATACTATGCCACGGACGGATACCCAGCTTGGAGTATGCTTGGCGTCCGGATCTACGCACAGGTCGAGACTCGAAACTCAACGAAAGCATTGTGCCTAGCATGCCAGCTGCAGGGGATCCAGGTCACCCAATCAAGACGTCTCACGCGCGGCTCACTCACTTCATGTTTGTCAAGGCCAAAGATTTCCTATGTGAGCAGAGGTACTGAGTATGTTCCTTGTACACTGTCCCCTCCTCGAAGCGGCGCCTTTCACTCTGCCCTCAATCCGACTTCTTCCCGACAACCTTGCCCTTGAGGATAACCGCCTGCGCAGTTGTGTAGTTGGGAATGTCGGCAAAGATCTTGGCAGTGCCCTCCTGGCCGGCCGCCTTCTCAAAGGCCTCGAGAGACTCCCAGTACAAGGTGGCCTGCACCTGGTAGGGCGCGTCAGCCTGGAAGGTGAGCACGTCCCAGCTGAGCAGACCGTGGGACGTCCATGTCCTATTGAATGGAACAAAAATCAAAAAGTCAGCGCTGCACCGTGTGATCTCGTCCTATCCCACATCGACTCGCAGAAACGTACTCGGACACCAGGGGCATATGTTTCTTGAGGTAGTAATCCAAGTCGAAGGAGGGCCCCGAGGGGTAGACGATGAGGACTTGAGCCATGATGGGGAGGATGTTGCCGAACGTGCGTTGTATTCCTAGCGTATATATGAAAGGTCGCGTCAATGGGAGGTTGAGACCAAATGAAGCCGAGGATGTGCGAGCTTTAATACTCTGATTACGCATCGGTGTACGGAGTCGTTGCCTCGTGACGAAGATGGCGCGGTCCCGAGGCCCCCCACCCTCCTCCCCAATCGTTTACACCCCGCTTCACCGTCCGAATCTCCGGTCACTCGGATACCGTTCGACCATACTCCGGAAGCTTCTCCGTGTTCATGACTTGCGTGGCAAGATTTGGGGGTGCGTACTTCGAAATTGCAGGCAGCGTCGTTGTTGGGTAATGGAGCAGCCATCGCTGCGACTGCGCAGGTACGTGGATAACTGTCTTTCTGTACGTAGATGGTCTGGGACTTCAGCCACCGACCACGGATGCTCCTGGTCAACCGTCGCCTGACAAGAAGGCATCCATGAGACTATCACAAATCGACCAGCCCTCATCTCCGTTCACCTCATTCGGCGCTGTACATATTGGCCCTGCCCACCCTGTCCAACGTCGAAACGCCAGTCGCCTCCGCAAGCACCTTTGTAAACACCCTGTCCAACCTCTCCAATATCTCCTCTCCATGCTGCGCAGCCTGGTAGTGCAGCACGATCCGTCCCCCAAAGAGCCGTAGCCCAGCCTCCTCGCCAGCCTGGACAATCTGCTTCACCTCGATGCCGGCCGCATCCAGATCAAGCCAACACATGTTGGTGTGCGCGGGGTGCACCAGCTTGCCCCCCTTATCCAGCCACATGGCTTCGACCTTCTTGGCAAGATCGTGCGCCGTTCGCAACCAGCCATCGCTGCCGTCACCCTTTGTGCCAAACGCCTCGTCGACGGCGACCCGTGCGGCGGCCGAGATGAAGCCAGGCTGGCGGAGACCGCCACCAATGGCCCTTCGCATCCATCGCGCGTGGTGCAGGTCCTTTGTTGTGCCGACTAGCACGCTGCCGACGGGTGCGCCGAGGCCTTTGGAGAAACACATGGTGATGGTGTCAAATGGGGCGCAGTACTCCTTCAGCGTGCCTGCACCTGAGGCGACGGCTTCCCACAGCCTAGCGCCGTCGAGGTGCATCTTGATACCGTGCTCGCGCGCAAACGTAGAGATCCGACGTGCCTCGTCAAGAGGCAGGATCATGCCATTGAGGGTATTCTCCAGGCTGATCACCCTCGTGGGACAGGTGTGAATGTCGTCGCCGAGGACGACTTGCGGCTTGATGTCTTCCAGTGTCAGATGGATGCCATTCTTGGGCACGAGGGGCGTGGGCATGGCGCCCGTCAGGAAGGAAAGCCTGTGACCGTCAGTTTGGGTAGCCTTGCATGTGAGTGTCGCGGGTGACGTACCCGCCAGCCTCGTAGAGCACAATATGTGATCGATGATCGCACAGGACGCCGTGGGGAGGCTGCGTAAGGAGAGTCCTAAGGGCAAGCTGATTACCCATGATGCCCGAGTTGACAAACAACCCGGCTTCCTTGCCTGTCAAGGCGGCCATGTGGGCTTCGAGGTCACTTGTCGTGGGATCCTCCCGCTCAACGTCATCGAGGAGCGTACACTCTTGTATGGCTTTGAGCATGGATGCCGTAGGCGTGGTCATGGTGTCACCTTATCCATGTCAGGTATATCTTTCATCTCCCATGTTGAAGTATGGGGTTGAACTCACTTCTGAGGTCGAACGCCCCTGGGCCTTGGGCTCCTATCCACGCATTGTGTGCTTTAGGCTCGCCCGGTTTGCCCGACATGGCGGAAGATCTTGAAAGACTTGTTGAGAATGTGCGACGACATTGTGATAGAGTGGCTTCTGGCCGTCTTATTTGTAGGCACGGTCGACTGCGTGCCAGCCTGCCAGCACTCAGAGACAAACTCATGATGCCTTGCCGATGATCAGAGGTTTAGAACGGGACAGCAGTATACATCAGAGCTAATGATGATGCCGAAAGCTTGTGCGATTGGCCGAATCACGAAAGGAGTAGCATTGTGGTTGTCCTGTCATGTCATGCCATGGGTAGATCCGCAGGGCGCGCGAAAAGGCGCACGCGCTCGTGCCGTGGCGCAGACCGCGAGTAGCCGCGAGACTACCCTGGACATATAGTGGCTTTGGCAGAACCCGTGGGCATGCGAGGATGCGACGCTATCAACGTACTGTGAGATTGATCAAAAGTCAATTCATTGCTTTTTCATACCTTCCAAACCTTTGGGGAATCCACAAGTTGTGACATTCCTTTACGTTGTTCAAATGTTCGATCGTGAGAGGTTCAGTTTATTTGACTTCCAAGAGACACCCTAAGGAAACATTTGCTGGAGCCAACTGACCAGAATAGGTGTACTCCGCACGTAAGTAGTAGCTACGCGAGCGCCTTTTAGATGTTCATCTGGCCCTTCCACAGCATCCGCCGATGCTAGATTCTGTAGACTCTGGGTTATACGTTCACTCGATCACTTCGACATGACCCCTTCGTATCAGTGCCTAGCGTGTGCCCCTCTCATCAAACAACCCGTTCCAGCGCACCGATTCGTCCCCAAGGAGCCCACCAACAACCAGTCAACGGTGCCCATCCATCCAAGAGCCCAAGCCTAATAATTAGTTCCTGTCTGATGAATATGTATATTTATTTATCCAGTGGCTTTTCCTACTACATTCGCCCTTGAGCACCCTACATCACAAGACTTCCCGAGACCGGACAGTCAGCCGTCTCAGGGAGCCAAACCAACCCCCCTCACCTGCGTGATGCGTTGGCAGCCTTTCTCCTGGGCTTCACTCCAGTACCCTCGGGTCCTTGATTTGCTGCCAACACCCCTCCGTACGCTCCGCACCCCCTGCGCTCGTCCAATCCGCGCACACGGAGCCGTCAGAGACGCTGACGGGGGAGATCCCGGGGGTGCAGGCACAGGGCTGCGGTGCGGTGCTTTGCCAGCGCATCAAGTGTGGTCTGTGTGCTCTGCGCCAGAATGTCAAGAACCCCTTCGAGTCCACGACGCTGCTTGCTTCGGTGAACTTTGACTTCTGGAATCTGCCAAATACTAATGACGCTCTCTTGTAGCAAGCCAATGCCAATGGCGCAAAGCTCACAAGACTTCACCTCGACTGCCCGAGCCAAGGCGCATCGAGCGTGTTCTAGCAACAATGGCGACAAGCCAAATTCCCCGTCGTGGTCATAAGTCATCAGTCATTTGTCCGCTACCTATCCGAAGCTATGCTGCCGCATACAGAGAATGAGACGATACGGTGCACTCAAGGAAATTTCATGTGTTCGCCCCGGCCCCGAGGCCATGCCACATGCGTTGCGGCCTCTTTTCGCTCTGCTCGTCCTCTCTAGATCCGCGCCGCCACATACAATCTCAGACATTGGGCAGGGGGGCGACTTGGGCTCGCAAGCGCTCTCTCATCGGTTGGCATACTTCATCAGGAATTGCACCACGGCATCGAGGTTCGTCTCCTCCTTGGCACTGATGCCGTAACAGCACACCTCGCGATCCCGGATGCTCTTGAGATCCAGCTCGTCTATCAGCTCGTCGACCGACATCCTCTGCGGGAGGTCCGACTTGTTCCCCAGCACCAGCAGCGGGATCTCTAGCAGGGTCTGGTTGCTCATCAGCGCGTGGAGCTCCTCCTTGGCTTGCGGGATCAGTTCGGGCTCCGCAATGTCTACGATAAAGACGATGGCGTTCACCCCCCGACAGTACCGCTCCCACATGTTCCTGAACCGCGGCTGGCCACCAATGTCCCAGCATTTCAGTGTGACATGCCCGCGTTGCACGCGCTTCATGTTGAATCCAACAGTTGGAATTGAGCTACACGGCACTGCGCGTTAGCGTCCGTTCGAATATCGGCGGCCGAGTGCGAGGGAACTTACTCGAGAGTGAACTCGCCTCCCTGGCATCGGTCGTTAGCAAATGCGCTGCTGGCGGCTCGAGCCGGGGAACGGCGGGGAAACCTACAGCCAGGACACGCAGCAGTGATGTCTTTCCGGCATTCTGCAACCCCACCATTGTCACTTCCATCTCCAAGGCCCTGGGGAAGAGAGCGACTGTCAGCACCGTCGACGAGCATGCGAGCGCACATGCGAGAGATTCCCTCCAACCAGTGACCGAGTGGGCTTACCAGAAGGTCCTCATCAACCAGTCGTATACCTTGCGAAATAAGCCTGCCATGGCGACGGTCGATTGTGGGCAACAAGCTATGCCGCGAGCGGGCTGGGATGGATGGAAAACGTGTCTTTCAGCGCAGCGGCCGTGGACAGGTCTGTATTGACTCTGTCTGCTCCTGCAGGACCGCCGGGATGATTATTCGACGTCGGACGAGCTCGGCAGTTGAGGTGCGGCCAGAGAGGGCGCCGGCGAGGAAGGGACGTTTGTGCGACACTACAGCGAAGAAAGGCCTTGGCCGGAATAGAAGGAGGGCGAGATTAGATAGGCGAGCGGGTGGATTTTCCTTTCCAGCAGAGATCGGTAAGTGAAAGAAAGGCTGGCCAGGCGCCAGGCTGCGGTAAGTTGAGCGGTAAGCGACGCGGTGACGACGGTTCAAACCGATAAGGCGAACGGCGGAGAGACGGTCGGTCGGGTGGACGATGCGACGGGTGTTGCGCGCGTAAAGAGGACTGGACTGTGCTGTGACTGCTGCTACCTCTGCTGCTGCTGTTTGTGAGCCCACGGCACGGGTCATGGACGCAGACGTTGATGTACAAACGAGGGACGAGCTGGGCTCGGGCTCGGGCGGGCTGCTAACGTTAGCAGCCAGACAGACTGGGCTGGACAGGACTGGACGTTGACTGGGACATGAGGGGCACCGCTCGCTCAATCCAGAGGCAGTCCGTCCATCCATGCGTGAATGGATGGATTGGATGTTGGTCCGCCGGGCGGTCATGAGGTGCACGTACCACCACTTGCAGCCACAGCCGCAGCCCACTTGGGGCCCTTGAGGCATCTCCCAGTGGGGAGGCCCCGCTGTAGAAGCGCGGCCTCTGGCGGCCCCAGGCGCCTGGCTCAGTGGCCCTAGCAAGTGCCTAGGCGGACAACCCCACCCTGAAGTGGCTTGACGGCTGCTTCCAAGAGGAAGTACCTGGTAATTAATATCAGTGTACATGTAATGATGCTTGTCCGTAGTCTGTCTGTGCAGACCTTGAATCCATCTCCGTCTGCGATGCCGCCATGCTAAGACAGTCTGAGACATCATGCCACCGTGAACGCTGGGGACTGGAATCAGGAACAGTGAGGGGTGGCGTAAGCCCTATGGCGACTGAAGGTGCCAACACTGGAAGTAAGCACCCAATACGCCTGCTCTGCTCTTGCCTCGCCCACCACAAGGCAGCTTCTTCCCATCCATGTCGTCAGAGCAGAGGGGTTACACCCCAAACCCGGAGGGACGAGCCGTGCCTCGCCCAGCGTCAGACTGCTGCTGGCAAAGGTCACGTTAGCGGTTATCGTATGTACTACGTACAGTACCCTGTAGGTGTGTCCGTCCTCGAGTATTGACCCTCCTCCAAGGGGCACGGTAGCCCATGTAGCGTCCCGCAGCGTTGCAGTCAAACCCGCTTGGGACGAGTCACCAGATCGGTCTTGCATATCGACGTTGAAAGCTTGCGCCAATGCTACAATGGTCTGGCCTTCATCGGCAGCAACTAGCTGGCCCGCCCAAGAACAATCAACCAGGGGTCTGGCACGTACGCTTCATCAGTGACGGCGTCATCGAGGCCAGGACTCGGATCAAAAGACATGGAGTGGACACCTGCAGGGACTGCACTCGCTGCTGCAGGCAGCAATGTACGAAATCCGATGCTCTCCACCACGCTGGAAGCGCCTCGCCTCTTTCCAAGCAGGATCGTGGAGCCAGGTACAAATCGTGCACTTTGATGTCAAGCCATGGATGATGCAGAAAGGGACTGCGCATGGCGGTTGGAAGGCGGTTAAAAGGGCTGCGACTCACACAAGAAGCGGCCCAAGGCCATTAAAACACCGGGCTCTAGAGGCATTCTCGGTGAGAGTATGGATATTCATTGCTCTGAGGGTAGAATGGATGCGACGAATCTTGTAGGCGAAGCGCCCAAGTCGTCGAGCGCTTCGGCAGATGCAGGGAAGCGTCCGCGGATCTGACTTACGTTAGTTGCATGTCGCCAAATCCTCTCGGTGCAATACGTGGCTGAGCCAAAGCCTTTATCTGGCTTCATTTTCACTAGGACCGTTCAATAAGTCCAGCCTTACGGATTTTCTCATACGGGTTTGCGCAGGTTGCAGCTGGAGACCGACGCCTGCGTCACCCGGGAATGGTTTGGTTGATGGCGGGCCAGCACGGCGAGCCCCGCGTCTATCGATAAACAGCTCCTTATCTTATCATGTCAGCCTTCGATTTTTTTTCTCAGCGCCGACGGCATTCCAGATGGAGCATTTCCAACCTGAGCCGACTGGAGGATATCACTCTGCCAGCATTTCTCTGTGTCGCATGCGGCTGGCTGTCAGCGCCGGATAAGAAATCGCACATTTCTTATTGATGTCACGGGCGTGAATAGCATCACAGACGCCGGCCAGCGACTGGCCTCATCCTCACAATGGCACCCGCAGCCACAGAGACCGAGTGGAACCACGAATACAACACATTGCGCAGGGAAGACCTCTTCCGCAACCCTCCCAAAGATTACTCGGCATATCCTGCCCTTCAGCTTGCCGTCAACCCTCACATCGAGTCCTTCGACCGCCTGTTCTGTGACGATGGCAAGCCAGGGCTCATCGCCCATGGTCTAGCCGACATTGGCACCAAGACCTACCTCGATGGCGACGAGAGGGCCGCCCCAGACGGCAAGAATGTCTTGACGATCCGGATCAAGGATGTGAACCTGCAGAAGCCTCAATTGCCGCCCTCAAACAAAAAGGCGAAACGGCGCGAGATCCTCCCGGCAGAGTGCCGAGAGCGCCATGCGTCGTATCGCGGTCGACTTTCGGCAACGTTGGAGTACAGGGTCAATGGGGGCGATCCCGTTGAGTTCTCGAGAGACCTTGGCCTTGTGCCAATCATGTTGAAGGTGTGACTATACCATGTGGGAATGGATCAGAAAGGCCATAGCTGACCCGCCCTGCAGTCAAATCGGTGCCATCTCCAGAATAACTCGCCGAGTCAGCTTGTCGAAAACAAGGAGGAGTCGGAAGAGCTGGGCGGCTACTTCATTGTCAACGGTAACGAGAAGATCATCCGAATGCTGCAACTCAACAAGAGGAACTTCCCCATGGCGATCAACCGACCGAGTTTCCAGAACCGAGGTCTCGGATACACCCCGTATGGTATCATCATGCGCTCCGTCCGGCCCGACGAGACTTCGCAAACAAACGTTCTTCACTATCTCAGCGACGGCAACATGACCTTTAGGTTTTCGTGGCGCAAGGCGGAGTACCTCGTGCCCGTGATGATGATCCTGAAGGCGCTTGTCGATACCAACGATCGCGAGATTTACGAGGGTCTCATTGGTCCTGCGGGATCCAAATCTACAGAGAATACGTTCATGACCGACCGTGTCGAGCTTCTGCTGCGCACATACAAGACGCATCAGCTGTACACAAAGTCCGAGACCAGGGCATTCCTCGGCGAGAAATTCAGGCCCGTGTTGGGTGTACCTGAGAACATGGACAACTACGAGGTGGGAACTGAATTCCTCAGGCGCATTGTTCTCGTGCACCTCGGCAACGTGGATGTCACCCCGGAGCAGAACAATGACAAGTTCAGCATGCTGCTCTTCATGATGCGCAAGCTGTACGCCCTGGTCGCTGGCGAGTGCGCCGTGGACAACCCCGATGCGATCCAGCACCAGGAGATCCTGCTCGGTGGCTTCCTCTACGGCCAGATCCTCAAGGAGAGGCTGGACGAGTACCTGGGCGTCAATGTTCGCGCGGTTCTCCGGGATTACTTCAGGCGAAACCCCGCGGTCAGCTTCCCATCGGAAGACTTCAAAAAGGATTTCCCGAACAAGATCTTCCAGAAGACGTCGGAGAATGTCGGCAACGCGTTGGAATACTTCCTCTCGACCGGTAACTTGACCAGTCCCTCTGGTCTTGATCTCCAGCAGACTGCCGGCTTCACCGTCGTTGCAGAAAAGCTCAACTTTTTGCGCTTCATCAGTCACTTCCGCATGGTACATCGCGGTGCCTTCTTCGCGCAACTCAAGACCACCGCTGTGCGAAAGCTGCTGCCGGAATCGTGGGGTTTCATGTGTCCTGTGCACACGCCCGATGGTGCCCCGTGCGGTTTGCTGAATCATTTAGCGCACAAGTGCAAGATTATGACGGATTCCATCGACGTGTCCAAGCTTGCCGGCTTGGCCGCCGAGATGGGGCTGAGCAGTGTCTCTGAGGCTTCGACAGCCGTCAGCGTGCCCGTGGTCCTCGACGGCAAGCTGCTGGGCTTCTGCTCGCCCAAGGAGGCACTTAGGATAGCCGACTGCTTCCGCTACTGGAAGGTGGAAGGGACCCATGGCGTGCCTCTTCACCTTGAGATCGGGTACGTGCCTCCATCCAACGGTGGTTCGTACCCTGGTGTCTACATGACCTCGACACCTGCCCGCATGGTCCGTCCCGTCAAGTATCTACCGCTGCAAAAGGAGGACTATGTCGGTCCCTACGAACAGCCCCACATGTCGATCGCCGTCGTGCCCCAGGAGATTGAGTCTGGCCGCTCCACCCACGTCGAGTTCAGCCCTACCAACATGCTCTCCATCCTCGCCAACATGACTCCCTTCTCCAACTTCAACCAGTCCCCTCGAAACATGTACCAGTGTCAGATGGGGAAGCAGACCATGGGTACGCCTGGAACAGCCATCGCCCATCGCACCGACAACAAGTCCTACCGCATCCAAACCGGACAGACGCCGATCGTCCGCGCGCCTCTGCACAATACGTATGGTTTCGACAACTTCCCCAACGGCATGAACGCCGTCGTGGCCGTCATCTCCTACACCGGATACGACATGGACGACGCCATGATTATAAACAAGTCGGCCCACGAGCGTGGCTTTGGTCACGGAACCATCTACAAGACCAAGAAGATCTCCCTCAAGGACGATTCGCGCACGAGGGTCACCAAGAGTGTTACCAAGGCCTTCGGATTCGCCCCCCACAGCCACATCCCGGCCTCACACCAAGGCATGCTCGACGACGACGGTCTTCCCCACGTCGGCCGTCTCGTATCAGAGGGCGACATTATCTGCGCATGGCACACGGTGACGCCCGACTACAACGGCAACCTCATCAACCTCGACGGCGTGACGCACTACGAGAAGTACAAGGACTCGGAGACGGGATTCGTCGATGAGGTGCGCTTGATCGGCGCCGAGACGGGCAACGAGCCCCTGCAGAGCATCTCCCTGAAGCTGCGCGTGCCCCGGTCTCCCATTATCGGTGACAAGTTCTCCTCGCGTCACGGTCAGAAGGGTGTCTGCTCGCAAAAGTGGCCTGCCATCGACATGCCCTTCTCGGAATCAGGGATGCAGCCCGACATCATCATCAACCCCCACGCGTTCCCCTCTCGAATGACCATTGGCATGTTTGTCGAGTCGTTGGCTGGCAAGGCCGGTGCCCTGCACGGCCTCGCGCAGGACTCGACGCCTTTCAAGTTCGATGAACAGAACACGGCCGGCGAGTACTTTGGCCACCAGCTAATGAAGGCTGGCTACAACTACCACGGCAACGAGCCCATGTACTCGGGCATCACTGGCGAGGAGCTGGGCGCCGACATCTACGTCGGTCTCGTCTACTACCAGCGTCTGCGTCACATGGTCAACGACAAGTACCAGGTCCGAACGACTGGTCCCGTGGTGCCCACGACCGGCCAGCCCATCAAGGGTCGTAAGCGTGGTGGTGGTATCCGTGTCGGAGAGATGGAGCGTGACGCCCTGCTCGCGCACGGCACGGCGTTCCTGCTGCAGGATCGTCTGCTCAACTGCTCGGATTACTCCAAATCGTGGATGTGCCGTCGCTGCGGATCCTTCCTGTCCGTGCAGCCGACCGTGTCGCAATTCGCGACGGGCAAGAAGAAGGCGCCGCAGGTCGTGAGGTGTCGTGGGTGCGCGACCAAGTTGGACGATGCGGAAGGTATCGACCTGACGGAGATTCAGGGCGAGATCTGGGAGGATGGCCAAGGGAATTCGTGGGTTGGTGGTGATCAGACCACGCAGGTGGTGGTGCCCGGTGCGCTCAAGTTCTTGGACGTGGAGCTCGCCGCGATGGGCGTCAAGCTCAAGTACCGCGTCGGCAAGGCCGATGAGCCCCGCAAGGGGCCAATGCGGCCGATTGCCGTGGGTGCATGATGTGTTTCCCTACCTTAGTTAGGTGTAGGCGTACTTGGCGTTGCATACTGTTTTGGAATTATGTCCACGCAGAGGTAGACGGTGGACACAGATGTATTCAAGTCCATGACATCAAAAAACAAGCCTGCGAGAGTGCCCTGCGACTTTCATCGGTCAGATAGATCCTTCTATCATGTAGGATCATGTTCGAGATCAGTTTCGAAACAGTTTGTCATTGACAACAGAAACAACTAGACTAGTTAGTCTGCAGCCTAATGTCGGACGTTCACGCAATAGGTACCAATCCTTATGCAGGGCCTCTCCTCCGGCAGCCTCTCCTCCGGCAGCCTCCCCCCCGTTGAAGACTTGGCATACTTCATGCCATGACGAAGGATCAAACGCGAATTGATACATCAAGACAACCTTGCTGCCAGCCCGCAACGTTGCAACCTCGTACAACTAGGCGGGGATGGGCAAATCCTTCGCGCCCTGATGCATTGACGGATGACGCCAGCATCGATCGTGATGCCCTCCTATTCGATACACGATGTTTCGAGTGCTCCAGAATGGACAGAAAGTCGGCCGAATCCAATGCAGACCGGCAGGAAGCGCTGCGCAGATACACCTCCGGTCAGACCATATGGCAAGGATTGATTGCAGAGGGATTCTGGAGCCGAGAGGGAGCTCAGCAACATTGCTTGGTATTCGAGTACTATATAGTTGGCCTATGGCCGTGGACCATGGCAGGTGCAAGGTTTTGTATACGGCTACTTGGAAGACAAAGAAGCGCAAGAAGCATCCCCAACATACCCCAGACCTCATTATGTATATCACACGAGCTCTCGTCGCCGCCTTCTTGGCTCCCGTCTGCACCAATGCTTTGGCCACTCCCAACACAGTTAAACGATCGGCAGCTGCTGAAGTCGAGAATGGCAAATTCATCGTCGACCGGCAAGCCGAGTTCGCCAACCACCAGTCCTGGACCTTTGACGGAAGTGGTATCCCTGAGGGACTTGGAGTCAGCACGTATCCCGTCAACGGCCAACGGGGCTTCTACGCAGAGAACGCCGTCGTACGGAACGGGTACCTCGAGCTCATCCAGTCGGCGGGCCCAGACTTTCCTTACCGTGGGGGTGAGGTCGTCACATCCGTCAAGAACATCAAGTATGCCAGTGTGCGTACCGTCGCCATCCTCACGGAGACGTATGGCACCTGCAATGGTACGTGATCACACGACGCTCGTGACATACATCCAGCTCTCCGTCCGTCCGTAAAGTTGCTGACACCAGAATCAAGGCATGTTCTTCTACCAGTCAAACACGCAAGAAACAGACATTGAGTGGCTCTCTGATCCCAACAACCTCTCCAATCAGGGCACCCGCAAGCTCTGGCTCACCAACCAGGACAAGAACGGCGACGGCAAGACGTACCTCGCAATCGATCCGCCCGCCAACCCTACCACCACCGAGCACGAGTACCGCATCGACTGGACGGAAGGTCGTGTAGCGTGGTTCGTCGACGGCGTGCAGGTGTGGGAGACAAACAAGGATGTTCCTAGTGTCCCAGGCCCGTGGATCTGGAACAACTGGTCCAACGGCGACATTGGCTGGAGTGCCGGGCCACCTACTGAAGATGCTGTCTTCAAAATTAGGTCCATCGACATGTACTACAACACTGCTTGAGCTGGTCTTGTGGTCTCTTGGTGACGGGATTCATGTACATTTTGGACATGAGACGCCCACAAATCTTTTTGGATATTCCAATCACTTAGCTTTTTGGATCAGCCCAGAGAAATATACCACAGTAATCATACAGGAATCATGTCTCCTCCAAGATGTGCAGCCGTCCACCGGTACAGGTTTACGGCCATAATATTCTACTCTAATTAGCATACGGAGTAATTACCCACTCGATAAAGTCGCTAGCGCTAGTATGTCTCAGCGAGGTGATATCTTCACCAAGAGTAGTGTCCATATCGAGCAAGAATCGTAGCCTATAAGCATTAATAATACACCTAAGGGTTATATAAAGTTATCGAGAGATTCGTACTATTATATAAGCATACATCTACAGTACTAAACCATAGGCGCCTAGATTTTACTTACTAGCGCTGGCGACTTTGTCGATTGAGTACGGTACATATTATCTATGTTCACGGAGTCACAGGACATGGCGACTTACTATAAAACTTCTCCTCTGTTTTAGAATGAGCCAGCACCGGACATTGAGAACCTGTGGAGTAAGCACGTCTTCTTGGGCTCTCTCCCCAATGTAACGTGATTGATAAGCGAACCGCCCAGACAAGCGAACCGCCCACTTTCCTATCATCATCTATCATCATTATTTGATCAATTGTTCCACAACAACTAGCAATGTCAGATCAAAGGAATGAAGCTAATACCCTTCTTACTATTCAAGCGCTTTAAACCAACCTAAAATTAAGTATGCGACGCGTAGCTAAGATCTATAATGTTCCACGCACGACGCTGAGAGATCGCAAGCACGGAACTCAATCAAGACGCGATATAATAGCTAATTCGCGGAAACTATCCGATCTTAAAGAACAGAAGCTAGTCGAGTATATACTCGATCTAGATTCGCGAGGATTTTCCCCTCGGATCAGTGGTGTTAAAGAAATGGCTAATCTATTGCGTATCGACCGCGACGCGTCACCCGTTAGCAAGCGCTAGGTAGGGAATTTTATCAGGCGGTAACCAGAGCTTAAGACGCGTTTCTTTCGCAGATATAACTACCAGAGGGCTAAATGCGAAGATCTAGTCGCTATAAACGCGTGGTTTCGACTTATAGCGAACACAATCGCGAAGTATGGCATCTAATCAGATGATATCTATAACTTCGACGAGATAGGCTTTATGATAGGCGTTATTATAAGCGGTATAGTTGTTATAGGCGCCGAAAGGCGTGGGAACCCGAAAAGAGTCTAGCCTGGAAACCGGGAATAGGTTATAGTTATTTAATCGATCTCTGCATAGGGCTAGGTAGCGCCGCCGTTTATCGTTATTATAGGCTAATATCACCTCTCAAGCTAGTATTAAGAAAGCACTCTCCCTGGTAATTGGGCTATCGTAACTACGAAAAACGGCTAGACCGATAATGCTACGGGTCTCCTATAGCTAAAGTACTTTAATTAATATATAGAGAAGCGATCGAATAGTGCCTATCGTCTTCTAATCCTTGACGGCTATGAAAGCCACCACTCTGCCGAGTTCGAGGCATATTATAAGGAGAATAAGATTATTACGCTCTATATACCTCCTTATTCGTCTCACCTACTCCAGCCTCTTAATATAGGCTGCTTTAGGCCGCTTAAAACGGCATACGGTCGAGAAATAGAGCATCTAATCAAATGCTCTATAACACACGTTTTAAAGACTAAGTTTCTTCACGCCTTCCACGCTATATTCCGAGCCACATTAACCGAAAGTAATATTAAGGGAGGCTTTAGAGGGGCTGGAATTGCCCCTCTAGATACGGAATATGTGATCTCGAAGCTGGATATGAAGCTATACACTCTAACGCCTCCTAAGGGGACTCTAGAGCTTCCTGACCCTTAGGTCTTAAAGACCCCTAAGACAATTAAGGAGACTAAATCTCAGTCTGCCTACCTTAAAAATCGAATCAGGAGATATAAAAGTAGCTCCCTAGCATTAATAATTAACGCTATGATATCAATAACCAAGGGTTTGAAGGCATATCAGCACGAGATAGCGTTATTAAGGATGGAGGTCCGGGATCTTCGAGATACTAACCACATCCTTAGCCGGCGCCGGAGAGAGAAAAAGACCCGCCTACGAAATGG